CCAAACTGACAGCGTGATCCAAATACGAGGGCAGAGAAGTTGGGGGCTTTGCTGCTCTCTCTGTAGATCATTTGCCAAGCCAGAAGAGGGTCCTTGGCACTGGAGGCTCTGTTGTCTCCCCCTGCAAGAGCTCAGAGAATGACCGTGTTTCCAAAACAGCCTACAGCCATGACCTAATAAATCCTTATCAGGATTTCAGCAAGTAGGTGAACCAGTAACATCGGATCATAAAGGCAACTATGATCTCTATAAACTCATCTCTGTGCCTTCCCCACTCACTGACCCTGACAGTGGAACAGATGAAAGAGGGACCCTCCTTTTTTGTAGCCCTGCCAGGCTGGAACAACTTTAATTTGGCCTGAATACCTCTGTCCTGATAACCTTGCAAAATCCTGAATCCTCACTAACACAGGGAGCAGAGTGAAGGAGGGATCTGCAGCATGTTCCCCAAAGAGGTCATTGCATCATGCCTTTAATACAGAGGATTTGGCAGCAGAGGTGATGTTGCTAGATGTGCACTAAGTCAAGTGTTTTTGCAGCACAGACTAGCAGAATGACTGCCATCATTTCTTCAGTCGCTTGATGCAAAGCCTCCTTCTCCAAGAAAGCTGTTCTAGTGCAGCCAGTTTATCACAAAAGGCTTTAATCTCTTTTAAAATGGGATTTCCCTTTCTCTTAATCAAGTTCCTTCAGGTGGACTTGAAATGTAAAAGATTAAGTTTAACCCTTTGATGGTGGAGAGAGAAGGATAAAGCTCACATTCCCTCTGGCTGCTTTTGTGGCTGCACACAGGAAAGCTGCATTCTTGTGGGGGAGAACTGCTCACAGTTCTGCCCAAACAGAGCATCTGCTTTCACTTACTTTTCCTTTTCTCTTTTCTTTTTTTTTTTTTTATAATTAATTCTTTTTTTTTTCTTGCCATGGCTTCAGAGGTGGTGTGAAGATGCTCCAGTGCTCTTTGTTTCCTGTGCATTCTGCTCTCCCTTGGTGTCTCCCTCTGTGCCCTGAATTTTCTACTGCTCAGAACACTGTGTCTGATGAGGGATTAAAATGCTGCTAGCAAAAACAAATTTTTAAAAAATGCTCATTTTATCTTGGAGTGTTTAAACAAGTCTAAATTTAGAGCAGAGCTGTGGAAAAAAAACTAAAAGGAAAAAAGGCAAAGTAACCAGACAAAGGCATTAATTAATATGACACCTATGTGGCTGCTTCTGTAAACTACAGGGAGAACGTGTGGCTTGCAGATGAATGGGTCTGCAGACAGAAATGTCCAGAGCCCACGGGTGTGATGTGGGCTCTGGGAGGACACACGTGGTCCAAATCCCAGAGCTCAGCTGGGATTGCACAGCTCCTGATGGGACCAGATGGGATGGGAGGCAGCACTCAGCTGGGGACACCTCCTCTGGTCAGCTACAGCACCACCACTCTGCAGGAGCAGCTGCTTCCCACTCCCATCACATCCACACCTCTGCAAACTCCGCTTGCACAGGTTGTTAACTCTCCACAGCAATGAAACTCAATCCCAGGGCACTGGGAATATTTCTCTGCCTGCTCTGGGGTGTCCTGACCCCCAGGGGAGCACTGACTTTGACCCTCATTCATGGAGAAAACTTCCAAAGTCTCAAGGTAAACTAGAAACCACACAAGTGTGAAATAGACTGTAGAGAGTAGTGTAGTATGTCACATGGGTGAGAAATGTAGGTTTTAGGATTTTTAGGATGTTACAGATGGATACAAGACGGAGGGTACAGGGTGTTGTCTCAAGTTCCTTTCTTCCTCTTTCTTCTTGGGTTTAGGTGGTATCTTGTAATTGGGTAGAAAAATCTGCATTGCAGGTCTTTAGGGATCAGTTAGTGGGTTAGAAAGGGAAAAAATTCAGGTGTCACTTCTTAACTGGGTAGCTTAGTTTTTTATTAGACTCAAAAGACCTTGTAATAAGAGATTGTTGGCCATTTTTGTGCTGCTTTCCTGCATGCCGAGTCTGGTGCAGACAGTGTGCTGAAGTTTTGATAAGATAACAATAAACAGAAGCTGAAGACAGAAAAAGTCCAATGCATCTCTTATTCCTGACACAGAACTGCTCCAGGAGGGTCTCCCCTGCCAGGTGAGCCCCCAGAGAGTTGCCCAACTTGGGGCCCACAAACTCACACCAAGAGATGTGCATGACCAGTCAGTAAAACCATGACTAAAAGTACTTTTCCATCACCGCCTCTGGCAAGGATCCTCTCCCCTGGCAGCTACTGGGACACAGAGATTGGGTTGTGTAGTACTGGCAAAACACTGCCTGCCTGCTTTGCACAGCACCCCGGGGATGGTCACACCTGCTCACACAAGGCACAGACACCATCCTCATGTCTCCTCAACGGGACACCAGCTCAAACACAGAGTATTTGACCAGCGTAGAAAGGAGATTTTGTGGCCAGATGCTCATCTAAGTTGCCCTATCAAGAGATAATGAGAGATACAAGGTTAAAATCTCAGATAAATGCATCAGCTGGGAACAAGGCCACATGGTTTATTCCCATTGTGGCTTGTTTTACATGCATTCTCCTTGTATGTATCCCACTGTGAAACTACACTTCTTAACCAGTCTTTTGGTGGGATTTATTCTTTTCCAGCTCCTAACATTTGCCAGTCTCTTCCCATAACATGATAATCCAAACTCTGATTTTAGTCAAACCAGAAATAAATAGAGCAGGTAAATCTCTCCCCTGCCTGGGTTTACAGCACAAAATCACACTGGTATTTTTTTATTGCCTCGTGGTTTTGCAAATGTAGCTCTAAAATGCTGCACTTGCTCACCTCATATCTCTTGCAGCCTTAAGTTCTCATTCCTTGTTATGTATTTGCTCTCATCCTTTCTCACAGATTTCATTTTCTTTTTCCCCAGTCAGCCCCTGCTGTTATCTCCTTCCTTTGCTCCAACTGTGCTCACACACGGTGGAGGCTGAGCTCTGCAGAAGCAACTGGATGCACACTAATCCCATTAAGGCCCCTCCAGGCACCTGGGGTTTTCAGTTTTCAGTGCCATTTTCATTTAATCTTCCGATCTCACTTCCTTGCAATTTTAGATCATTAAGGGGTTAAGTGAGATATATCCAGTAAATGAGATAAATCCAAATAAAGGGATTTGGATCTCCCAGTTCAGCATGCTGCTGTCTCATTGCCTTCTCTACCAGTGTTTCAGGGGTTACCAAACACACCCAGACAAGGGCTCTGCATTAACCTGGGTCCCAGCTGCAAAAATCGCTCACAGTAACACTTTATATGGCTCCTTGCAAAGTGGAGAGAAAATGTTATCTAAAATGTTAATGGTCCTGCCTTCAGATCTCATTTCAGATTTTGGTTGGTTTTTTTTTTCCCAGAATGTGAATTTTTATCCTCTCTTCCCTCAAGTATCCAGACAGGGAAGCCTGTCACCCTGGATGCCACCCCTCAGTTTTAATCCTGATAAGCACAGATAAATGACGCCTTCATTGTCAGTCTTCCCAGCTCCTCTAAGAGCAATTTTCTCCTAATTTCCAGCTGCAGGGGCAGGAGGAGGCAGTACATTTTGGCCACTTGAGAGAGGTGAATTACATGGCCCCAGATCTGCTGTGCCTGTTGCCTTCCAAAGCTGGCTCAGGCAGCTGCTGTGCAGCCATGTGATGTGCTAAAGGCACTGGCTCTTGAGTGCTGTGTAGAAATTGATTCTTTTGTAGATTTTAAGGTCAGAAAGAACCATTTTGACTTTCCTGTGTAACCCTTTGCACAGGCTTAAAAACGTAAGAGAAATTTATGCCCTCCAGGCCCACAGCTTCTGCTTGAAGAAGATTGTAATTCTCAGTAAGACATTCAGTCTGGAGTAAATATTGTAATAAATGACAAAAGCATCCTGTCCTGAGGTGAGTTATTCCTGGAATTACTTGATTCCTTACCACAGGCTTTTAGCCTCTTCATCATACAATTTAACCTCTATTCAATGTTTCCTGGTTTTATTCCCTTTGCAGTATTTCCTCTGTCACTTCTATTATCCCATTTAAACTGCATCTATGCTGGTTTTGGCTGGGATACAGTTAACTTTCCTTAGAGTTACCATCTATACCATGGGCCTTAATTTTATTTCAGTGCTTTGGCAGCCAGTTTCCCCTTCCATGTTCTTAGAGAAACCAAATGATCTAGTATGGCTTCACATTTTACATCGCATTTTACATAAACATTTGCATTTTGCATTAAACAAGTCATTTGTAAATGTGCAAAAGATGACTGGAAGGTTCTGTAATAAATGGCTTAACTGATAGCCATAGAGTCAAGCTGCTCAACAGGTTGAAGCAGTGATTTATGCTCTTTCTGCTGCCATATCTGTAGTTATTTATAATTCATATTTCTCGTGACAATAATGAGCTTCCACAGTGTGTCCCTCATCCGAGCGTGCAGTTTGCCACTTCCTGCTATTCATCAAGCTCGGCAATTGGGCTCCTTTGATTCATTGCTCTCCAGACACAGACCAGGGAATGGCAATCTCAAGTGAACGCTGGCCAAACCGAAAGGTCTGGATATTAATAAATAATCATTCACATTAGGAAGCAATCAGTTGAAACTGGCAGAGCCCTTTCTTTCATGTCTCTTTTGCTTTCCTTCTCATTTTCCCTCCTCTGCCCTGGCCAGAGACCCACAGCCGTGGCTCAGAAGGAGATTGCCTGGGCAATTGCCTCAGAGCTGTCCTGGATGCCACCAAGGCTCTGCCCAGCCTCATCATCCCGGTGCAAACCCGAGCACCGGGCAGGGGCCAGCACGGACCTGCTGCCACCTTCAGGGATTAGAGGCAGACAATCTCTGACCAAAACCTTTGCTGATGTGCTTTGTTATAATGTGATAGCCCTTTACTACTGAAAAAAAAAAAAGATTTACGTCACTTTGCACAATTTGGAACTTATTCCTGTACAAGAATGAAGAATAAACAATAGAAAAAGAGCTTTTCTCCTCTGGTACTAAAACCAGAGCAATGGCTGAATTAATCCCTGGTGTTTCAAATCCACTCATGAATTTAACCAAAACACAAAAGTTCGGGGAGGCCCTGCTAGGCAGAGATCAAAGCTCAGGGAAGGTTTGGGGGATGTGGATGCGACCCCTTTAAAGCAGGCACGGCCTGACCTCCGGCTGGAGAAGCCAAGACCCGTCTTCAGAAATCAGAGTAATCCCGGGTGATTTTATCCCACTCCACTTCCCTAAATCTGCGGCTGCTGCTGCTTGGCGAGGGGATTAAGGGCTGGCAGGGGATTACCAACGCTGCAGCTCCCAGCGCGGAGCTCCCTCCTGGAGCGGCCGCTCGGGGACACGGAGCCGCTCCGCACCCACGGGAGCGCTCCGCGGGCCGGGACACGGAGCCGCTCCCCGGGCCGGGACACGGAGCCGCTCCGCACCCACGGGAGCGCTCCCCGGGCCGGGACACGGAGCCGCTCCCCGGGCCGGGACACGGAGCCGCTCCCCGGGCCGGGACACGGAGCCGCTCCGCAGCCGCAGCGGCGCTCCCGGGGCAGAGGCGGCCGCGGTGCCCCCGGGGCTCGGCCCCGCCCCGCCAGGGCTCCCGGGCCGGCAGCATGGCCCAGGGCAGCAGGAAGGGCGGGCAGGCCCCGCACGCCGCCGGCAGGAGCCCCTGCTGATGGCCGCTGCCCGGAGGATGGGGCCCTGGGCTGTCCCCTGGATGATGCTGTGTCTGCTCTGCCTCCCGCCCTGTGCCAGGGCGCAGACGAAGATCCCGCTGGAGACGTGAGTGTTTCTGTGCGCTGCTGGCGTGCAGGGGCGATGCCGAGGGCACGGACAGGCGGGTGGGGATGCCTCCCCGGCAGGCTCCTCCGGAGGGGCACATGGCTCCAGGGGGTGGCACTTCCCTTCCTTGGCTCCTGGCAAAGGATGCAGACATGGGAGCCACCAGTTGTGTGCCCAGGTCTAGGCTAGGATGCTCTCCACTCTTCCTCCCCACTCGTCAGGCGTAGCAATGATACTCATCTCCTTTAGTTAAGTACTTTGACATCTATTAATGCTCTGCTTAATGCACCGGGCAGTAGAAGGCAAAACCAGTTTAAAGACATGTTTGTAAAACCCTGCTGCTGCTGCAATTTGCAGGGATCCCACCGTGGAGGCAGACATGAGTGGCCCCAGTTTGGCAGCTCCCAGTTGAGCAGAGTGGTTTCAGGAGGCACTGCTGGGTTTCAGGATGGCAGGACACTAGCCAGGTTCTTGCTGTGGAAGGAGCACACGAGGTGTTTGAGCAATGATACACCCCTTTGTGCAGAGCAAGCTTTGCAGCTCTGAAGCTTTGGTGCCTTGCGTTGGTCTGGATGACTGCTGGCTGAAAAGGGGCTGGGTAATACACACAGCCGTGTTTTTTTACATGTGTGGCTGTCAGAGGATGTTAGTGAGAGCAGGCTGAATAAAGAGGCCTCAGCACTTCTTGCTCCACCCGTCTACAGAAGGCATAATGGCCCTTCCCAGAGCTGCAATGAGAAGCTGAGCTGCGATACAAAGCACAGCAGCCGTGGTTTGTGATGCACTGCACACGCAGGGACTCTTGATGCATTTTTTGGGGTGAGGGTTTGCAGTGTGCCGAGGCCTGCGTGTGTCCGTGTGACGAGGCTGTCACAGCTCCCTGCCAGCAACGCAGCCCTGGCAGCCTCCCAGGAGCCCAACAGCTCTCAGCGACCCCAGTTTATAAAAACTTCACCTTGTTAAGCTGATTTGGACAAGTTAAATCCTCCAAGGATTAGAAATGTCAGCACCGCCATCGGTAAAAGCTGTTGTGGGGCAGCGTCTGGGGTGCTGGGATGGGGTTGTGGGTGCAGGACAGCAGCTTGGCCTGGAGATGATACAACACTGCCAGCCAGTTTGAGAAGGGGATGTCTGAAAAATCAACTCAAGTCACCTTAAGCCCTTTCCTGCATTTGGGGAAATGTTTTTATTAAAAAATTGCCAATAAGGCCTTTACTGATGTGCCACCAATACAATCCATCTGACCAGGAGCTGCACTGACATTATCCACGAGGGTCTCAGGAAAGTTTGCTACCAATTCTATTCTTGCACTATCAAGGCCTTTCCCAGCAAAAGTGCTTCTGATCTGGCTTTCACAGAAAGGACACAGAGGTTACACAAGATAAAACCCAACTTCTGCCAGCTTCAAACCATGCAAATCAACTTTCCATGTTCAGGATAAATACCACATAGGAATACCTTTCAGCATTGAAGCCTGTGGCATTTAGAAGCCAGCCTGTCCTTTCTGCTGTTCTTGCCACTGAATACAAGAGCAGGGATTAGAGGCAGACAATCTCTGACCAAAACCTTTTCTGATGTGTTTTGTTATAATGTGATAGCCCTTTATTACTGAAAAAAAATATTTACGTCACTTTGCACAATTTGGAATTTATTCCTGTACAAGAATGAAGAATAAACAATAGAAAAAGAGCTTTTCTCCTCTGGTACTAAAACCAGAGCAATGGCTGAATTAATCCCTGGTGTTTCAAATCCACTCATGAATTTAACCAAAACACAAAAGTCACCCTTTTGAAATGAAATTTCAGCAGAGAAATACATTGGCCAGAGGCCCAGAGGGAGTAAGCAGAAAATGGCTCTGTTTCATGGGTTACACGGGGACATTTTGGGGACACAAAAGCAGAGTCCTTCAAGCAGCAGCTGGGTTCGATCAGGGTGAGGTGACACAAGGCTCGGCTGGGCTGTGCTGCTTCCCAAGCTGTGTCTGGCTGTTCTGCATCGTGCTTGGATCACTGCCAGCTCATTCCAGAGCTCACTCATCTCCAACTCCAGCAGTGCAAAAATCTGCTCAGTCAGTTCCTAGTGATGCTCCTGGGGTGCAAGTTCAGCACACAAACCACCTCTCTTCCCCGCTGGACACAGCTCTGCTCACCCACCAGCCACGGCGAGGGCAGGAGGAGTGGTGGGGAGCTGGGGCTGGCTTCTTCTTGGGCTAATAGAAGCACTGGGAAATGCTGGTGGGAGAGGCAAAGATCAACCTGGTGTGGCCTCCTTAGGCTGCTCCTGTTGCCTTTATACACCTGCTCTGGAGATGGACAGAGCCAGTGACCTTAAAAGAAATTTCTCTGCAACCTAATGAATTTCAGACTGACCTTTTCTCTCTCTTGTTTATGAAAAAAAAAAAAAAATAAGGGAACCTATTTAAGTTCAGCAGGCTGGCCTTAATTTCCCAGTATTCTAAGGTTGCTCATTTCCCTGGAAAATAATTGTCTTGTAAATATGTAAATGCCAGTGTATTTCCACCTCTTCACTTTCCTGCTTTTCAACTTCCATATAATGCCACTGTTTATTTTTAATGACACAAACTTTAGCCCTGTAACACAGGGATTCGAGACCTTTGAGCCCTCTCATTCCTCTGTGCCCCTTAACTTTCCAACCAGTCCTCCAGAGCTGCCAGTCTCTGGCCCTCTCTTTGGTCCCCCTGTCTTTGTGCCTTGTTCTTCTTCTGCTTTGAGACCAGAAGAAATACCAGTTCCTGAGCCAGAGTAGACATCCCAAAACTATACAAATCCCGTTTTTATTCAAGTTCTGCTGTTACTGGAAGTTTCAAGAACTTTCAAGAAGTTGCTCAACTGCACCCACTAATCAGGAATTAACACCACAGACTCTTCCACCCTGCTGGGTTAAAGAATGTTGAGGGCTGGAAGGAGTAGAGGCACACTACACATATGACACAAAACAGAGGTGGGGGGAAGGAAATGGGGTAAAAATAAACATCCCTGCTGAAATTACTATCTCCTCATGTTTAGGTTCTCTTTTTCTACAGTAAAAGGCGAGGAGACTGGAAAATATTAGTTAAATTCAGCACAAAACATCTCCTACATAGAACTAATAAAGCCAGTAGCAGCAGATGGGCATCAATTTAAACGTTGATCCAGAGATCCTCATATCTAAGGGAATGATTAGTCACTACTACAACAAACAGGAAAGCATCCCATGGGATCCCTGTTTCCCGTTTCCTCTTTTATTCCAAGCTTGCTAGAATAACTCTGATATAGCCCAATAAATCCTGGTCTCTAGAAAATATCAGTATTCCTTTTTCTCTAAGGATGAAATGATAAGATAATATCTGTATTATTTTTTCTCTAAGGATGAAATGAGATAAAAGCTCTGGCGCTCAAAATAAGATGCAGAGCACAATGCAAAAAAAAAAAAAAATTGACTTCAGCTGGTGCTAGTTCACACTGAGTGGTTAAACATGAATGCCTCATTGCCAATTAAGGATTGATTTTAAAAGGCACCCACTCTCTTATGCTTTTTTTATAGCAGTGGAGAGAGGTATAGAGCTGAAGCTTGGTGCTTGTTCCAAACCATCCCCTATGTGTTTAAAAAAGCCTGTGTGTTCCTGTGTGCAAGAGGGGAGTCTGAGCAGGCTTTCCTAGCTTGAAGTGAGCTCTTGTGATTATTCCACCATTGCTGTGCTGGCTTTTCTCCCGAGCTCATCTCTGTTGCTGTGTTATTTGTGGTGCAATGCACTGGGAAATCAGGCCCTGAGGTTAAAGCCTGCCTGGGACTCAAAGAACTCCCCTAGAAGCTGTAGGTAAGACTCTGCACATCATAAATAAGTGGTGTGTTCTGTTAAGTGGAGAAGGCCACTTGTTGCATTAAATAAATCTCTCTTAAGTGAATCCTTGTTGAGGGAGCTGCATGGAGGTGGAGCTGCTTAACATAGCTTGTGTAAGTGCTGATTAAGTGCTCTGTCAATTTTGGGAGCCACCTATTTAGATTTGGGTGGCTCAGTGTTCAGGCTGCTCCTCAACCAGATGTTCTCCATGTGGGATCGCTGCCATCCCATCATTGTTTCCAGGATGGCACAAGTGGGGGTGCTTTACAGTGACAATGTGCATCATCAGCTGTGGCATTATCAAGCAGCAGCACCACCAGTGAGAGCAGAGAATTCGTCTGGCTCATCAGTCTCTGGACTGCTCTGCTGGAGAAGCTGAATCCAAGGGGTGAATCATGACACCTTCTCTAAGTCCTGACACTTATTTCTCTTCAGCAGATTTGGCACTGGGTGTCTAGCCCTTCACCCCAGGGCCTGTCAGGAGAGACAAATAGGTGTCTGCAGAAAGCAATTTATTTCCCTTTGCTAGCAACAGAAGGAGCTCAGATGCTATCTAAGACCAAATTCCTAAATCTAAAGTTAGGTGGGACAAATTCCACGCCAAGCACAGTGACTGAGACCAGCAGAACTCGGTGTTTCTCCCTGCTCACCAGTCTCCTGGGTAGAATGTCCCAGAGCAGCACTATCTCCTGCCTTGCTGCTTGTCTGGCTGGAGTCTGGGGACAAAACATTGCCACTGTGGAAGAGTGGCTTAGAGAAATACAGGGGTTTGTACTCAGGGCAATGGAGTCTCACCTGTCTGAAGAAGTAACCAGCTCTGCAGAATTGGAATTATTAACACTGATTTTCCTTCTTTTGGCCCTTTTTTTAGGGTGAAGTCCTGGGCAGATGCCTTTGGTGGGGAGCTGTACTCCATTGTGACTAAGTACTCAGGCTCTCTCCTGTTGCAGAAGGTAGGCAAAAATCTGTGAGGGTTCCCTTTGCTTCGTGTCACTTCCCCGTGTGCCTTCCAAGGTTTCCCCCAGGGTGGAGGAAAGAATAAGACACTGGTGTCTTTTAAAACCATGGAGCTCCATATCCCTAAGCCCAGAGTGATGCCCTGTGGCCATGCTCCATGAACTGGAGAGGGAGATCCCTGCTTTCATCAGCCATTGCTGAGCACCACCTTAATTGTACCACTTTTTGTTACAAATACTTTTTAACAGCACTCCTCGAGTTTCCCCTATGATAATCACTTCCTGCTCTCCCATGCTGACCTTTCATTCCTCCTTCCCTAAGTCTCTCTGCTACTTGTCACTCACCTGCTCACTGTCACCCCATCATCCCCTCCTGGATCTCTCCAGGGACACTGGTTTTTGTTTTTGATTTGTTTTTTTGGGGTTTTGTTTGTTTGTTTGTTTTTTGGGGGTTTTTTTATTGCTTTCTCATCCATATTCAGCCAGTTGTTTATCAATTCTTTGCATTTTGCCCTTCTGGCTGCTTCAGGCAGGTGCCCTGGAAGCCAGGGGGACAGAGCTTTGTTTGGCCTGTTCACCAAACAGCAAAAAAAAGCTGCTTTATCACCTGATAAAGGTTCTTCTTGCACTACCTGTGAGGCAGCTGCAGCAGGATGTGGATTCAGGCAGAAGTTAGGCTTTCAGCAGTTTTGATGATGCTTCCTCATTTTCTGTTGTCCCCTGGAGTCCCCAAGCCATAGCTCCCAGAGGCAAAGGGGACAGTGTCTGTGACTCAGAAGGAAAATGTCACTTTGAGCAAGGGGTACAGATGAGCTTGATCCAGGCTTGCTCTTTAAACACTCCAGCAAAGAATCATCTCCTAAATTCATGTTGTGTTGTGTTCTGCCCTGTCTTCAGCAGTTTAAGCAGTTCAAGTTTATCTTTCAACCCCACTTCTTGAGCTTTTTCATCTCCTGTTGTTTCCCTGGGAAATAAGGAAATAGGAGAGAAGCAGCCAGCACTCACTTAAGTCCTTCTCTCAGCCTCCTTTTCCTTATGTAGCTTGGGCACCTTCTCACAATTCCTCATCTCAAAGCAGGGACCATCCCAAGAGAGCTCCCACTGCATCCCTGGCACCTCCAGCACGACAAGTGGATGTAGACAGATCTTTTACTATTAATTATCCTTTTCATGCACCCTGGCAGACCCCAAATAACTTTATGCAGATCATCTCATTGGCACAGATGTTAGGCCTGGGGAGCCAAACACACCAAAGTCTAGAAATTAAACACATGGATTTACCTGCTCCCCAGGCACCTTTCTCTTTTTTGGGCTATTACCTGTTTTTCACATCAAATATTTCTTTGCATGCATGGTTGTGCCCAGACCAGCAGAAGGGTGGGGAGCACAGTACAGAGGTCCAGGTGATTTCTTTTCTCAGTGCTTGTCTAAGTCAACAGGCATTTTGTCTTTGAGGAAATACAGAAGGTGCTATTATCTCAGTTTGTATCTTATTTCGTGTCTCTCTTGTGCCTAATGGTCTTGAAGTAACTAGCTTATTATTGCTGTGAGAGTCATAATTCTTCAGTTACTGAATGCTTTGCATGTAAACCTTGTCTTTAATACTTGTAATAAACTTTCTTTTGTGGTTTGGAGTTTGCTTAATTTTCTTTGGACTTCTTGTTTGTTTCCTTCAGAAGAACCCTAAAATCATATTGCAAACTCAATTAGTTGACTTCCTACCAGGCTATATAATTCCCAGAGACATGGTGAGCTAACAGACATCCCTTGAATCCCCAAGGGTAGGCTTTTACCCTGCATCACAGCTTTGCCCTGCTGTTATTAGAAAGCCCAAAAAACATGGCAAAGAACAGACAAACTTGAGAAGTTCAGTCAAGACACTTTCCTGGGTGAAGATGAAAGGAATGTCTTTCACACTCTTAATTTAGTTCCACTAGCAGTGAGTAATGCAGCACTGTGTACTTCAATAGGCTGAATTTTATGGAGGTGGGAACAAGAATATATATTTGGTGACATATCTCTGTTCACAGATAAAACTTAGGATACCGAATTCTGGATATTCTACTTTTAAATCACCACCCCCGTCACGGCAGAAGGGGAATCTTAATGATTTGATCTTGCTGTTTTAAGGGAATGCTAAGTGCTAGATGAACAAGAAAAGGTTTTCTGTTAGAGCTGAGCTAACTTTTTGGCCTCTTTTCAAACATCAAATCCTTCCAGCCAGTTCTCCCAAGCCTGACTCCCATTCTGTAACTTAAAATGATCTGATAGCCTGAACCCCAAGCACAGGTTGTGCAGGATGATCCTGGCCAACTGCAGGCACCTGAGCTGGCTTTCAGCCACAGAGTCTGGTGACAGTATGAAATCACTACTCTGTTGCCCACCATTAGAAAATAGAATATATAAAATAGAATGAATAGGCAGAGATTGCCATGGCAGGAATACAGGCATGTAGCTGGTTCATTTGTAGGAAAAAGGCTCAAATAGGATTTGAGCTCAGACCTGGTGTATTCCTTAGCAAACTGGAACTTTGCAGAATTGGTTTTTTTTTTTTTTTATCTTGGGTTTTTTTCTTCCCATCTCTGGCTAGATCTCAGGGCTGAGACGTGCATGCCATTAGCAGACTGCTTTTGATTTCTCATGATTACTTTTACCCCAGTAACATCTACTTGTGAGTAGATCAAAAGCACATTGAAAGAATTTAACAGAGAGGGGGGAGAGCCGTGTTGCTGTTAACTGAGGCTGTGGTGCAAGGTAGCTGGTGGCAGGTCACTTTGTGAAGCTCGTGCTTGCCCGTGCTGCTGTGTCCCCCCCTTGGTGAGCTTTCCCAGGAGAGATTACCCTGCTCCCCCCAGCAGGGCCTGATTAAAGCCCAGCCTGGCAGAGATCACTTCTCTCCTGGCAGAGCCCTGACGTGGAGCTGAAGGGACAGACACAGCTGGGTGTGTGCTGCGGTCTCAGCACCAGCCAGGCACCGTGGTCAGGGCTTGTGGCTGCACATTTCTCTTCTGGCAGCGTGGTTACCCCAGCCTTCCAGCTCAATCCCTCCTGCTGCTTCCCCTGCCTGTCCCAGCTCCCAGCCCCAGCAGAGGGGATGTGAGCCCTGGCGTTTTTAATCCAGTAAAACCCTCGCTGTTAATCATGCCAGACAGAGCCAGCAGCCTCCCTGCCATGCCTGCTGTGGGCTGGATGCTGCTGCTATTTCTGTCTGACCTCCTCTGCCTGCCCCATCCTCGAGGCATTTCTTCCTCTGCCTGTGCCCAGCCACCCTCCCGGATGGTCAAGGAGCTTCTCGAACAAAAGGACGTGCAGAGTCCTTCCCCTGCTGCTTCCCTCTAACTCAGAAGTGTCACTACAGCCCCTGCCATCCCCTTGCCCTTTTCACCACCCCATTTTTTTCCCAGCACAAGAAGCCCAGCCCTGGCTGAGGTTGCTGCTCTGGTGCTACGACAAGGTAGATGGAGGGGGGCTGTGCACACTGCAGACAAAACTGATGATGAGGAACCAGGGAATTGCAATTGGTTGCCTTTGTGTTTCCACATTGCTCAGGAGACAAGGCTCTGTCTTTTCTGAAATAAGTGAATTGTCCTGTGTCCTTTCACAGGTTTCATTAATCTTTCTTTCTGGCAAACTCTGTTAGCTGTGGGATTTTTTGGAAAGGAGAAATAAAGACCATTTTAGCCAGTCTTAAAAGAGCAGACTCAAGGAGGCAGATTATGGTTACGCAGTTTAGATGTACTCTTGGGGTTTTTTTTAATTCCTATGTTATATGAAACTTGGTGAGAATAAACTGGTTATCTCTAAAGCTGTCAGATCTAGATCCTCCTCATTATAGACCTCTCCCCTGGGGTGAGCACATTTCTCTCTCTCTCAGGATTTTTCAAAGGGGTGCACAGAGAGAAAGAAGAGAAAACAATTTCTATTTCTGCTCCTTGTTTTTCCCATGTGGAATGTGTTTGGAGAATTGTTTACCTGGGGTGATTGCTTGATTGGATTCTGGTGAGGATTGTTTGAGCCTGATGGCCAATCCAACCCACCTGGGGCTGGACTATCAAGAGAGGGCCACCAGTGGTGAGTGAGTTAGATATGGTAGTCAGAAAAAGTAGGTTTCTAGTTTTAGTATCTCCTTTAAATAGTATATTAATGTATTATAGCATAGTTGTAATAAAAAAATAATTCAGCCTTCTGAACTGGAGTCAGACATTATCATTTCTTCCCATTGGGTTTGCCTGCATTTTACAATATTCCCCATGGAGGTAGCACCAAGTAGCCATGCTTATAATTCCTAGGTTTTGGGAATTGCCTCTGTGGTGCTCTTGGCCTAAATTATGCCCCTGGGTGCCCAATAAGTGGCATCATACCTGTCCATCTCAGCTTTCCTTGGCAGTCTCCCCTGTAAGCACTGAGCAGACCCTTCTTGCTGGAGACGTGGCAAGTTCCCTGACAGATGTGGTGGCCCTGGGGCAGGACAGCCCCTGCACTGCATGACACCAGTATCCCCAAGCACACATGACATAGGAGGAGCTGCAATGACAGCACATTGCTCCATTCCCTTGCTTTTCCCTCTGCCTTAAGGTGTGTGAAGTGTATAATACTGTTGTGGATGTCATCACAGTGCATGGTTTGGCTTTTTAAAAGTTGGCCTTCTGCTTCTCTCTAGTTTGTAGGCACTAATAGCTTCAGGTGCATTGCTCCTTTCAACAGCCACAAGCTCACAGTTGGATCAGTCATTTCTACTTGGTCAAAGTGCTTTGAGTTATGGCCACTGATCTGCACATCCTGAATTATGGGGTGGAAAAGGGGGAAATACAAAGATGGAAGGTGATAAAATTAGAGCAGTTGTTTCAACACAAAAACAATACCTAGTTAGCAATGATAGATTCATCCCTCTCCTCAAGAACCTCCTGCTCAGCAGGGTTTTTTTCCTTCCCCTGGGTAGAAGTACAAAGATGTGGAGCCAACTCTGAAAATCAAGGAGGTGGATGGCTTGGAGCTGGTGAAGAAGTTCTCAGAGCAGATGGAGAGCATGCTCCGCAGGAAGGTGGAAGCTGTTGAGGTATGACCACTGCCCCTGGGGCTTTGGGAAGGAATTTGTGTCCTGCCAGCCCCAGAGCAGCAGGCACAGGCCTCCTGCCTGCAGCAGGAGTGTGTGGGTGCAGGGGTTGTGTGAGGACTTCCCTGCCCAAGCAAGAGCCTGCTGGTGCAGCTGGCTGCTCAGGCTGAGCTTTAAGCAGACACTGGTGGGAGGATGTGGGCGTTCAGACAAGGGGATGCTGGCTTCTCCCTCTGCTCAAATTAGAAAATAAGACAAAAACAAAGTCTAGGAATAAATATGAGGGAATAAGCACTCTTTTAGGAGACAAGCTGTTAAAAAAAAAAAAGGGGAGGGGGGAAGAAAACCTCTCAAAAGTGAAAAATCCAGTTCATCCTTCCATAATGCACTCTGGTGGCTGAAGACTGGGGGCTTGTTTCAGCTGTGTGTGTGGCTCAAGGGGAATTTCTGCACCTCCTGAGCACAGGCTGCAAGGAAGGTGCTTGGATTTCCAGCTGTGTACATGGGGAAGTGTGGAGGAGGTGGCAAGGGGTCTGTAGCTGTTGCAGTGTGGGAGATCAGAGCAGGTAATCGTTCTGGCCCCTCTTGCTTCCTGCATCTAAGGATTTATCATATTCCTGTATGTTTACCTACTATGAAAAGCATATTTCTGTAGTCACAGAGCCTTGACTGTTTAAGGCTTCTAATGTGGAAAAGTCATCCAGAAACACATCATTTGAATCTCCAAGTGAAATGTGGGCATATTTAGTCCCAGAGCTTTGGCCAATAACATTAAATTCTTAGCCAGACTTCTCCAGTGCTTGGATTGCCTCTGTGAAGGAGCAAAACGTAGTTTTGCTGAGACTGTTGCTGATTGTGCAACCTTGAAAACATGTGTGTGTTTGGTTGGATCCCTTCCCAGTCTGTACCAACTGAGAATTAGTGCCCTGGAGCATCACACTGGAGAAAACTGGCTGATTTTATTGCTTTCCATAAATGGTAAGAGCTTATAAATGGCCACAGCATCACTGAGCCCTTTACGAAATCCAGTCATGGTCTTTGTCTCAGTAACAATACCAGACTGAGACTCCCACAAGGCCTTTTCCTTTGATGAGATACTGACATCAAGCTGGGGCTGAAATGCCTTTCCCATGGTTTTTTGGAAGGGTTCGTGGAAAATGAAATTAAATCTGTCTGTTGTTTCTCTAAACGGACCTGTTTCTGTTTGTACGTGTCCTGCGATATCTGAAATTGCTCTGGGGTTTAGCAGGGACCCTGGAGTAACTAGGTGTGAATACACTTGGCAATAAATAGCTGCAAATAATGTACCTTCCAAGCTATAAAATTGTAGCACAGAATGACAGGTCTGCAGGAAAGGAGGGAAAGAAGGAAGTTTATAACCCTAGATGTGCTTGTGCTGGAGGAGGCAATCGCTGATACAGCTGGAAGAACTTCTGGAGGGCTTTGCCACAGCACCCACTCACCTTCCTTTCTGTGTGCTTGCTTTAGAGGCTGGTGGAAGCAGCAGAAGATGCAGATCTGAACCATGAGTACAACTCCTCGCTGGAGGTGAGTTTCTCCTGGTCAGTGACAAATGTGGCACACAGCCAGAACCCACCCCTCAGGCTCCTGGGCAGCTCAGGAGCTGCCTTGTCTGCAGGACACTCAGAGACTGCTGCAAGATAGAGACATCCTTGGCAGATCCCAAACCTAGGAACATCAAAAAGATTTGTCCCATTGGCTCTGGGAGGGGAAGGATTTGGGAAGATGTTGGGCTGTGTGATATTATTGGTATTACTTTTACTGCACGGCCAACACTGTCATTATGTGACGTTTTATTGCAAATTAGCCAGCACTTTGTGGGTTACTTGACTGGAAAATGAGCTAAAAATTGAGTGTGAATGAACAATGAGGAGGATGCTGTTACAAATACCCACAGCAAACCGTTAATCCAAATGAACTGAGTTCCTCACCATCTTTCTTAACAGCTCCCATCATCTTTTCTGTACCAGACAGACACCCACTCATCAGGACTTCCCTTAAGGTGAAAGTTTGGTGCTGTCCAAGCAATTTGGATAATTGGCTTTCTCTTAATAACTGTTTGTTGTGGCCAAACTGTGAGTTATTGCTGGTGAGGGAAGCTGGAATGAAAAGGCTGTGGAAGAAAGTCCTCTATACACAGTACAAGCACAGACAGCTTAACAGCACAGGCTACCCCTGCAAGTACATGTCTCAGTGCTAGGAAAAATGAAAACACTCCTTGAAATCAAGCTGGTTACTAATTTCATCTCACTTTTTCCTTTTTTTTGAAAGAATCCCATTAGCCATATTAGTTGAGTCAGTGCATTCACAATAAGGGGCATGGGTGAGTTAAGGTACATTGTATTTGCACACTCTGAGTGCTGCTAGTGCTTGAACACTAATCCTTACATAAACCCTGGCTCAGATAAAGTCAGGAAAAACATCTTAAAAACATAGGTTATCCAAGGACAAAGAAGGCCCTGGAGGTACTAAATTGACTGTAGATGGTAAATCCCCAGTGACCTTCATGGGTGGGGGAGACACTGCATTGTCTTTGAGCACCTTCTGCTTGATGCTTTGCTCTGGGTGAGTGCCTACACACCCAGCTGGTGTCAGTCCCTTCAGCTCCACGTCAGGGCTCTGCCAGGAGAGAAGTGATCTCTGCCAGGCTGGGCTTTAATCAGGCCCTGCTGGGGGGAGCAGGGTAATCTCTCCTGGGAAAGCTCACCAAGGGGGGGACACAGCAGCACAGGCAAGCACGAGCTTCACAAAGTGACCTGCCACCAGCTACCTTGCACCACAGCCTCAGTTAACAGCAACACGGCTCTTCCCCCTCTCTGTTAAATTCTTTCAATGTGCTTTTGATATACTCACAAGTAGATGTTACTGGGGTAAAAGTAATCATGAGAAATCAAAAGCAGTCTGCTAATGGCATGCATGTCTCAGCCCTGAGATCTAGCCAGAGATGGGAAGAAAAAAACCCAAGATTAAAAAAAAAAAAAACAATTTTGCAAAGTTCCAGTTTGCTAAGGAAACACCAGGTCTGAGCTCAAATCCTATTTGAGCCTTTTTCCTACAAATGAACCAGCTACATGCCTGTATTCCTGCCATGGCAATCTCTGCCTATTCATCCAGGATTTTCTAATGGTGGGCAACAGAGTTGTGATTTCAATATTGTCACCAGACACTGTGGCTGAAAGCCAGCTCAGGTGCCTGCTACTTGGAGTGCCAGAGTCAGGGGATGATTCCAGCTGGATGTCCCCCAGCAGTGAGCTCAGCAAGGGACAGCTGCTGTGTCCTGTGGTAAACCTGGGAGCCAGACCCCATAAGACCCTTCACCTTTCCCCAAATCCCCTAAATACGTCGGAGGGGCACAGGAGGCTGCCATCCTGCCCCTGTGCTCTTAAGTGGCTCTTAAGCAATGCTCCTGGCATTGGTCATATGGACACATGACAACAACAAACTGGCCAGAACCCATCATTTGGGCAGCTTGACACTTCCAGTTGGTAATAGCTTGTTTGTGGCTCATTTTGATCCTCTTTGAAGCCCTGATTCTCCATATGTCCCCTCTTTGTTTTAAAGAGTGTTTCTCCCCACCCCTGGCAGTGCTGGTAATAGTCTGTGCTATTCTCTTTGTCTTTCTTTTTTCCATTGTCTTCGTCAACAGTTTGATTACTACAACTCTCTCCTGATTAACGATAAGGATGAAAATGACAATTATGTGGAGCTTGGGGATGAATTCATTCTGGAGCCAAATGAGCATTTCAATAACCTGCTGGTGAACACAACCTACAGTGATATCCAGCTGCCCACCAACGTCTACAACAAAGGTAATGGCCTCTGCCTTCTCATTGCTGGTAGGCTGGTATGGAAATTGCTAGCAGCAATACTGGAAACAAGGATGGGAATAGAAAAATGACAACTAACAGAGGGAAAAATAAAAAATCAGGGTTGGAAAGCTGCTGTCCTAAGAGACAGTCTCTGCTGTCACTGTGACAGGGCTTAGGTACAATCTACTCTTGGAAAACCTCTCATAGTGGACAGGCCTCCATCTCAGACAGGCAGTGTATTCTCCTACAGCCCCTCTACCCAACCAAAGGTGCTGTGAGATAAACTGAGATAAGACTTTATTGGCAATTGTCACATTGAAGAGTTGGCTCTATCACGGCCTCTGGTTGTCAGGCATCTCATTGGTGACTGTGCTCAGAACTGCTGTTTTTTAGAGACACAATAGAGTTCTATTTCTCCCATGATTTCAAATCAGTTCCATCTGCTCTGGCAGCCCCAGACCCTAAAATCTTGCTCACAACAGAGCGCCCAGCAGAGCTGGCTGTGGCTGGGTACAGCAGAACTGTGCAAAGGAGGCTGCTGCCCTCTCTCAGTATGGAGAGAGGGGGTCACACAGCAGAGAGGCACTGCCCAGCCAGCTGATTTCTTGCCCCTACTCCTCACCATGAGCCAAGTAGCTCCTCTGGCTGAGGCTGCAGGATGAGCAGGAGATGGAAGAGGAGGGCTGCTTCCATGCCCACGTCCCGCAGAGCTCACTCCCCCTCCTGCAAACAGCAGTGAGCCTGGCTCTCCACAGCATTTCCAGCTCTGCCTTCCTGCAGGACTGACTTTGGCCTCATTCCTGGGGAGCCACAATTCAGTTTTTGCCTCATTTTGACAAAACTGCTTTTAGTAAAGTGACTAAACAGCAGGTGGTAGGTGAAAGCCCCACCCTTTTCAATACTAATGCAGTTAATCCTACAATGACCAGTTTCTCATGATTCACTGTTTCTACTGCTGTTGTTCTTTGGTCTCCTGAGGCAGTGAGTCAACACAGACACCAAATATACACTGCCTCCTAGGAGTTCTTGGAATCTGCAGCTTCCTGTTGATTCTGTTATTGATGGGTAATGCGATGGTTGGCTCTCACAATTAAGGGATGAGTATTATGTGTGTGTGTCTTGGTTTGAAAAGACACCTGTCTGCTTAAGAGAGGTAGGAGCCTCCCCTGAAATGGGAAATGTAAACCCCCTCCCTCCAGATTATTATGATTTTGAAATTAAAAGGCTCTCAGGCAAAGATACGGGAATAGGAATAACAGTTCTTTACTAGGAAAATTAAAAAAAAAAAAAAAAAAAAACAACAGAAAACACAACACCCAAATGTAATAGTACAAACAAACAAACAAAAAACACTGACAGAGTCAGAATATGACCTGACACCTGTTGGTCAGTGTGCTGGCAGCAGTCCCATTAAATGGTGGATGCAGTCCTCCTGCAGTGCCAGCTGTGGCTCTGCTGGAGCAGGGATCCTGTAGAAGGGTGACTGTTCCTCTGAAGATGCAGTGGTGGTCTAGTTGGGCCTGGTCTTCCTCTGGGAATCCAGTGGAAAAGGCTGCTGTGGTGTTCCAAAGCTTTGATTATATCCAGGTAGGAATGCTTGGCTCCTCCCCCTGGGCAAAGCATCTCGCCATGAGATGATGGAATTTTATCAGGCATGCAGGGACACTCACTGGCCCATGAACAGAGGATAATTAATAATTAATGGCTCATGAACAGAAGAGATGATCTGGAGGGAGGATGGGTTGTGGAAGAGATAAAGAAAACTGCCCAGTGAAGAGAAGATAACTGCCCCACCCTAACAGATAGGAATAGAATTATTCCCCTATTTCCAACCTAAGACAGGATGATCAGAGAAGCTTTATTGATGTGTAGTTATGCTGTTGTGATATGTTCTCCCCACAGTCCCCTTTCCCTCCCCATTGTATTGTTGCCACCAGCTCACTGTGGTAGCCAGGGCATTTGGGAGGAGGGCAGGCTTGTTACTGGGAGGCGTGGCATGGCAACACCTGACTTCCCATCAAACTGCAAGAAAGTGATCTTGTCAGGAAAATTAATCCACAAACATCAGAGGTTTATGTCCAAAAAGGAGACAGAGGAGTCCTTTTACTTTATTCGAATAAAGGGAGAGGCCATAGGGCATTCCCCTGGGGTCTCTCCAATTTTTGGAGGACACAGCCTCCTTTTCATCCCAATTTCCAGGCCACATTTCCCTTCTCTCTTTCCCGTTGGCTGAAGTTCTTGAGAGGTACAGACTTCCCAGAATGCTTGATACCAAAGATTCCCCTCTAATGTATAACCCTCCCTCTTAATTTTTAATTCTTATGGAATTTAGGGTTTTCCCCCCATTGTTTCTTTCATCTTTCAATGTCCAATTTCATCTATCAGCAAACCGACAGTTTATTTGTAAAGGCAAATATATTTTTCCATTCATCAATCGATGGAATCTCTCCCATTGTTTCTTTTATCTCTCAGTGTTAGTTTTATCTACCAGCAGACCAACAGCTTGTTTGTAAAGACAAATCCATCGTTCCTCTCAATCTCCGCCAATGGATGACAAGGAAGAGTTGACTGATAGACTTTGGTAGGAGCTAGGGTTACCTGATTTTAGGAAAAAAAATTTCAATGAAAGAATAATAAAATACTGGAATTGCCTTCCCAGGGAGGCAGTAGAATCACCACCTCTGGATGTGTTTTAAAAAAGACTGGACATGGCACTTGGTGCTATAGTGTAGTTGAGGTGTTAGGGCATAGGTTGGACTTGATGATCTTAGAGGTCTCTTCCAACCTCATTATTCTGTGATTCTTTTATACCTTTTACACCAAAAGTATAAAAGGTGGAGCAGCCATTTTTTGGGGGAGCACATGGTGGTTTAGTTCCACGATCCCAGCAGTGTAAATTTTTCCTTATTCAGTCTTTTGTTGCATTTTGTTAAGGTTGAGTAAACCTTTGAAATCAAAAATGAGTGTTGTTTCTCGCTATTCTGAGGAGATGGGGGCATAGTAGGACAGCCTAGGCTTTGTCAAGCAAAGGGCAGGCAAAGAAGACAAGAAATATTTGATAAGGGAAAGAAGAGAGAGAGCAACTGTGTAAATCCTAGGGCTCCTCTGCCTTAGGTAGTTACACCTAGTATAAATTTAGACAGTCCTGTAGAAAGGCTCTCAGTGATGCATCAGGCTGCTGCATCTCAAGAGCCACAGATCCCCTGTCAGGCAGCAGCTGAGTGCTGCCTGTGGGCTGTGCCAGCTGTGCTCAGCACTGTGCTGGCCTCCCTGGGCTCTGGGATCATTATTCCAACCAGATGTAGGGCTCAAGGGCAGACAAGGCTGGAAAGAGGAATGGGGTTAATAGTGTCTGACAAGCTGAGATCACCTGCAGTGGCCAGTGGTGGCCTGGCCTCCAGGACTCACACGAATGGGCAGGGAATGGAATCAATGTACAAGCTTTGGACAAGGTTGCAATCCTCCTGAAGCTGCCTTTGTTCCCATCCCTCTCCTCCATCAGGGATGGTGGATGTCCTCCCTTCTTTTACACAGTTTTCTCCCACAGACCCTGCCATACTCAATGGAGTTTACATGTCAGAAGCCCTGAATCCTATTTTTGTGGACAACTTTGAAAGGGATCCCACACTGACCTGGCAGTACTTTGGCAGCTCCACTGGATTCTTCAGGCTGTACCCAGGTAAAAGAGTAGAGATTGGCTTTGCTCTTCCAGTGCCACACAATAATTTTGCAGGGACAGGGTCTGTGCATAGAAGAATCCAATCTGGGAAGTCTGGGGCCATCCCAGCCCCGAGAAGGGCAGGATGCAGTGAGCAGAGTGGGCTGATAAGGCTGAAGGAGTTATTCTGCAGGCATAAACCACTTAGAACCAGCCACTCAGGCACATTGATCACACAACCCCAGAGGAGTCTGCTGGCAGGGGTCTTCCAAAAAGCTCTCAAAACACCATAGCAGGGCTCCCCTGTGGGTTTGAGTGGTGGCCAAGGTCTCTCTGAGGACACACTGGCAGATGCAGCTGGCCAGCCTGACTGGGCATCCAGCTGTGAGCGGCACGTTAGGTCCCAGCACGGGAGGGAGGTCCTGTGCTTGCAGGAACCAATGCAGCTCTGCAGCTGCAGCCTGCCTGGTGGCCACCTGGTCAGATGGCTGTGTGCCCTTGTTCTGTGACCTGGCATTGCTGGGGAAGCTGAAAGCAGAGATGGCTGTGAACAGAGCCTCTAGCAGGGAATCTGGGATGCATCCCACTCACTGCTGCTGCTTTTTTATGCTCTCCACCACCTCTCTGTTGTTGTGAACTACCTCAAAGTGACAAAAAACTCCAAGTACAGGCAGTTGCTTTGCAGTTGAACAGACTGTGCCTAGGTACATCTTTTTAAGAGAAACTTAATAAACAGTTTACTCAGAACTGCCCAAGACCGAGCAGCTCTGCTTGTATTTCTGCAGAATGGCTGCTGCTGTGGCTGGCCAGCCTCGTGGGCTCCCTGGGGCAGCAGTGCAGTGCCTGGGGAGCAGGTGCCTGCCTGCCTGTGTGTGCTGATTGCTTCTCTTGCTGCTCTCTTCAGGAATAAAGTGGCTACCAGATGAGAACGGAGTCATCTCCTTTGACTGCAGAAACCGTGGCTGGTAAGTTTTGGAGAGACTTGGCCAAAGCACCTTTCATCCTTCCTCTCTCTCTCTTCTCCAAGGTGACACCTTGGTGAGTTGCTGATCAGTTATTAATGTCCTGTGGTGGTCCTGCAAGAGATGGGGGGTACATAAACAAAGGTAATAACAGGTTGGGAAGCCCTGCCAGCAACAGTATTCCCTGTGGCTTCTAACATGTGCCACGTGGAAATTACACTTCTGTGACTGGGAGGTGCTGAGGATATTTAGGTTTCAGAGCTGTGGTGTGTTTACTCAGTCTGCTCAGCATGGCTAAAGCAGACTTGAACATTGGTCACTCTTGGGTGTATGTCTGCAGTGGGCTCAGCGCTTCCCAAGGAGGAAGTGAGGTGGCTGTGGTCACGGTGCATGTGGTGACAGCAGCATGCCCAGCATTGCTCCTCCCTGGCTCTCACCCTGCTTCCTCGTGCTCTTTGTTCTGCAGGTACATCCAAGCAGCCACCTCTCCCAAGGACATTGTCATCATTGTGGATGTCAGTGGCAGCATGAAGGGCCTGAGGATGACCATTGCCAAGCACACCATCGTCACCATTTTGGATACTCTGGGAGAAAATGACTTTGTCAACATCATTGCAGTATGTCTGCCTCCATTCCAGGCTGAGCTGGCTCCTGGTGCCTCACACCCTGTCCTCCTTCCCCTCAGCAAATCACTGTGACCTACCTCCAGCAGCACTTATATATATGGAAGTTCCCCAAATGACCCTTGGGAAGGCAGCTTTGTGTGCTCAGCAGGGTGGCTGCCAGGTCATTTTATGTCTCCTCCACAGAGGATGCTGGCTGCATCTTTTTGCTTTCTTAGGGATGTGACTACAACAGATAATAAAGGGCTGCAGAGAGACACCTGAGCTAATAATTCACCTAGCTTGCCATAACACTGTATTTGGGTCCAGCAGCAGCAGTGTAAGCCTCAGGATAATGTTTCCAAGCTAGAAAACTACCACCATATGCCTTTTTGTGCACCAGCATCCTGCAAGTCTGCCCTTACAGTTCTGAGTCAATCAGCTGGGCTGCATGGAGCTTGGTCAGGAAGCTTCAGTGTTAATCTCTTCTTCTTTGAGCCCTGGCAGGGTGAGGATGGGCTGGTTACCCACAGAGAACCAGCACCACTGGCCACAGAAAGCAAAACTTCTTTCCATGACTCATAGCAAGACTGGTGCCATGTTAAAGGCTCCTTGCCTTCTAATTTTCAAAGCTAATTCAAACACCATCTCCTTCCCAAGGCTTCTTTCTATGATAGCTTGCCAGGGCACAGTCACTGAGATATAAATTCTGCTTTTTGTTGATAGCTTCTTATGTTAGCTAATTAGAAACTCCAGTGGCAACAATTCTGTCTTTATATGACTGGACAGATGGAAGAGTGAACAGTGTTGGCAGAAAAATGGAGGGGAGTCATTAAGGAGTTTGAAATATCATCTGTTCTTCAAAAACAATCCCAGAAATACCATGTTTATATATATATGTGTGTGTGTGTATGTATATTCCTTTACTGAACTCCCACCAAGAGCCTGCTGGCTCAGAGACATTATAGCCTGACCTGAGTTCCCATTATCAGCTGAGCATCTCAGGAATTGTGACCTCTTAGGAACTGCACTCTCCTGGACCTTGCAGGAAAAGGTTCACAGGGCCTTACCAAGTTTTACCTTGCATATCACAGTCTATAATCATCCACTCCCCTAATTATAACAGTCCAGTGGATGTGTGCTAACCTGGTTTGTTATTGGTATTTGATGCTCCTGCTGTGAACCAGGGGCTTCAAACTTCAGGTTACCAGGTTCAGCTGGTGGCTGGGGACTCAGAGTCTCCAGAAGTGAAAACTATATGCAAAAACTGCTAGAAGCAAGGCCAGGGATACAAGTTCATAAAGTGGGGATAAAAACTTTATGGTGTAGGTGGGGAAAACCCCCCCCAACTTTGTATGTGTAGATATGCTCAGCTAGGACTCAGCAAAACACTGTAATTAATGTGTTATTCAAACAAACAGAAGAGTCATCAAAATCCTAGTTTGCCATGATAACTATAAACAATTTTAAGGGAAATGGGTATGAGAAGGCATAATGTTGCATGCTGCTTTTTGAACATGTACCTAGGACGTGAACCCATTTTGTGAATTTTCTCCCATGACAACTCCTTTCTTCTCATTTTCTCTTTGCAGTACAATGATTATGTTCATTTTATCGAGCCCTGTTTTAAGGGTATCTTGGTCCAAGCAGACAGAGATAACAGAGAGGTGAGTACCAGGCCCCTCTCAGTGTGACTCAGGTAGCTCTCTTCATGCAGGCAGAGCGCGGGGTTGAGATGCTGTGAGATGAAACTCCAGGACAAGGAACAGGGTTAGCATTTCAGAAGCCAGCACCAGTTCAGTGCTGTGTCCTGTGGCTCACCCTGAACTGCCCAAGCTGCTGTGACACGGGGTCAGCTGGTGGGTGAGCAGCAGCCACAGCTCCCCTGTGTCCCCACCACCAGCAGACCTAGCCCAGGCTGCCTTATAAAAACTGGGGGCAGAGGGCAAAAGGTCTCCATCTTAGACATCCTCAGCCCTCAGAAATGAGAGCAATCAGTCTTTTGCTCGTGAGTATGTTCTCAGCCTGGCCTGATCCTTCATCAAGGTGGAGTGCTAGCAAGCCCTCTCTGAGGAGGGGTTTTGCTGCTCTGGTCCAGGAGGGTTCAGCAGCCCGAGGTGGCCAGCCTGTGGCCAGCTGTTCCACCACCCTCCTGGCTGACTGCTATTTTTAGCTTCTCTCCCTGTTTCGTTTTCCTTCTTCTTTCAATTTTTTTTTTTGTTTGTATTACTCCATCCCTATATGCCTTCAACAACGAGATTGCTTTCCCAGATTAGCCCTAGGCCACAGACTACTACAGAGGGTGATGGCTTTGCAGGGATTCCCAAAGGATTCCCAAACATTCTGGACACTACCTTGCAGAGAGGGTTTAATATAAGCAGATCAATGCTGCTTAAGTCATAGACGAGCAGACAAATTTTTCCTTTTCCCCATCCTGGTGCTTTTGGGTGCATAGGATTTTTTTTTTTCACCTGAAGGAGCAGATAAGGGAAAGTCAGATTTCCAGTAGTTTTGCCCCTTCCATGGGTTGTCAGAGACTGAGAAATGCAGTCCTGCTGGAGATGCATGGGTGCAGCCTTTGCTGGGCTACCCTTTCCTGCCCTGGTTGGAGGGAACAACCTGCCTGCAACTCATTCCTTGTTAGGGTTAGTTGGTGAGACTCTAATAGTGTGAAAGTTTTTGGTTTTTTAGTTTAGTAGTTGAAGAAGAGGTTTGGAATGTGTGAAGTTGAGTTTTTAAGGTTGTTTATTTTTTTTTATCTGTAACTTTTGGGTTTTTTTTTTTACTTGTTGAGGTTTGATTAGTATAGAAGTAGTTTGTTTTGAGTTTTGGGTGGTTTTTACATTATATATTTAAAATTACGTGTTGTATGTTTATAGATTTGTGTTCATGCTTATTACTTATGTTAAACAGTGAATTTTTAGCTTAAACTAATAGAAAAGTGTCACCAGCACACTAAGGCATGGAGGACAAGACAAAAGAGAAGAAAGCTAGGACACGCCTAGATTCCTTTGTCTTGCACTCTTGAATTATATTCTAAAAACTCCAAAATTCTACTTTTCTACCCTGTGCCAATTCACCTATTACACTGCTCAAACCCTTTAGGCTTGTAATTCCTCATGCAGAGTTGGTAGCTTCTCTTACGTGCTAAAATCGAAGGCACGGGTGTTTTTGACTTCTTGCTGGGGTCTTGAGACATCCAGGGCAGCCAGGGGGATGTCCTGGACTCCAACAATTCCTGGGTTTTTTTGCTCTCTTTTTGCCAGCACTTCAAGCAGCTGGTGGAGGAACTGCAGGCAAAAGGAGTGGGCACTGTGAGCAAGGCTTTGACAGAGTCCTTCAAAATCCTGAGAGAGGTAAGAGTTGGTGCTGATGCTTGTGTGGGGCATGAGTGTGTGGGGAGCAGGCAGGAGCTAATCTCATGGATCCCAAATTTGTGACAAGCAGCATGCAGGGCTCACCCATCTTAGGGGAAGCGTTGGTTTGTGCACCATGGCCACAGCCACCAGTCTCTGCCCAGCAAGGATCAGGAGCCAGCAAGGCTGTGGCCTCATGAGTTTTCCTAATGAGCCCCACAACTGGGCACTGCCCAGGCACCTTTACAGATGGTGGCAATAAAATACAATTTGATCAGCTGAGGGCCACAATTCTGGTTGTAGGTAATGTTATTAGTGAGCAATGATGATAATGAAGACTTGAAAGATTATTCTTCAGATTTATTTTAATGTCATTTTTCTGAGTATCAGTGCTTGGAGAAGAAATCACAGGTACAGGAGAATTGATCCCTCTGAAAAGAACCATAAATTATTCATTGCCTCGTGTGAATAGGAAATTCAGTGGCCTGGAGGTAAACGTACATTTAATTCTGTTTCTTAAGGAATGGTAACAAGAAAAAGGACCAAGAACCAGCTGAATACCCCCATCCCCTCATGGCACTGTTTATAGTGGGGTTGTGGATCACAGAATCATAGAAGGACTTGTTGGAAGGGGCCTTAAAAGCTGAGAAAAAATACGTCCTCCACTGAAATAGCTGAACCAAAAATGCCTCCAGGGAGTGTTGCCCATGCACCCCAGTGGACTAATAGTAATAGAGAAGAAACTTCTTAGACCTGTATTGGTAATAGTAGAGGAAAAGGGTTTTTGTCAGTGTGTCCCAAAATAAATCTGTGCAGTCACAGTCAGCAGAAGGGGGGAACTTTGGTGGAATTGACTACCCCCGTCTCATCAGACAAATTCCCACTCTCAGCTGCTCCTCACAGACTCTCCTGTTACTGCTCATGGGAGCATAAGCAGGAGAATGAAAATTGCTACATCACACTGATGAAACAGGCTTTGCTGATTACAAGAGACAACCAGTAATAATATCTGTAATGAAAGTGGCTGCAAAATTTCCATAGTAATTTTCCTCAGTCCAATTGCTCACAGAATTAATAGCCCAGCAGAGACCTACTCAATGAGGTATGAGTAGCAAAGAGGGCTTGAAGAAGAGCACAAATCTCTCACTGTCTTTGTTCTCCTCCATTATCTTCTGGGGGAGACAGGGCATATTTTAATCCATGACACAATTTGCAGATCAGTTTCAGGAGAACAGCTAGCCAGAGACCCCCTGTCCCTCTCTGCCATGCTCAATAAACCACTTGAACTCTCCATTTCAATTTACCACAAACCAAGTGGTTTCTATAAAATATGCATCCAAGGGAAGCCATGGTCTTAAGCACACATTTATAAAGTGCTTCAAAATTCTCAGGTGTCAAGTGCTATCTTTTGAGGTCTTTTCTTATTTATTAAGTTTTAATCTGTCTCACTGCTCTCTTCTCTTCCTTGTTTCAACAAGCTTGGCCTGCCTTGTTCTCTCCCCTTTTTCCTGCAGGATTTATGCCCCTTTGTTCTGCTTCCAGGCTGCCTCCCCTGAAACACCATCCTCCCAACAGCGTGTGAGTGCTGCAGCTGAGAGCTATCAGGTGCTAAGCAGAGCAGAATAATTGCCTTCCCTGTTTTACACATCGTACTCCTCTTAACAGGACTTAAGACAACAGCTACAATTTTTTCAGCCACTGTCACATTGTTAATTCCTATTCAGCTGATGTGTCTCTGCAGCATCCCTCCCCAGGCAGTATCCACCCTCCTCTTCTGTGTTCGAGCCACTGCCTCTCCTTTCCAATGCACACGTGTCCTCCTTTCTCAGGATACACTCAGAGCATGTATTTTGAAAGCTGTTGCTTTTCCCACCCTGTGGAGGACAAGAAAAGCCAAGTTCTGCTTTCCAAGGCCTCCTTGGAATGATGTTTCCTCTTACCACCAGGCTGATTTTAATCGTGCCTTGACTCAGAAATCACATAAACATTGAAGTTAATTGAGTGGGTCATTCCAGAATGACTATAGGTGGAAAAAAGGTGATGAAACTGGTAACAGACTGGATTTCAGTGAGACATAAAATTCTGAGCAAACTGGTGCTGTAAAAAGAATAAACCTGTGTGCTGATTCAAGTAAACAAAGGTTTGTGGCTCTCACATCTCACTAGTGTGTATTCATTTGCACATTCACAAGATGAGTGTGTTACTAATTTTTCTAGCAGCATGCCTAGATGTTTAAGGACAGTTTATCCATCCATTTTCTATCTTTTCTGTTGATTGCCTCTTCATCCTTTGGGATCTTGTATAGTCCCAGTCAGGTCTCAGCCCATGAGGCAAGTAGTTCAGCTACACTTTCTGCAATTCTTTCCCTTCACGCTGAGCACAGATTATTTAAATGCTTTAAATTAGTTTTTTCTTTAACCCTACCACTTTGTCACCCTGCCTCTAATTAATTCATTCTTTTCTTAGTTTCTTATCAGTTCAGTAAGTACCCAGCCATTACAATATTTTCCTTTTGATGATAAAGGATGGAGGCTCTAAAGCATCTCTACCTGACCATCTCCCTCTGGTTTTTATCATCTGGTATTGTATTATTTTTACTCCCTTTCTTAGGGAACCCTTAGAAATTGCTTCTTGATTTCAGTCACATTTTTATGGACCTGGATTCTGCTGCATATTTTTCAGGATATGCAAAGCTCAGAATTTCCTGTTTACCAGTTCCTACTATCTTGCTTAATGCCCTTTCTCGTTTCTCCTTCACTGGCTTTGTTTTCTTGTCTTCTGATTTTCTCCCCATGAGATGCTTTCCACCAAGTTTGAATTTTCAGTAGTTCTGGAGGCCATTCCAGAGGCAGGTCTGCATAATAATGGGGCAGGAGGAGATGGAGAGGGGCTGCTGAGTCCCCTGGTCAGACATGCACATCATCAGCACGCGTGCCTGCACTTCTCTGGGCCATGCTGATAGCTCCTATCGCTTCACTGGGAGCTCTGTGCCAGCCTGTAACTGCAGAGTAAAAGGCAATGAGCAAACAAGGCAGTACAAGAGACTGTGACCCTGAATTAATTAGATCATGCCTGTTAGTCCTGGCAACGTGACTGAAGTTATACAGCTCTGTGCCTCCTTCACTGACCCAGCTCTAGCCTGCATTTCTTCAGACATCTCATCTGTGGACGTGTTATTCCTCATCTCCCCTTCTTTCATGCTCCTGAGACTTCAGTCAGAGCAGGGAATTATGCTCAGAGCTTGCTGCAAATGCTGTCAGATCATTTGCTACAGCTGCAGCCAGTCACAAAGGACCTAAAAACCAGGGATTACCTCTTGTTCATTTGTTTTCTAAATCTGTCTTTTAAATCTCCATTTCTATGACACTGATGATCTCATTTTCCCTGTTGAAAATATCATCTACTCCTGTAATTAGGAGATTGCTGGTTCTGATACAACATCCAATTTCTCAGTATCTCGGTATTATGAGTTCTGAAGTAAGCTTCATGAAGAGGTCTTAAGTAGTTTGATGAAATAGTGGGTGACCTTAATTAAGTGTTAATTTAATAAAAATCTAAACTGACACATTGTAGATTGCAACAGTTTGGAATAAGCTGGTTTTGTAACCACAAAGTTCATATATCTGATCTGAGCCTCATTCTGACAGCATCTCCTGCACCCTGTGCAGGACACTCACACTGTCTGTTCTCTCTGCTAATCTGCACCCAGTTGATCTCTGTCCCAGAAATAGCTCACTTGAGCCTCTTTTTTTTTCCTACCTGCTGGTCTTTAGCAAAATCCCATGAGGCTCTCACCTGCTTTTCTCCTTTGCTAAGAGCATCCTGTGCTTGTTCCTGTTGTACACCCTCAGCCTTTACTGCCTGTCTCCCCTGCAAAAGTGCTGCTCTGGGGACAGGAGAGAGGAGGAGCACATCCAAACACCTCATCCTGACTTGGTGTTTCCCATAGATGTTTCACCTGAGAGCAACTAGTTAGAAATGACCCTATTACAGCACTGTCAAAGACCACCCTAGGTCACGGGGTGGTTTTGTGTGGTGGAAAAACTTCTCCTCCAACCCGTGCTTCCAAAGAAAGGCTCAGCAGTCTCTTGTTGTTTGGTATCAAGGCAGTTTATTGCAAGTTATCTAAAAGATTTTCTTCTCAGGCTGCTGTGGTTTGCTCAGCAGCTCAGGCAGAGGCACACACACCCCTGACATCCTCTCTGACTGGTGTCTTCTTCTCTCTCCCCACCCAGGGCTGCTGCTGTCTTTTATATGGTACATTATGTGATAAATGTTTATAGTTTTTCCCCAATACCTACTACCTATATTAAATGGTGCTTTTCTACTCTAAACCAATCTATGAGTGCCAACATCATCCAGAACATGGAGGTAAGGAAGAAGAAAGAGGAAGGACAGGACCGGCCAAAATCCCTCCATCTTAAAACATCTGACCCCCCTGTACAAAACAGAAACCCTCTGTACAGGTGCTAAAACCCCCCTGGACAGCACTAAAAAATTCTTCCCTCTACTTTATAACTACTTCTACTATAATATCTAAACTTTTGTGACTGCTTGTTCTCCCTGCAAGGTTGGTAAATCATTCCATGGCTCAAACCCAAAATCACAGCTGTTTCCAGCTGCCTGCCAGGGTCTCAAATGCTTCTGACCTGGGCCTGGAACCTCCAAAAATGTCTGAGGGACATTTTGAGTTCCCACACAGCACCCTTCAAACTCCTGATCATCTGTCCTGGTTCTGGTCAGTGATACAAGCAGGGGCACAGCCAGAGGGGTTTGTACCCGTGGTCATTCAGAAGCTGTTGAATCCATTTTTCCTGCAGTGTAGTTACAGGTAGTGTGTGAAGGTGGAGGAGGCAGGACTGATAACACAGATGGTGGCAGAAAGGGGATTTTATGGTGGTATTAGCACTGAGCCTGGTAATTTCATAACTGCAATGTAATTGTAGGAGTGGTGAAATTGCTGGGGAAATCTGGGCTTGGAACTGGCTTTGAGGTATTCATGGTCATGATGTTAATCTGCAGTGGAACCACAGGACCAGCCACATTGGTAAAGGCATTTGTCTGTCATAACAGCATTACCAAACATGAAAGGAGTTGGGAATTGAACCCTAAAACACCTGAAAACTCCCACTTCATGGCCTGTGCTCTTGTTCTCCCATCCAGGGATTTCATTTTATGCAATTAATTGTGCCACTTGGATACCTTTTATTCTCATAAGATATAACTATCCTCTCCAGTTTAAAATAGCTGCTGTTTGATGTAACTTTCATCACCCTTCAGCTGGTCTCCTGTATCCTCCACATCTCATGCTATTGCTTCTCACTAGTCTTTGTTAGCAGGAGAGCTGTTGTCTCTCCTTCTTCCATAATTTTTTTGCTCTGCATCAGTCTCTGTACCCTCCTCTGTTGATCAGACTTTTCCTTGCTCACAGCACAGCAGCAGGACAAGGAGAAGCACAGAGTGCCACTGAGCTGGCAGCTGCAGTGAAGTGGCTGCTCAGTTTTGTCCCTGGGATGTCCTCAGCTACCTCTGCTGCTGGCTTTAGCACTGTGTTGGTGCTGCATGAGACCCTCAGTTCTCTAGAGGAGGTGCCTGAGGCCGTGGGAAGCACACAGAGCAGGAGACAGGCAGCATTCCAAAGCTGCTTCTCTCTGGCTGGACAGGTGGGGTCTTGTAGGAGCTCATCTGCCAACACCTCTGCAGGTGCCCTTGGGAGCACGTCAGTGTTTGTACCAGGGTCCTGATGCACTTCTGCTCTGCCTTAAATATCTCTTATGCATAAATAACAGGTCATCTGTCATGTCAGTGTATGCCCTCTCTATCTGGCACATCCATAACCTTTCCCAGCTCTGATGGCAGTAGCCTTCTTTCTTCATATGCTCCTGCCCTCCTTTGCTATTCCTTGGAAGATTGATGGATTCACCCTGAAATAATGAGTCTGATTTCCCACTCCTCTCACATTTTCTGCCATAAAAAGTGACAGTTACTGCTGTCAAATCAGAATTGCTGTGTTTATGGTCAATCTATAGTTGTTTTGCATAAACTAATGCGACTGTGCAAGATGTGAAGCAGCAGGGAATCGCACCCTTCCTCCACAGCATTTATTTTCTCCTCATTATTTTACTTCTGCAAAGCCTCCTGTGTCTGCATGTGCCAGGCAGGGCTGTATAAATAAAAAAATCTATATGCAGCATGAGAACACAATCCTCTTTCTGAGCAGCGTGAGGTGTGCAAGTAGAAGTCAGGCCCACCGTGAATAAATAGAGTGCAGTTCAAAAACAGCCTGTGGTGGGATAAGCAGTGCTCTCCCTCTCTGTTTCAGTTCAGAGATGCTGGCCAAGGAGGTTTGTGTAACCAAGCCATCATGCTGATCACTGATGGAGCCGTGGAGGATTATGAAGCTGTGTTTGAAAAATACAACTGGCCCGATCGGAAGGTTTGTCTGGGAAATAAATAGATAAATAGAAAGGGAGGGGAAAGATGCTATTCTGCTGTGCTGGGGGTAGAAGAGCATGAGCCAGGATATCAGGCAAAGCTGAGCATTCACATATTCCAGTACCTGAATACCCATGGGCACCTGACTGTAAATGCAAATGAAACAGCCAGGCAGGAGCCTACTGTGGTGATTTCTGAGGTGAGAGGATTACAAATGCATATCTTTAGGTCAGGGAAGCTTTTCCTTTTCATACACTTTGTTTTCTAAAGGTGTGGGCAATCTAAATGTTCTCCTGATAAGATTATAAAGACTGAGTTGAGTATTTCAAAATTAAAAACCAACTTTTGCTAATAGTTTAATTCCAAGTAGGACTGTTTGTAACTGGTCCTGTTCAGGGAAGGTTTGGTTATTCAGAGTTCTTATGGTGGCCAGGGGAATGGTCCAAACAGCCTCTCTAGATGCCTTCCAGCCCTTTTTACTCTGATGTCTGGTTACAGGCTTGCACTAGCAGAGCTGGCTGTGAAAATGTAATAGACCACTGCTCATCCTAAACCCTCCTGGTTTATTTGTTTACCTCATCCCAGCTAGCAGCAATGCACAAAGGGAGAGAAGCAGCCTACTGAGAGAACAGAGCAGGGGGCTGTTAAAACAGTTTTATTTCAGGATTGGCTCTTTTGTTGGTGGTCAAATGCAAGAGAAATGGTAAAGCTCTCTAAATGATTCATGTGGCCAGCTGTTCCCCTGAGTAAAGGACTCCTGGGAGCTATAAACCTCTCTGCATGTGGTTGCTGAATGCCTGGCAGAGCTGCTATCATAAAATCAAACAGAATTTGCACTTTTGCTTTGTTATTCAGATGATCCTGGGTGCTAACTTGGCTTTCTGGGCTTATTGTAATTGGAAATTAAGTTCCAGGCCACAAAACAGGAAACAAATGGCACGAGAGGCTCCTGTCTCTGTGTGAAGGCAGAGCTACTGCTCTCACCACGTTCACACCAGTGGACAAGGGCATGCCAAACTTCAGCCATTTGGATTTGGCAGCACATTACAGCCTCATTCTCCTGCCTTTGTGTGCTCCTAGGTCCGGGTGTTCACGTACCTCATTGGACGAGAGGTCACTTTTGCCCCCAACGTCAAGTGGATCGCCTGCAACAACAAAGGTGCTTGTGGGAATGGTGCCCAATCTCCCTGCACCCCTCCAAGGCTTACCCACCGCTGCTGGGGCCCACAAGCCCTTGCTTGGAAGACAACCTAAGGAAAAAGCAGACCCTGCTGGCCCACATGAAGTGTGCCTGTGTCCAAGTAACACAAGTCCTCCGTGCTGAGCCACCGCGTTTTCCTGTCGCCGTGCCAAGGGACACCATGACCAAGATTCACTCTGGCCCTAGTCCACCTAAGTCCCCTGTGCTCATTGTGTCCCAGTTGCTGGCTTTTGACCATCTGTCTAAAGCTCTCTTAGAGAGCCTGAGACATTTTGGCTGAGACATAAAACAAACATTGCTGCTTTAAAGATTTTACAGCAATCTTCACAAGGTCTGCAGGTTAACCCCTGTATCCTGGCCAAAATCTTTGTGTGTAAGTGATTTTCACTGAGGTACCAAAATAGCTTGTTAATCCCACCCAAACCCACTATTCTCTCTAACTGGCATGAAATTAAGTGAATGAGAAAATCCATCCACAGTAGGTGAGTCGTCTCTATGCATTTGGGGCCAGTTAAAAAGTCAAGTTAGCCCTGTAAGAGTCTGCAAGAGTAAAGGAAGAAAGGGAAAAAAAGCCATCCATGTTTGGGCATCACCTGGCTTCTGGAGACAGCAATGCTAGTTACATCAGTGTCCTGTATAAACAGGGAAAGGAAGGGAAAACTGAAGCTGGGTGTCAGGTACAAACTTTTCCAGCCCAAGTAGTGGTTCCAGCAGAGCATGAAATGCATGGGAACATTTGCTGCTGAGAACAGTTGACGGGAGAGTTGCTGGCCTGTAGAATGTCTGTGAGCTGGGGATTCTCAAGGCTCAAGCATTCATCTAATTAGTGCTGTGAATTACACATAATATTTTTATGTTTTGTTAAATGAAGCAAACCCCTGGGTTTCAGATTCTGTATTCAGCCAGGAGATCAGTGACAGAGAATTCATGGTACTGTTGGTTCACTGTGAAATGTCAGAATGCATTCTTCTGAATAACCAGGTAACAAAAGTGTGCTTTTTGCACTTGCATTCTCACTTACCAGATTTGAGCTGTGCAGAGGGCTCCCTGATTTTGGTTCTTCTGTTTCAATGTTTTGTATAACTCTTTTGGTCCTTGTTTTTGAGCACACTGAATCTGTTTTCACATCACAAAGCTTATCAGAACATGAGCCCTTTCACATGGAAGTGTTTTCCTGGTGATTGGAAAGTTTTCCATCTATCTGGCTTATTCTATCCTATACCAAGTACAACCAATGCCTGTGGTGAGAAGCAGGACACAAGAATCCTTATGACATTACTCTGTGTTAGCACTTCTAACCTGCAGCTACTTCTGTGGACCTTTTGGTAACTTGAGAACATCCTTCCCCTGTACCCCTTGTTGTAGTTTTAGAGTGCTGTGGGTCCAGCCTCAAGGACAAAGCTTTGAAAATAAGTAATTTGCACTTTTTATTCTGCTTCCAATGGGAGTGGATGGAAGTTGTTACCATCCTTGGATGTAAAGCTAGGCAGACTGAAGAGTGCTAGATAAAATCTAGAAGAAGTGGGAATTTGATCTTAATATAAAATAGGGCAGGGCAAGTGGGAAGCCTGGTGGAAACCTTTGCTTTCATATGTTTGACCTTCCAGACTAAAGACAGCCTGATTAGAGGAAGGTTTTTCCCTAGAATCAAAGCAGTATTTTGCATCTGCTTTGCACAAATCTCATTTTGCACATTGCTTCAGCATTTTTAGAAAAACGGAACCACTGCTTAGAAACTCTAGATTTCCACAGATGCTTCTGGATATGAAGCATGAGCAGATTACCCAACCTGGGTAGATACGTTCAGTCTTTGACATTCAGTTTTTTAGCTTTGCATTCATTTAGAATCAGGGGAGATGTGTCAGCAGAGTGACTCACACCTCTGTTTCTCCATGAAGGCTACTACACTCAAATCTCCACGCTGGCAGATGTCCAGGAGAATGTCATGGAGTACCTGCACGTGCTCAGCCGGCCCATGGTCATCAACCACGACCACGATATCATCTGGACTGAAGCCTACATGGACAGCGCGGTAAGGACCTCGAGCACGAGTCAAAGCCCAAGTAAAGTCCTGGAATTTAGGTAAAACAAACCAGGAGCTGGTTGATTAAATTACTGGTCTCTGGCTCTACTGAGACAGACAGTATTTCTTTTCTGCTTGCTCCTGGAACTAAGGTGTGTATGCAGACTCCGACGTGAATCTGCAGTCACTCAGGTGACCAGGACTAATCACACAGGCAAAACATCACCCAAGTTGTGCTTCTGTGCAAGCAAGTTACCTTCTAAAGGATTATTCACACAAAAGTTAGCCTAGTAGCTAACTGCAAATTGTTTGTTACCCAGAGATTTCAGCTGAGGGAGCAGGCTCACTCTTTCTTTCTTTAAACTACCAAGACCTAACTCACCACAGTGGTCCTGAGCCCAGCCCTGGGGGCAAAGGACACACTGCAAAAGAGCAGACAGTCAGCACTCCCAATGCCCCCTGCTTTGGCTCAGGCCCTGTGGGAAGACGTTTGGCTCTGTGAGGGTGACATGGGGGTATCTTCTGCTGCAGGAGCTGTGCCAAACAGGGGCTGGGACATGGTAATTGAGTGTATTAATCAAAGCCTCCAGAAATGCTACTAATTACCCAGGAAACTTATTTTATCATTAGACTTGCCACCTCTGGCACTGGTGTATAGAGTCACGCTTCCCAAGGCAGTCACAGACATTTGTTTGCTGCACACTTTTTTCCTGCATCTTGTTTCTTGCCTCTTGTCTTGCCATTCTCTGCCTCTGTCCCAACCTCTCCTGTCTTTGATTCATTCCTCTGTCCATGTATTCATTTGTGTGTTCATCCATGTCTTTCACCAGCTGCCACAGTCTGAGGAGGTAACTGCACCCTGTGTTTTGTGTGTGTGTGCTGTTTCCCTTGTGCCAGTCAGTGTGCCAGTGCCAGCCTTCACAGCCACAGCTGGCCTGTACATCTGGAGGGGGTGGGGGCTGCAGCACTAGGAGTCCTCTTGCACTGGCAAGAAGAGGAGAGGAAATGCTGGATGTACTGGAGAGCTGTGCTGTTGGTTCAGAGTAGGTAGGGCTGTCTGTGTTGTGCAGTAGCTTAATTCACCTGATCTCTTTTTCCACATGTCAAATAAGTGCAAGAGAAGTTTACTTGCTGTGTGTTAGTGAGTGCTGCTGTAAATGGGAACATTCCACAAAAAAAATCATCCAGAGATGTAACTCAAGATACTAAGTCCAAATCTTCATCAAGTGACTAGATTGCTGACTTGCTCCTTTATGTCTCCCAGCACGCTCTGTAATAGGGATAGGAGGTCATTTCTTGCCTTGCTACTCACATCAAACAAGAGATGGAAGGAGTGATGTTACTGGCAGCAAAGGATTAGAATCTTTGATAGCTAGGCATATTTGGAAGACTCCTTTGCATATGACTTGTCTGTTTTACCTCCTCTCATGTGCTTTTAGAGCATCTGTCCTCTGTTGAATTGGGAACATCTCTTATCCCATGGCACATGCATGTCCTGTATCCCTCACAGAGACAGCTCACTATGGTGTATCTGTTTGGATCATTACTTTGTCCCTTTTTCCTGAGCTTAGATGGTTGAGTAACAAGTGTACATAAGTAGGCTTTGTGTGTATTTGTGACATTTAAATATTTGTCTGTGTTGCTTTTCATTTGTGGTAATCATATGTTTGCAGTATAGATTATACCTTTTTTGTGATTTTGCTCATATTTGTGTTGCTTTTCTCTGTTCAGTGCTGCTTGTGTTGGTGGGTTTTGCACTCATTTTATAAGTGCTTATGTCTACACTCATAAGGAGTGGTGGGTATAAATTGTGCCACCACTTCTTCAGGCTCCTGTCTCTTCATTAAAACAACTCTTCAATGCATTTCACTGGCTTTCATCCCATCCTCATCACCCCACATGAGCAAGAATCCATCCCACGGTCCTCTTGGCCACGGACTATTTAAAAGTGTTGCCATCTGTTTCCCTAGAAGTGTGGGGGGCAAGGAGGTGACCAACTGCAGCCCACACTGGGGTCCTTGGGAACCTGCAGTCCCTGGGGTGCTGCACTTGCTGACACCCCTCCCGTTGTTCTGTGGCAGCTCTTTGCGTCGCAGGCTCAGAGCCTGCTGCTCATGACGACCGTGGCCATGCCGGTGTTCAGCAAGAAGAACGAGACGGTGAGTGAGGCGTGGGCTCCCTGCTCCTCTGGGACAGGAGGCAGAGGAACTTCGCGGGGTTCTAAAGCCAAAGGGCCTCTGAAGAAACATTCAGCATTAGGGAAGGCAGCAGGGTAGATGGGTGATATTTTATCTGTCAGAATGATAGTCTGTCATTTCTTTAAAATACCCCTTCTTGTTTTATCCCTTCCATTTTCAAACCAAGCCTAGTTCACAGACACTGAAATTTCAGGCTAGAAGAGATCATTACTGTGGGAATCCAGGGCTTCCATCTGGCTGCCCTGGCAGGTCTGGGACCCTGGCAGGGGTCAGGAACCCCCTGTACAGAGCCCCCAGAGACACTGTCTGTGATCTCTGTCCATGGAAAAGAGTTTTCAATCTTACAGGATGGAATTACAAGCTCTGAGTGTTTGATAAGAGTAATAATTAAGTGTGGCACGGGTGCAAAAGTAAAATTCGAGGTTTCTAGATTAGGGGTTCAGAGGGGACAAGATGGAGGAATTGGGTGTGTCTTGTCCTTTTCCTCCTTCTTCATGCCCTCCATGTTTCACTGTGGTGTTGGCATTTTTCTGTTGGTTTAGGCTGGGGACACACTGTTCAACGTAGGTGACAGATATTGGCACATTATTGTAAATATAGGTAGTTTCTGGTATATAATGTTTGTACCATCCCACTGAGGGCAGAGCCCCACACGCTGCCCTGCAGGACAGAGCTGCGGCAGGGCAGCAGAACATGTTAGAGATAAACAGAATAAACAACCTTGAAACCAGCACAGACGAATTATGGCTTCTGCTTTGGCAGCGGGGCAGAAAGACAGAGACTTTCTACAATCTCGGAATCATCAATAGCTCAGATTCCGACACATTACCTTGTCCAGTCTGCATTTTATTGCAGACCTTTACATCTCACACAGATGAGCCAAATACCCTGGTTTTGGCAAAAGCCAATTGTTGAAGAAAGGCATCCAGCCCAAGCTCTCTCCATTGTGGTGTTTAATTCTTCGTGAAAAACTGGTGTCTAAATTCTGCTTTTAATTTGTCTGACCTCACCTTCCTGTCATAATGGCTTCCTCAGATCAAAAAGCCTGTACCCTTTAGTAAGTTTTCAGGGAAAGCATCTTCTACACTGCCATAAAATCAAACCTGTCTATCTTGATAAGATTTAAAATGTTGAATTATTTTGATGATTTGATACGGGCAATTCCTCTGGGGTTTGAAACCCTTTAGACACTCTTTTCTGTAGCATTTCTAATTTCTCAGCATCCTTTTAAAATGGAGAATGGTACCTTAGCATTGCTGGGACAAGGGATAAACTCTTCATCCAGGTCCTGCAAGTGATTGTCTGCCTTCCCACCTGGGGCTGGCTGTAGCCTGCATTAGCACAGCACTGTAGTGGGAGCCTGTGTGTATTTTCCCACAGTGCTCTCCAGGTGCTTATTTAACAACCAGATCCCGATGTCATGGAGAGGAGATTTCCTTTTTTCTAGGTTAACAGTTTTGTATTTGTCATTTGATTTAGCTGGCCCAATTTATCAACCTATTCATGTTGGTTTGTATTATTTTCTTGACCTTATTGGTATTTACACATACTGAATGCAGGAGTTTGCCCTCAAAACTTGTTTTCAGTGATTTTATGTTGCTTCTGAATCACAGTAGTGAATACTGACTAGTGTTGTGTAGAATCACTCTTCTCCATAAACACTGGAATAACCTCTATGGAGTTTTTGAAGTATATTAATTGGTTTCAAATAACCATTTTCACACAAGCCTAGAGGGGATGGGTGAGAAACTACTAGGGAGACAAAAATGTGTTTTCAGGTATAAAACTACCCAGGGTTTGCTTCTGAAAATGGATTCTTCTTTGTGTTAAAGCGATCCCATGGCATTCTTCTGGGTGTGGTGGGCTCTGATGTACCACTGAGGGAGTTGTTAAAACTTGCTCCACGGTATAAGGTAAGACTGAGATAATGCAAGTGGTTCCTTTGCACAGCAAAATCACTACTCACACATCCATGGGCATGACTGAAAAATCACTTCTCTGCTCTGTAGGAAAAAGTATGAGCATAAGGGAAGAGTTGTTGGATGCAGTGGTGTGTGGTTTCCATATAGCACATATGAAATCATTCACTACTACAAGCTTTTAGGCTGCTTCAGCAGCACAAGGACAGGGTGATCCGGAGGTTGGCAAAAGGTCATGGAACCTTTGCATCCTGATGGTCACCAACCTAAATTCCTCAGAGATGGCAGCCTATATTAGAAGAATTAAAGTTTTATATCCAGTTCCCAATGGACAAGAGCTGCCATGCCAGCTGGCAAAAAATGTACTCGTTTCACTGTCAATATTCTTAGCAGAAAAGCTGAGGGCTGAATGGATTATGGAGAGCCAACTCTCCTGTCATGCCTAGAGGTTCCTTTCTCCAGATCAGCATGATGGTTTCTTGGCAGGACAGTGTACAGAAAGTTGGCTCTCACTCATTTTGTGCTACACCTGGATAGAGTATTTGCTCCCCAGAATTGTTAGTCAAAAAACTTTCCATTAGCCCTCTGTTCAATGTATCTTAAAAAAAAATGTTCATCCATAGGAAATTCCCCCAGAGATGCACAGTTTGGTTTGGTTTCTGCTGTAAATTCCAGGCAGTGACCCTTTGTTCAGTCAGGCTGCACAGCAGGAGACAGCGTGCACATCCAAGGACCACCATGAAATCCGGCAATTTGAGCCAACATTTCAAGGTTTTGTTTTCTCTTAAATAACTATCAGACAACTACTACCAGTGAGGCAGTTGTCCAAAATCTGATTGCTGAAGACTCACAGGGCTGAAAGTGCTGTCAGAAGCTGTGAATTTCTGTGGTGCTTCCAGCCATGGATGCAGGGCAGACCATTAACAGGCAGCTGTAGGAAATGATCCTGCAGACAGCCCTGGAACTGGGAGTGTCAGGGTGCCTGCACTCAGCATGCAAAGCTGCCTGGTTTGGGTCAAGTTTTATATGGTAATTTTCTGTATAATAATGCCTTTTTATCTCCCTTTCCCCATGTCACTCAGAGGATAGATATAAAATAATTTTTTTCTTCCGGGCTAAGGATGGTCACTGTTCTTTCCTCCAAGCAGTGCCAGGAAAGGAGGGGAAAAAATTTGGATTTTATCATATCAGCAGCAGGACACATCTTCTCAGAAACTCCTCCAACTCCAGACCAGTTTGGAAACCTAGGGTCTTCTACTTGAATTCCCTGGCATATGGACTCCAAAAGGACCAGTTCCAGCATTCCAGACCTCTGGAGCTTATATATTAATGATTGTGCTCTTACTGGGCTGGGAAATTTCAGCTTTGATAGGCCAAAAAAAAAAAATTGCTGATCTAGTGTCTTGGTTTCATTCTTGCCACACTGAGTTAAGCCAAGTGTGTTTTTCAAAAAACTGCTTCACGTAGAGATGGTCCAAGTTTTTGGTCTGGGATGTGTGAAATACAGAATTGATTCCCTGAATGCACAGACAGATTGTAAATTACTTACCTCCTCACTTCCCTCTCCCTTCAGGATTGTCTCTATAGGAATAAAGTTGCTGCTTTTTTTTTTTTTTTTTTTTTTTTTAAGATAGCAACTTTATTCATTTTTGTTTTTCTTCAGACACCTCTTGTTTTGGCAAGCACAGGCTACCTGCAGGTTTTTAGCAACTCAGGGTGTAGCTGGAATTTGCATTATATATGGGCTTGAGCTTAATAACTTCTCTCTTGGAAATCTCTCGCAGATCAGGTCAGCCAGCGTCTGGTCTTGTTAGATTATGCTTTTCCTTAAAAAGCATTTTAAAACTACAACATTCCTCATCACTGCCAATTTCCTCATCACTTTCCAATTTCCACATCTCTGCTGTGGAGGGCTCAGTCTGCCTCTGGGTGCTAATTGTCCACGATGACAATCAGACTGTAGGAGGGCATATTTTTCTGAATGTGCTCACATACCTCCTACCTGCACATCCTTTTGTGCATCCAAGCACAGACAGAGCAGACAAATACGTACTTTGGGATGGATTCCATTTTCTGCTGGTCAATACCTTTAAAAGGAAAGTATCTCTCAATATTGGTGGGTGCCAGGGTATCAACAGCACCCATTACACAGCAGTGTTTGTAGCTAAAGCACTGATTATTTTAATGCCTCTTTCTGCAGCTGGGTGTCCATGGCTACGCCTTCCTGAACACCAACAACGGCTACATCCTGTCCCACCCAGACCTCCGGCCTTTGGTACGTAGAGCTGTGCATCTGAGAGCCTTTGCTGACTTGAACACAGTGACTTTCAGGGCTGCTTCTGATTTCTTTGGGGTTTTTGAGCTGTGAAGGCCACCAGCCTCTGACATACAGGCACCCAGGAGCAGGAGGGCCAGCTGCCTCCTTGCTGAGATGCCAGGGCAGGTGATGATTTTACGTCTCAGACACCTGCAGGTCAGCACAAATCCACCTAGAAGCATTAGTGTGCTCACCACCAGAGAAAGCTGCTGTGAAGCCACATGGTGGCCCTGTCTTCAGAAAGGCACCTCTGCCCAGGGCCACCACAGGCACTGGGAGCCACTTTGGTGTATGAAGAGAAGGACATGCCATGTTTCCAGGGCAAAGCAAGGCAAGGGCGCTGCTTTACCCTTCCACCATCAATTGGCCTCTCCCAGTCTGACTCACACCTCCTCCCTGACCCCAGAGATTAATGGAATAACTCTCTTGCGTTAATTCTAGGTGAAAAGTCTCCCATGAGTGGAGTTAAAGCCTGACTCCCATCAGAAAAGGTCTCCTGCTGGTTTTATAATGCTAATGGGATTTACTCTTAGCTGCAGGGAAAAAAAGTGATTTATTGCAGGCAGGGGTGTTGTTCTGATCTGTTTAGGAAAAGGAGGCCATAGCCTTTACCTGTAAGTTAAGCTGTCTTCCTGTCCCACTGGAACTCCCCCTGGCCCCTCACTGCCAGCATAAAGAAATACGTGACATGGAACCAAGGAATTCTGCCTTCCGCACAAATTCTGCCTTCTTAGTCAGAGAAGAAATGAGACACCCCTATTTTTCAAATTACACACCAATTCTTAAAGGTTTACTTTAGGAAGTGATCTAGCTACTTACTTGAATCTTTTTCTTTCTTTTCTTTTTCTTTTTTTTTTTTTTTTTTTAATGCCAGTATAAAGAAGGAAAGAAACTGAAGCCTAAGCCGAACTACAACAGCGTAGATCTTTCAGAAGTGGAGTGGGAAGACCAGGATGAAATAGTGAGTGTCAGAAAGTGGATTTAGCCTCTTGTAGAACCTTCTTTCTCCTACTTTGTGTGCCTGTATGGAAGGTGTGGGGAGCACTCCTGCTGTTTTTCTGTGCCTGACTGGCTCTGACTAACAGAGATAGGTGGTTTACAAGAGGACAAAGCATGAAGCTCCCCTACCAAGTGCTTGTTCCTTCCCAGTATGAGTTTTCCTTCTTATGGAACAAAGAAGAAGTGCTGGGAGGAGGAAGGAAGCACTTTGGAGGATGCTCCAGCGAGCCAGTCTTTGTGTAAAATGCCTAATACTCTGGTTTAATATAAAGCAGTGTCCTGTGATGTCACACACACACACAGTATGTCAGATACACCTGAAGCCACTCAACTAACAAGATCAAGAACAAGGAGGTACATTCATCAAGAGATTAAAGCTTGCAATCACTATTAGTAATAAACACAGGGGATAAAGGACTTGGGAAAAACAAATTCCAGAAACCACCTTACTGCACAGGTATGGAGTCACTGAAAGCAGTAACTGACCAGAGGGAAAACATTAAAAAAAAAAAGTGCCAAACCCTTTTCTGCTGTCTTTTGAGCAAAATTATTAACAAGTGACAAAGAAGAAACAGCGTGCACATCTAGGACCCCAGATAAAATGAGAATATAGAGAGGTTCCTCTGTGGCTGGTTTTATTTTACTCAGAACTAGGAGGAAATAGGAGGAAATAGATACTTAAATTACTAAGGTAAGAACTGAATTTGGAGTAAGATAGAATTAGCTGTGAGACACATGCTTCTGGATCACAGGGGAGACTGCCGAGATAAACGGATCTGATGCTTATAGATATCCACTTAAACAGGCAGGACAAACAGAGCAGCAAGAGGATCAAAGTAGCTACTGCCACTAGGGTAGGCCAAGTATAAAGGCAACATCAAAGGAATTTGGGAAGTGGAAGAGTGGCAAACTGAGAAAGAGAACACAGCAGAACTATGTAATTTGGAAAGCAAGACGAAAATAAGAGGTCTTACATGCAGTGGAACCACCAAGATGCAAGTTGCCAGCAGCTTTCTTGTAGGTTCACTGATCTCTTACAGCACTTCACTCCCATTGCTGTTTTCTCTCTCACTGGAGCCACTTTTAGAGCTATACCTCTTTGCCTAGTTTGCTATTAAAAAAAAAATAATCCAGGAAATGAAAGAAATCTGCTTTGCTCTCATATTTATTTGGCTAGTGGGCTCCTGACTGACCAACTGACACTGATACCTGAATACAAATACAGTACAAGTGTAAGGTTTCTGTCCATAGGCAATCAGAGTAAACCTATCCAGGGAACAAAAAAATCATGAAACCAGCATGAGAAACAAAAGCCATTTTGTCTTCCTGTACTGCATCTTCCAGAAGAAAGAAAGGTTGCAGTCACAGAGGGTGCAGACATTCAGTGACGTGAGCAATATCTGCAGTGTGACTTCAGCAAGTCTAGAGGCTCTCAAGATACACCCACTGCAGCAGAAAGCTGGCAACATTTCAACACTCATATTTGTAGCTATGGTATTAGATCAATGACAGACTCCACATCCATAATCTCTGTAATGCTGATAAGCAGCACATTCAGGCTGGAAAAATATGCCCAAGTGCTAATGATGTGTAATACAGCCAGCTGCAAAAAGAAATGCAAGAGAGGGAAGTTGGCATTGTCTGAAAAACACCAACTGATGCACAGTGGTGCAACCTGCAGCCAGGCAGCAGCAAGGGTTTGGGCTTCCCTGTAAAGCAACACAGGGATATTCATAGTGAGAGGGGGAAAAGGAGAAAGGCCAAGGGTCTGGAGAGGAAGTCATACAAGGAGTGGTTGAGGTCTCTTGGTGTGTTCAGCCTGGAGGAGGCTGAGGGGAGACCTCACTGCAGTTACACCTCCCTGAGAGAGGAAGAGGAGGGGCAGGCACTGATGTCCTCTCTGTGGTGACAGTGACAGAACCAGAAAGAATGGCCTGGAGCTGTGCCAGGGTAGGTTTAGGTTGGATATTACCAAAAGGTTTTTCCCCCAGAGGGTGGCTGGGCACTGGAACAGCTCCCCAGGGCAGGGGGCACAGCACCAGCCTGCCAGAGCTGAAGGAGCGTTTGGACACCGCTCTCGGGCACACGGTGTGACTCTTGGGGATGTGCTGTGCAGAGCTGGGAGTTGGACTTGATGATCCTTGTTTCCAGTTCAGGGTATTCTATGATTCTCAACCCAGAACCCATGGTAAGTCCTGCAGGCTGTCAGACCACAACAGAGAGTATGCTGAGGCTCTGGAAGAAGGTCAAACACTCTTAGCCAAAAAGAGTAATAGTACCAGTCAGTGTTTTCATTTCCAAGATGTGGGCCTTGGGAAACATGAGCTTCATATTCTAGGTCTGTAAATAACCCACATCAAACAGCCATAATAAACAAATCTGTGGTCTTGTAAAGCCAATGCAGTTGAGACTGGCTAACACCTGAATGGAGGCCTGTCTCTGGATGTAAGGAAACAATTTGTGAATGAGTAAGTTACTTCCCACACTATTTTTTTTCTATCCAGCCTGAAGCAATAGACTTGATATGCTCTGGCAGGCTAGACCTGAAGTCAAAGCCTCTGTACTTGTGGAAAAATTTCCTGGATCTTTCTTGCAAGAGGCTGGGAGTCACTGTGAAAATTACATTTTACCTTTGGAACCTGGGTTGAATAAAGTGGTCTTCTCACTGCCTACCCTGCTCTCATATAGTCTTGCTTTACTGTGCTAAACAGCCGCTTTGCTGCACCTCAGAAGTGGTGCTGAATACAGCCTATAATTTATAAATCAGTTTTAAAAATGTCAGAGATCTTTGGAATCAGTCTGAGGGAGTTAGTGGGTTTCTCAGTTTTCTCCTCTTCCAGGCTCTCAAAGCACTGTGCTAATGAATTTCTGGCTGCCAAACAGTGAAGTCTGTAAGTGGGACTGGCAATTTCGTAGATTCCAAATCCTTTATTTTTGCTAAAAGACACATCAACAAGCTTTCAGGATAAACTATTACTATTCTGTATCACTTATCAACATGACTGTCCAAGGATTCTGATCACTGCAAACAGGACTTCCGTTTGAAATAATCAAGACAGAGCTGGGGAGGAGAGGGAGCCAACAGTGATTCTTTCTGCCAGCCCCTGTTTGTTAATGACAAGTGGTTCTGTTAATTCCTGCTGAGGCCTGCTTGGAGACACTAACACCAAACTTGTTCACCTCTGCAGCTGAGAAGTGCTATGATCAATGGGGAGACAGGCTACCTCTCTATGGATGTGAAGGTCCCTGTGGACAAAGGGGTAAGAAATTATCCTTCTGTTCAGGTCACCCAGGGGAGTGGATGGGAAGTGGATGCTGAAAAACCACAAGGGATGTAGTTTTCAATGTTCAGCATTCCTGAGTGTGAGGATTTTATTGTTTCACCACATATAGAATGCATGTGCTAAAACATACAAGAGAACATCATTAGAAGTGCTCATTACACCTACCAAGATTCTGTTCTCAGAAAGGTACTGGAAATGTCTCTCAGCTCCCTACTTTGTCCAGGCAAAGCCAAAAAGCAGGTTGTTCATTGTTTTTAGGGCTGTGAAATGAATCTGAGATCTTCAAGAGTTACAATAGGGGAAGATTATGCTGAACTGACTTAGGCAGAAGGAGATTTGGAGACTGTTTTGCCACCCTCTTTCCCTATCCAAAACCACTCATGAAAACTTTGTCCCTCACTTCGTCAGAATGTGATTGCCTTTATCCAGGTCCAGGATTAAATTTCTAAGCAAATATTTGCAGATGTTTTATGGAAAGTCCTGGTGAAATGGAGACTTCTGAACACTCCCTACCAGCTCTAGGGCAGGGTTATACATCTTCCTTTGGAATCAGTGCAAAATTATCTCTTACATTTATGTTCACTGGTACTTTTTCATTCACATTTATTTAACTCTCTCGAAGATTTTGGCTTTCATCATTTCCTGTTAGGAAGTATTCCAGAGTCCTGCAAGTTACACTGCCCAGAAGTCTTCTATATTTCAGGAAAATTTTCCATCCTTTATAGAGAGCATTTTTTTTAAGTGGCTGGCTGAACTGTTCCCATGCTAAGCCACAGTCAGCATCAATTCCAACAAACCAAATGCTCACAGCCACTGCTGAAATGTGGGGCCATTTCCTAATGAAGACACCCCTCTGTTTCCTCTGAATGGTTGTCCTGCTAGATCTTGTCACTACATTTTTTTCCTCTCTATTCTTGGTATCTGTAACTCCCATGGACCTGCTGATGGCTTTGCTTTTCTTCTGAGCATTGCTAACATCTGCATTTGAAATATTTGCACACTTTTCAGCTATTACGATTGTTCCTGTTGACTCTTCTATCATTTCTGGTGCCCAAGTACCAGGGCTTCACTGAATTATGTGACTGTTTCCCTGTTGCTCTGCACAGAGCAGCTATTCTCTGCAATAGGATATTTCTGAACAGGGAGCCCCCAATCTCTTCTGCTGTCCCTTCAATTTTTTTCTCCCTCCCACAACTGCACTGGAACTGCCGCCCTCAATTCTGTGTTTCTTAGCTATTTTTTCCAGTTGCCATTTTTCCACATGAAACCCACTTCTCCTTTCCATCCAGTCTTTCTAATTTTAAGGGCTGTTGAGACTTTTTTTTTAGTATGCAGAGAAATGTTCTGTTTTGTCTTACAGATCCCTGTACAGAAGGGCTGCTAAGACAGAGTCTGTTCCTCCCGTTAGATTTTCTTCCCTCGATGGCCTGTTGTTTACTGTTTCTTTCTGTTTACAGTTCTGCTGCTGGTTCTCACTCTATATCTTATTTAAGCCCACTTTAACTGATTCTTTGTAATAGAAGTTCATGAGAAGCTGTTTCAAGTACTTTATATAAACCCAAATATATTGAATGACCTTTATTTCCTTCATCCATTACCTTAGTTATTCTATCAGAAAAATAATCAAGGTTTTAGAGCAAGATCTATTCTTTGTAGGTCTAGATTGCTTCTTTTGCTAGTTTAACCCCTTTGTGCACCCTCAGTAACACTTATTCTGAATCATCCAATACTATCTTTTAGTTCAATATTTTAGAGACTTCCTTCTGCTACCCTACCCAGGGGAAAAAGAAGATAACAAAAAGCAGCCATGGTAAAGAGATATTGTTTGCTCCATTCTGCATCTCTGGAAGCCTTATGAAGCACAACAGGGGACTGAGGCTGAGTCTGTGAGAATTTTACTATTATCAGAATACACATGGAGTGAAAACCAGAAATGAAGCTTAGTAATTCCCACTTGTACTCTGCTAGCTGATGAAGCAGAGCAGCACTGAAACAATTGACCAGAAGAGGGGCAGGTCAGGGGAAAAAAGGAGGAGCAGAACAAGCCCTGCTAAAGGAGAAAGGGTCTCGGGGTAGTGGCCAAGTCTTTTCCATGCCTCCCTGCCTCCATCGTCAGATCAGACAGGCAAGAAAAGGGAGGGTTAATATCTTTCATACCACCCACAGCCACCAAAACACCACCAAGTGATATTCTTTGGGGGTATCACAGCCCTTTGGAAGATCTTGCACATTAAGAGAAATAACTTCATGGAAAGGGTTATTTAAAAATTGGAATGGACCGCCCAGGTGGTGGAGTCACCGTCCCTGGAAGTGTTTGAGAAAGGCTTGGACATGGCACTTAGTGCTATGGTCTGCTTGACAAGGTGGTGATAGGCCAAAGGATGGGCTTGGTGATCTCAGAGGTCTTTTCCAGCTTCAATGATTCTGTGTGGTCTTGGCCCAGCAGAACACTCTGTTGTTCAGCAGTACAGTTGCAATGCATGGAGAGAGGGGGGAGGAAAGGGGTCAAGCCACCTGCCACCTCCTCATCTAACAATAACCTGAATCCCCATCACACCTAATGATATCCCCCATCCCTGTCAGCACAGTGAGCACAAACTTGGTGCACACTGTGGATCTGGAGCCCTCTGTGCCTCGCTCCACTTTCAGGGCTGCTCAGCTCGAGCAGGTTAGAGCAGGCATGACTTTCCCTGGGGAACACTGAGTTTTCTGTGTTCACTCCCCTGTCTCCCACACACATCCTCTCACCTCGTTCTCAGACTGGGTCTAGGATTTTAAACATATTAGGGTTCATATACTGGCATAAGGCTTGGATAGAAACTTTCCAGAAACTTTTCTCCTTTAGAAAAGCGTTCCACTGAAATCAACACTTTCCTACAGGAAAAGGCCAGTCTGGCAAACAGATGAAGTTCTGAGGCAGCTTTCAATAATCTAAAATGTCTTCAGTTGAAATGTCAGTCTGAAAAAAATATTGGCAAGCGAATCAAAATGGCTTGGATTTGAAACAGCACATTTTTTCCAAATTGAAAATGTAAAACTTTTTAACCGATTTTAACAAAATTGGAATATGGCAATATTTTGTCCCACTTTGGTGTGAAATCAAATGTCAGAAATATCAGCATTTCCCACAGGAGTGGGGAGACTTGGCCCTGGCTGCCCACCCACACAGAGGATAAGTTCACCATTCTGCCTCTCCTTCAACTCTACTCCTCCTTCCTATCTGCCCCTGAGCCCTGCTCCTGCTGGAAATGATGATGAAGATGATGATGTGCAAAGCTGTCAGGGTTGCTGTGTCTAGCAGAAGAGCAGCAGGGCCCCAGCACATGTGCTTGGAGGGGGTGAGAGGGAAGGCAGCTTCCCCACAGCCCTTCCTGCAGCTGGTGCAGGAGCCCTAGAACAAAGAAAGGTTTATCTGAAGCCCTTGTTGGAAAGACAGAGTGGCTGCCTGGATCCTAAAAGTCTCAAGGTGCTGGATATGCTGAATACTGCACATTCATCCCAGCCTCCAGGCAGCCCTAGCAGGGTGTGAGGTGTTGCTTTTGCTCAGCCTTGGGGACATTATCCCAGGCCCCCATCACCACTATGCCCTTATTTTCTCTCTTATTCATTCTCTTATTTCAGAAACGAGTTCTCTTCCTCACCAATGATTATTTCTTTACGGACATCAGTGGCACACCCTTCAGGTGAGCAAGGACCTGTGGCACCTATACGTGTATCTGAAGTCTGATCAGGGACAGCAGATCAGGTCCTCTTCATAAATATTGCTACAAGTCATAAGTAGAGCAGTTGGAATAACTAACTTTTTTTGTTCCTATTGCCATTAAAATATTATTTGGGGTCAATTCAAAAGGAATATTATGATTTTCCTGAAATTCAGAGTCTGACAGCTACACCTTAGGTAAAGCATGTTGTTTCATTTCAGAGAAATGAGAAAGCTTAAAATTTTCATTGCCACTGAATATGGTGTATGATCCTGATGTATGGCTTTAAATAAACCTCAACATTGTTATACACTGAAAATTATAAAACAACAAATGACAAATGAAGGAAATTGTGGGGTGGAAGGGAGGGAGGGGGATGTTGTTCTTTTCCCCCAGCTGAAATGGTTTGAAACTGGCAGAGATTTGAGAACTGGTATCATTGACCTGAACCTACAATGTTGACCAAAAAAATTGTCACCAGCAATGCCTTATAACTCTACAGACAGGTTCCTTAGTCCCCTGTGCTGAAATTGGATCTTACTTAATCCTCTTCCAATGATGTTCTTTTCTTTAATAGCTGTGGAGGGAGTTAATGTCATTAAGGGTTGTAACTGCAGGCAATGACACCTTTCCTTGCTGACAAGCCCTCTGTTTTCCTTCTTGCCTGCAGCCTGGGTGTTGTGCTGTCCAGGGGGCACGGGGAGTACATTCTGCTGGGGAACACTTCAGTGGAAGAAGGTAGGTTAATCTGAAAGGGGCAAGGGAGCTACTCTGAATGTCACCAGTTCTCCTTCAGAGCCTGTATGTGTCTGTCTGCTTCCTCACTGAATACACTATGTACTCTCTGGTTTCAGGTTTGCACGACCTGCTCCAGCCAGACCTGTCTTTAGCAAATGAATGGTAAGTGGAAGAAATCCTGTCAGTGACACAGGGCTTTGTCACAATATTTGGGCAAAGTTCCCAGCAATCTGGTTTGAGTTCACCACCCTCTGTGGCCTAGGGGAAAAGCAGTGCTGTTCAGGTGCTGTACCTGCAAAGACCTGATTGTCTCCAGGCAATTGGCTTTCACCTCTTCCTTTGGGAGATGCCACCAAGACTTGGCACAATCCCCTCCTAAGAAACAGCTGAGATTTATCTTCAGTCTGCTGTGCTCACACTTGGTTCCTCCTCGTGTTGCTCAGAATTGTTTTACAAAACCTACACTATGTCAGACCTGTTAGGGAATTTTGTTGCAAGCTTGGTGAGAGATTGAAATGCATTTTTAAATCCTATTTTATTTTTGGTTGGCATCCTTCTGAACTGAACCTAGACCTAACTTCTAGTGAACACGGAGGTGATTTATGACCCCCATTTCAATAGCAGGCAGAACTTATGGTTTTGCTTGGTTTGGATATGAAACAGGGTGAAGCACGGCACTTTCCATTTATTGCTGTGAGGTTTGGGGTTTTCACGAACCCAACATTCAGTCCCACTCAGTCACATGAACCCAGGCTGTATCAAAGCCAAAATAACTATATTCGAGCAGCCCTGCACCCCTTCTCACCTCTCATTACGCTGTCAAGTTTCACAAGCAGCACATTTGAGACACAAACAGAGACTTCTCCTTCTTCTAACTCCTGACTTCAGGTGTCAGCTTACCACACTTTACATATTCATTTCTCTTAGACTTTTCTCATAAATCACTCCTTTCAGCCCCTTTATGAGTTTTAATTCTCTTTTATAACCCCTTCCTCTCCCTTGTCCTGACAATGGAGCAGTCAAAATTGGAAGTAGGGTTAGAAGACTGGTTTCTTTTATAGCACATAGCATTTCTAATACATTCTTCCACTTCTCCCCAAACTGTGTCCTGAGGCTCCTGCACCAAAAGCTGCACTTGGACAGCTTTTGTTGTCACCATATCAAACTGCAAGATCATTCCTCATCACACACTTTGTTCCTCTGTCTCTTATTTTTTCTCTTCCTAGTCAGGTCTCACATTTCACCTCTGCTTTTCGGGTCTCTCTATCACACTTTTATTTTCTATACAGGCACATGTACACATCTTACACAACATAACACAGGAAACTGCTGGCAGGATTTGGAACAGCTCTGTTGCGTTGTGAGCTTATGCTGGAGAACACAGCAATCCTGCTGAGCACAGCAGTCAGGTTAATTGGTGTTTGGTTTTGTGGTAGGGTTTGACTTACAGCCACACTGTTAAGATTTAGAGTGGGCACAACGTGCAGCAATGTAAAAAGTAAAGGCTTTGCAGACCGAGGTTTCTTGCTGACTTTCTTTTTGCAGTTATTATAATCCAGGAACATTTGTTTGACTATGGTTTCTCTTTGCCCTTTTTGGATTTCTTCTTGCCTTCCCACCAGGATTTACTGCATCACCGACATTGATCCCGACCACCGGAAGCTCAGCCAGCTGGAGGCTGTGATCCGTTTCCTCACTGGAGAGGAGCCTGACCTGGAATGTGAGTCCCAGGCACAGAAAGTGCCCTGCTGGGGTTTTCCTGTACCCATCACAAGGCAGAGGGGACTGTGACAAACTGATTAGTCTCAGACTGTGCCCCTGTGGCACTTGCTTACACTGGCAGGACTGAACTCAAGCCCAGATTAATTCACAAGTGGAAATGAGCTAAGGATCCTTGTCTCCATCAGAGGATTTTTTCACATTTCAAAGCTGACACATAACTCAGCCTTATAGGAGGTGTCAGCACAGGAAATACTGGGAAGTGGAAGGCTTGAATGGAGCTTGGCAAGGCCTGCACACCAGGTTTAAGACAGACTGACTGACTGGTCTAGAGGGGACAATGGCAGGAGAAGCCAGGAAAAGTGCTGAGACAACTCATTTTCCCAGGGACAACAGGCATCATCCTCCAAGGGCTCGTGGTGCCCTCTAGAGAGATGGTTTTTCTCAGAACAAGGATTATTAATTTTGTTTTCCAAACACCACAGGTAACTGACCCAAGAGGAAAAAAAAATGGTTACAGGATTATTGTATTTCCTGCTCTTCTGCTGCTCATCACTTGCACTTGGTCCCATTCTCCTGCAGCTGATACAGCACCACTGAAGAGTGGGATCTCTATCAGGGGGCAGAGATGAGCAGCTGTGCATGGGAATTCCTTACAGCAGTTTGGTTTTAGGATGTCTTTCAGCCCCCTTAGTTGTGCCAAGTACAAGCTTTGGCATGTAAGGCTGTACCTCAGAGGCACAAACCTTTGCCACAAGGATGGGAATCTCTTAAAAATAAAATCAACTGTACTCCAGTACAATGTGAGCAGAGCCCTCCTGTCTGTCCTTGGAGTAGGCTGGAAAGAGATGTATGATTTGAAGAGGCCAGGGAGGAGGAAAGTTTTAGGAGAGCTGACTTGGAGAAATATGCAGGTTTGGAAGTGGAGGAAAAACAAATATGATTTGAACACATGAATCATAGACATGGGGGACCTCAAGAGGGAAAGATCTCATGGTGGGCTCTGATTTTTGAAGCTTGAATAACAACAGCTGTGGAGAGAAGGATCCTGAAATCTGTGGCAAAATACTTTGGGAGAATTTGACGTAAAACATTAAGGGACACCTGGAACATCAACCCAGAAAGTTTCGGTGCCAGAAACACTGAAATGGTGGGGTGGCTCCATCTAGAACAGCACTGAAAGAGGCATTTCTGGGACATGATGGGCACCATGTTCTCACAGATTAGTGCAAGCAGGGCACTACAGAAACAAAGCAGGTCAAATAAATGGGGTTCTGGGGCATGTCATTTAGCACATGACGATACCTTGAACTTTCCTAATCACTTCTTAGCTCCAGTCCCAAAGTGGATTAGACTGGTAGCCTGGACTGGTTTGAGCATCTGGTGAAAACCAGGACAGGAAAATGTTTGTGACTCACAGGAAGGAAGGAGGACTAACAGAGAAGCCAGTGAGCAAAGGGACAGAGTAGAGGCCATAAAAAAGTCTGTAGTGGTTTTGAAGTGGAAGGTGTTGGCTGGTATCCTCTCTACAGGATACCCAGAAGAAATGTCAAGGCAGGGATTTGAGGCAAAGGCTGTTGTCACACTATGACACGAAATAACTCACACAAGCAGGCCAGATGCAAAAGGAAAGAAAAAGAACCCAAAAAAGCAAACTTTATTTTCTAACTCCACTACATATGCAAAAGTGACAGTGGACTGGAGGGTGAAACTACCACCTCTCCAACCACACTGGTCAAACCAACAGTCCATCAATTCTCTCCACCCACAAAGAAGAATGCAAAACAATCATTGTTTATATGGACAGTGTGAGAAAATTCAGTAGAAATATGTAAATATCAGAAGGCATAAGAAACTTTTAGAAGAACTTAAAAACTCTCAAAAGAAGAGGGCAACAGGCTGTGGACAGCCTGCTCAATGAAGGAGTCAAGTGACAGTCTAATGAATAACTTCATTTGAAAGCCTCTCACTTGCCCACACTTGTTTGGGTGCCACCTTTCCACAGAGTTTGCAAGGGAATTGGTCTGATGATTTTAGATATTAGAAAGAAATTCTTCATGGAAAGGGTGATTAGTTTCTGTAACAGCTGCCCAGGGAGGCAGTGGAGTCACCATCCCTGGAGGTGTTTAAGGAAAGACTGAATGTGGCACTCAGTGCCATGGTTTGGTTGACGCGGTGGTGTTGGGTCGTAGGTTGGACTTGATGATCTCAGAGGTCTTATCCAACCTCATTTACTCTGTAATTCTGTGATCTTGGCTGTAACATCTGCTGCTGTGTTTTCCACCACCCAGGGTGTTTGGACTTCTTCTCTGCCCTGCAATGGGAGGCCTCGTTTTTGTGCCACATTGATCCACTGTCCTGGATAGGCAGATGCTCCTTACCAAGGGACTCCCTAAAACATCTAGAGAAAAACATGTCTTTCTCTCCTGATTTTTGTTCTTCCTTTTTCTCCTTAGGTGACGAGGAGTTGGTCCAGGAAGTGCTGTTTGATGCAGTGGTCACTGCCCCCATGGAGGCCTACTGGACAACACTAGCCCTCAACATGTCCTTGTAAGTGTAGGAGACATAAATATGGATAGAACACCACTATGGGTTTATGCAGTGCCTGAAATAGTCACAAACGTTTTCACAGCGTACAAGAAACTGTAGAAATAGCTCAAAAAGCTGATAGAAATAGCGCAATAGCTTTAGAAATAGGTTGAAAAGCATCTCTCAGGAGTAAACTACAATAAGCTGGGCCTCCTTGGGAGAGTCTTTTGTTTGGTGAGGGTTTTTCTAGTGGAGAAAAGGGAGTTTGGTCTTGTCTCTATTGGTTTAATCTCCAGGTTGAACCTCAGGGTGGCTTCAGTAAACAACTTTGTATTTTCTTATTTCCAGTGAGGCAACTGTTGCTTGTGGTGTCTTGTATCATGTTACACAGATCTTCTTTCAGCAGACAACGTGCTACTTACTGACATACGTGGCCATTGGACTCCTGTCCCTGTTTCAGTTCCTTGTATCCCTGCACTAACAGAAGCTGAGCCAGTGACAATCCTGCTGGGACACACAGTTATCAGCACAGCTTTAAATAGCTACACCAACACACTCTCTTTAGTCATATTCTGCTAACCTGGCCATTCTCTGCATCCCTGATCCAGCCATTCTCCTTCTGTAGTTCCCCTCCTGCACTTCAGCCTCGTGAGAGTTGACTGGAGCAGAGCTAGCAGGGGCAGAGGAGCTTATGGCCTACATAAAAGAGAATGAAGTAAGCAGACTTCAAAGGTTTAAATCTGAGCACAAGTCTTAAACCTTCCAGTTGTCAGCCAGTAACAACCTGTTGCCATTAGCCGGGAGGAGCCACTGTCACTCCTGGTGTAAATGGGTTATATTACAAATGAACTTGAGACCAGGTCTCCAGATGTGGCTTCAAGTTGGAAAGGCCCTGACCCTGGATCATGGCTGTTCTTGTGAGAACTGTTTGCTTCTGCCTGCGTATTTCTGTTCCACAGGGATACCGAGGCAGGCGTTGAGATGGCGTTTCTGGGCACTCGGGCTGGACTCATGAGGAGCGCCCTGTATGTGGGCTCTGAGAAGATTTCCAACAAGTAAGTCCCTAAGCTGCATTACAGAGTTTCTGTCAGTATCTCTGAAGGGGCAGCATGAAATCACCACCAGCCTTAGAAATGCTTTTGGGGAGACAGAATGGAAAGGAGCAACACCTTGATGGCATTAATGCTGATTCACAGAATCAGAATAGGGGGCCTTTGTCTTCCTCTGGCCCTTTTGAGTTTTTTTTTAAAATACTGTCCCAAAGTGCATTCATTTGAATGAAACCCTTCAACCATTCCCTGACTTCAGTCAGCTGACACGGAAAATGTCCACAGTTACTGCATATCCCCAGAACCATTTTGCAGTGCAAAGGCTCTGCACTCCAGTGCCCCAGCGCCATTCCAGCTTGGCTGTGTTTGATCTTTCTGTCTCAATTCCTCTCCCAGATTTATGCTGGTCTGCCTCTCACACTGCCCACATGGCAGCAGCATCCCAGCGCCTTGCAGTGAGGCGTTAAGCGATGTGACTGACGTCTGTCACATCCCATTCACTCTCCTGTCCTCTCCCTCAAGGCAGAAGTACATGTGCACTGAAGGGTTTTGACATGGAAGGGGTAGTTGGCATTCTGTTGCATTTTTGGATACGCAGGCTGGTGCATGCTGCTGTAGGAAAGGACGGGTCACAGAGGCACACCAGCAGATGGAACAGAAAGGGACCATGTGGGTGGTGGTCATTAGCTTCTCAGCAGCTGTTTCACTGTCCCCAAGTTCCCCAAACATGAGTCCTACCCTCAAGCTCTGCTGTGCCTGAAAGGTGACACTCTTCATGTGTTTGAAGCAGTCTGAACAACTCGGAGTAATCAGTCTCTGGCAACAAGGGAGAAATGCTGTGTGCTGCAGGAGGCTAACGTGATGATTGCCACTGCTTATCAGGAACAGTGTTCAGTGCTTCAAACAGTCACAGTCACCACACTGCAGAGACAGGTCCCCACATATCTCACAGGAGGTGCTTCTGGAAATCCCTGAAAGGGAAGGAATCATGAGGAATTATCATTACGTCAAAATATACAGCAAAACAAGAGTCTGAAAACAAAGGAATTTGCCAGGCAAGCTGTATGGACCTCCAGGGAAGCAAATGTCCTGATTTTCATGAGGTGTTGCCTGAGCACATCCTCTTCCCTTCAGAAGCACCTCTTTGCTCAAGCACTTCAGTTCCTGTCTCTCCAGGAATCACAGAATCATAGAATTTGTTAAGGGATTGGAATGGACCTTAAAGATCATATGTCCCTGATCCACTCTGCCATGGGGAGGGACACCTCCCACTAGACTAAGTTCCTTAAGGCTTTATCCAACCTGGCCTTGAACACTGCTAGAGCTGGGGCATCCACAACCTCCTTCAGCAACCTGTTCCAGCTTCTCACCTGCCTCACCTTAAAAGATTTCTTCCCAGTATCTTACCTACATTTCTCCTCTTTCAATCTGTACCTATTTCTCCTTGCCCTACCACTGCAGTTCCTAACGGAGTCACTCTCCAGCTCCCCAGCAGCCCTCCTTCACATGCTAGAAGGTTGCTATGAGGTGTCTGCTCTGAGCATCTCTTGAGGAGATGAGGATGCAAAACCTTCTGTTTGGGGTGGGTGGTTTGTTTTTGTAGGCGACTGCCTAATCGCCTTTCCTCACCTGCTCCCCATCCCCTGCAGTAACTAATGGCCACGAGCGCCTGCGCTTCCTCGCCCGCCTGCTCAGCCCGCGCTCCGGCGCTGCCCCCGCTGCTCGCGGGGCGTCGTGTCTGTAACCCTTCCGTGCGGCCCGGTTCTGTGCAGCCCGGTTCTGTGCAGCCCGGTTCTGTGCAGCCCGGTTCCCTCCCCGGTTCCTTCAGGGTTCCCGGTTCCCTTAGGGACCGCGGCCCCACCGCCCGCCCGGGGCCGCCGCCGCGGGCCTGGCCCGGGCCAACAGCGGCACCTGGCGGCGGCCGCGGGAGGCGCGGCGGGCGCGGCCGCCCCTCAGGAGCGAGGGAGGTCCGGCCCTGCCCCGAGGGGACACCGGGGGACAGCGGGGCACACCGGGGGACAGCGGCGACACCGCCTGCCCTCGCCCATGGAAAAGCCCCGGGTGATGAGCTGCCGCAGGTGTCGTTGCCCCGAGGAGGGCTGCCGCTCCTCCACACAGTGTTATGTCCCGGCAGGAAATTCCTGACACAGAAGGACAAGGAAAGCATCTTCACCATGGACCACTTCCCTCTGTGGTACCGCAGGGCGGCCGAGCATCCCCCCGGCAGCTTCATCTACAGCATTGTCTCAGAAGATGAGTCAGGTAACCCCAGCCTAAATACAGAAAAGACAAAAGGAAATAAAACAGCTTTTCACACCTCGCATCCCCGATACCTTTATCGCTGTGAGCCCTGCCCTCTCCGCACCAGTGAGAGGCACGGGGCTCATGGGCAAGATGCTGAGCGCAGCTGGAAGAGAAAGCTACAAGGTGCGGGGAAGGGCTACAGAGGAGGAAGATGGAAATGGAAAAGCATTACCTTTTCATGGATGGAAAGGTTTAGAGAGGCAGGAGCTGGGGGAACACAAGGTACTTGTGGGGCTGGAATACTCAGGAAACATGAGAAGGGAACAGGAAAAGTGTTGGAGAAGGAATGAGACACACAGACGTGGCCAGGCTCGGGAGGGAACAACATCAGCCCTGCTGGATGGCAGTAACAGCTGGCACTGGTGAGGGATCAGTGAACAGTCAGGAAGTCTAAGTTCAGAGGGTGTCATTTTTTCCATCACCACTTTCCATGACAGGAAAGGATGGGTTTGTTATGGAAGATGGTGGAGGAAAAGGGTGGAGAGGAAGGCTTTTCCATAGCAGTGGTGTCCTGCATCCTTCCAATCCCAATACTAGAAAATGGCATCTTTTGCTCAGCAAATTTCAAACACTAGAGGAAAGCAAGGAGTGACTTTTCAATATCTCTTGCTTGGTTCCTGTATGTTCCTATAAGCATTCAGGGCCAGCCATGACCTTCTCAAAGGCTGGAAGAGAGCATAGGAGCCTAAAAACAAACAAGCAAAACAAAATATTCAGAGAGATTGCTCCACAGAAGGCAGAGATCCCCTCTGTGCCCCTCCCTGGCCCCTAGCTCTCCATCTTTGTCACAGAGCTCAGCACTGTAGCTGTTAAAGCTTTTTGTGGCACAGTGGTGGGAGTCTGGTGGGTGGGAAAGCAAGTAGCAAAGAGAAGAAACCAGCCTGAGAGGCAAGAGATGAACCAGGATGTATAGGGGAAAGGGATGGAAAGAGAAAGTACTCAAAACCTACAAAAGCCTTTCTCCCCAACACCCTTACATCTCACTTAAAAGGCAAATGTGGAGAGAGGGGGAGAGATGGCAGGAGGGACTTTTTACTTCCCTGCAAGCCATGGCATCTGATTTTTGGAATAGAGCATGGGTTGGAAAAGCAAGGAGTGACACCCTATGGGACTTCCTAGGGCAGCCATTAACCAGGCCACAGTAGTCACTGCTGGCTAAACACTGGGGCTGTGGCTTGCTGTGGCTTTCTTAGAAGTCACAGCTAGTTTTGGATAAAGACTGAAGACAAGTAGCTAGCACTGTTCTTTATTTTACATAGCCATGGGTCAGAAGCTTAAATCAAGTCTAGAACCCCACACAGCTGGAAACTCTGCAGGCACCTTGTGAGAAGTAGCACTTGGCCCTGAAGACCTTGTGCCCTAAACTGTAAGGGAGATTATTAGTGTTTAGGGATGAGCAGCTCAGAGAGACTCCCTGGGAAGGGCCAGGAAATAATACCCAGTGCTTCTGAGATAGTCATTTACTATAAAGCAGAGTCCAGGCCCTTCCTCGACATCTGATGAAGCAGGGCTGCCCCACATTTTAGACAAAATAGGCCACCCAGTTTCTTATTAAATTCTATCAGATGCTGAATTCCCCTTTTCATGTTTTCCACAAGTCCCCTGCTGTGACAGGAGGTTTTTTGTGGCAGATGGGCTTCTAATAATCTAAGAAGGAAAACCCCCAACAGCTCTCTGTTGGAGAGGAAACCAGCAGGAAGTGACTGCAGGTCATCAGAAGCATTTATACACAGAACCTCCTTCCACTGTCCAGAAGTCTCAGAAATAAAAGGACAGCAGGGAAGCCTCTGCATGTCAAGTAGTACTGTTCTTTCAGCCCAGATTTTTCATGTGTTGGGTGAGATTTTTTTTCTAGAGACCCTAAGTGTATTTTGCTTCTTTGTCCTATCCTCGAACAAGCCTTTTGACGTTCACCATTGTCCTGGTTTAGGGCAAATTTGGGAGAAAACCTCTAAAGGGTTTTTTAGTTAATCTGGCTTTCATCGAAAAAACAAACATAAAATAGTTAGAGCCTCCAAGCTGAACTGTGGTAGGCACTGAATTGTGCTCTGGACACACCTATAATGATGAAGGCAGACATGGAAATGCTGGAGTTGTGGGGATGGAAAGATCCCTGACCCGTCTGTCTAAGGAAGAGATTTCCATAGAGCACACAAGGAGGGAACCAGGTGCAGACTGCATCGATCAGCCTGGCCTTCAAACTGTCCCCTGGCAGTTCCCAAAGAGGTGCCCCAGCTGAAGTTAATATAATCAATTTTAAATATATATAGCAATGGAATCTGCCACATGGACAGCTGCAGGCTGGAACAGCTGCCCTGACAAGGAGGGATGGAGTTCAGTTGCTTGAGCCTATCCAGCCATGCGATTTTAAATGCCCCGTGAGAGCTCAGGGATCTGCACAGGGCTGGCAGATGTGTCACAGGACCTACAGGATGCTTAAAGCAGCAGCTCAAGGATAATTGGGAGACCCTGGGGCATAAGAGAGTTAGGAAACACAGTCTCAGAAGGCTTTGTTTCTAAAATGGAGCGTGCTCTGGAAGCTGCTGTGTCTGCAGTTTGTAGTGCTGGCCTGGCTTGGGTAGGAGTTAGATACAAGCCTGGCCTTTGGTGTGTAAGTGTTGTCAGAATTACCTGTCCTGCTTCTCCTTTGTCTGCAGAGTTTGGATGGTGCATTGAGCAGAACAGCTCTCTGACCTCAGAGAAACTCTACATGCCCAAAATCAAGGAGGCTGGTCCTCTACATTTTATCACAGAATCATGGAACATTTTGGGCTGAAAGGGACTTTAAAGGTCACTTAGTTCCACACCCCTTGCTGTGGGCAGGGATGTCTTCCATGAGACCAGGTTGTTCAAACCCCCCCACCACCAACCCCAATCCTGCCTTGGACACTTCTTTTATGTTGAGGATACCACTTTTATTATGAGCCATAAAGAAGAGAAAAATAACATTTTCTCATAGCCCATTAGGCTGGTTTTGTGTTTTGAAAGATGCAGCCCTTGAAATTCTGAGATGTTTCAGAGTTAAGGAATATGTAGACACTGTCCTGGATGGGAAAATGTGAGGGCAAGCTGCTCTTGCTGCATTTTATTCCTCTCTCAGGGTAAGCTAACCAAGTCTGCTGTATTTATGTCTTGACAGAGGGAGGTGGCCTGCCAAAAGTGGTGACAGTGAGCACGGCTGTGTCTGTGTCTGTGGATGGGAAGATGGGAATTGCTGCAGGTAGGACATTCTGGCTCCTCTTTTTATCTTGAATGGAATGGCTGCAGCTTGCATTGAATGTGGGAGCTGAGAGCTGTTAGCTTGTCATTCAAGGGAAGTGACAGGAGCCACAATAGCTTGTGGTATTGAGAACTAGGCTAAACAGAGAATAATGGAACAGGTACTGAATGGCTGACAGGCTTCTGAAAAGGAAATGGGCTGCTTGAATGGAAGCTTCCCGTCTCCAGTGCTGGTGAATTTGTGGAGTGAGACTCTTTCTCTGGAGCAGGAGCAGGTTGGGAAGTCTGTGCAGGTTTAAAACTTTGCAAAACGTTTTGGCTTTGGAATAGCTTCATGTTTGTGTGTCCCCATTGTTATCTCAAAGGAAAAATAACTTCTGCTGGTGGAATGGGCATGTTGCTAGAAATCCAATTCCAACCTATAGATTGCCAAACTTATTGCTGTACGTGAGCTTTAAACTCCTTTTTGCAGACCTTCACTAGACTGAATCTTCTTTTGGAAAATTCACGTAGCACATTATTTCAAACAGAACCTCAAAGCTTTTGAAGATTTACCATTTTCTGTACTAATTGCTTCAGCCTTGCAATGCCAGGAAGTGCACTGAACTCAGAAACAGAGCAGTCATTTAGCAAAAAAACCCCAGCCTTATCAGTAACCCTGGCACCATATCCAATTTAACCACTCAGCATAGGAGTACTGGGATAAGAGAAGATGTAGCTCCATGGAAATTGCTTTAGACCAGGAAACAGTGACTAAAGGAAGAGGCTGATGGAACAGGTCATGGAGTAATTATATGCTGTGATGCAAAGCTTCTTAGGAAAGAATCATTAGTGCCCATGGAGCCTTACATGGTGAAAGGAATGACTGCTAGAATGGACACCACAGAACAACTTTGTTTTGGGACCACCTTGTAGAGAGAAGGCCATACAGCAGATACCTTCAGATTACAGTCTGCCATTGCTTTTGCCTAGGCTGGGTAGGAGACAGGGAATGTTCTTCAATACTACTAGTCAGTAAAACTATAGCAAATTCACTTCATCTGATGAAGCATTGCTTCTTTTCCAGGATTTCAGTAAGTTTTAGCTGACAATGATGCTCTCTAATTATCACCTGGACATTGAGAAAGTACTTATAAGCTGAAAGAAGTGTTATGAAACAGAACATTTTCACTTTTATGCCCAAAGCCAGAAAATTATTATGAAGTCTGCCCAGAGACACCTGTGCACAGAGATGGTTTCAGCGAAGTTCACATTAATAGATGCTTGGGTGATAGAAACTGCTCCCAAAACTGACACCAGCTGACACTATTATACCCAGCAAAAAATGAAAGGGCATTGAAACCACACCAAGGGTCTCTGTACAGCACTGAAACATTTTTCTAAGCATTCATGTGAGAGGAGAAAATAACTTTTTTTTTTTTTTTAAATAAGCTTGTTTTTCATTATCTTCTTCCTTCCCTTTCCTGACCTGTGGATTAGAGCAGAGGCACACAAGCAGTTCATCTGTGTTGTGGTTCAAGCCCTGCTTGAAATTAAGCTCCACACAGCCACTCACCCAACCTCCCTCTCACCCTTCCACCCTGGTGGATTGGGGAGGAGAATCAAAGTAAAACTTGCAGTTTGAGATAAGAACAGTTTAATAATTGAAAATTAAGTAAAATACAATAATAATGGTAAATTATGATGATGATAAAAATGATAATAAAAAGGGAAAAACAAGCAATGCAAAATACAATTGTTCAACACCCACTGACTCATGCCAGACTTCTCTTCCCAAAGCCAGACTGGTCCCTCTTCTGGGTAACTCGCCCCAGTTTCTATAGTGGGCATGATCCTCCATGGTGTAGAATGCCCCTTTGGTCAATTCAGGTGACCTGTCCAAGCTATGGTCCCCTCCAGTTTCCTTGGTCCAGCTCCTCACTGGCAGAGTATGAGACAAGGAAAAAAACCCTTGACTTAGGATAAACACTTAGCAAAAAACCAAAACATTCTCATTATGAATTCAAAACACAGCACTCTAAAGCCACTGAGAAGAAATTAACTCTACCCTAGCTGAAACCAGGACAATCTGGCACCCAGCATAAATTCAAGGAAGGAAACTTCTCGGTGGAAGCACTGGAGCAAGTGGCAGGAGGATCTGGCCCTGACAGAGCCATTTCTCTTCTGTCTCCACAACCCCTGTGGAGATTTCCACCCACTCAGTTATGCTGAATACTGTCTGTGTGGACATGCTGTGAAGGGGCAGAATCCTTTGCAGAGGGTGGAGGAAATAGCAAAGGACAGGGAAACAAAAACATATTTTAAAACAATAAGGTGAAAAACCTGTCATTTTTGGAAATTATGCAGAACCAGTTTTATCACTGGCAACCACGGAAGCTGAGACAGAGAAATGAATTTTTAATTGCTTTTGTTCCTTAAAGGTACCATGGTCCTGTCCCTAGCAGGTACATTAAGTGAGCACAAGCATCTTCTGCTATTCACACATGGTGGGTGTTCTTCACTCCTGGTTTCTTATGCTTTGATGAAAACAACCCATCTCTGATCCATGGTATGGGTGGGCTAAATGATAACATCAGGTCAAACATTATCACCCAAAGGGTCCAAAGCTCTTCATGTCTCCAGCTCTAGTCTCCACTGACTTCAACAGGAGTGCAAGGGTGTGCTGAGGTAGGTTCCATGTGCTGGCTTGGGTGTCAGTCAATGTTTGGGGGGGTGTTCAGGGAGGAGAAAAGTGCTATATTACCATTTGCTTTTCTAGTAGTGACTAAGGTTCATCATCTGAATCTTTCATACTAGTAGTCATTTTTTTAAAAGGGTTATAATTAGTGGTCACACTGTCAATTGAAATATTCTTTTTTCTTCAGGATGTCAGCTTAGAGAGTAAGGATGTAGATCTCACTTCATTTCCCCTCACAGTAATATAATTCTCCTGAATGGCTAGATTCTGATTCTAGGGGACTGTGAGGGGCTGCAGCAGAAATGAAGCTGGGCAGAGCTGCAACACCATCATGGGTACAGGAGACAGGTGAAGGGAGGGGAGGGAGTGTGGAGGCACACAAGAGGCAGTGAAAGCAGAATGGGATGCAGATTGTTGTTGTTGTTATTCTGGTGGCATCAGCCCTTACTGGGATTGATACCATGGTAATTTAGCTATACTAACAGAAGTTTGGTACCCAGCACTGGTTCCCAGAAAACCAAATATCTGGGTAGATTTGTAGTTTCTGAATAAATGCAGCCACAGCTCTGTAAAAGGGGAACAACAGAGACTTTTAAAGTGCCCCTATAAAAGAACAAGTGGTATGAACTGTCCTGTCATTCTGTCACTGATCATTACTGTCACTTGTTTGACTTGATGGTGCTTGAGGGGATCTGTAAGCACTTTGAAATGTTCACTATGCATGCAGTGAAGAATTAAGCTCCAGGATTTACAGCCATGCTCATGGGGAGGGAGCACCCCCAGTGCCCCCATGGGGACAATGCCAGATAGAGGCAGCATTTGGCCTCCTTTTTTCTGGCACATGAATGGCAGTCCATAGCCAGGGCAGAGTAAGGCAAACTAAGAGTAAGGTAAAATCAAATGTCCAGGAAGATGACACAAGCCTGGTTGCTGTCAGGGAGTGAGGGAGCAGTCAGATGGAATTAGAGAGTTGCAGTCTGGAGGGCTGAGAGAAAGGATGGAGGGGGAAGCACAAGGGCCTCCTTCCTCCCATTTCAGTCTGTCTTAGCTCAGTGGGAAATCCCAGAATGGGTTTGAGGGGGAATCCAAGCTGCTCTCTTGCCATTAGAGATGCTATTCCACACTCCAGGTGGAGAGGTGGCCAAATTCAGGAGGGAAAGGAAGTGTCCTTTGCCCAGCCCTATCTTCATCCCTTTTTGTCCATCCCTCTCCTTCCCCCATGGGCCTGGGAGGGGTGCACAAGGGGTTCAGGGTACACACAGATTTCTTGGAGGACATGGTGGAGCAGGGTCCACTTGTGTGAGCTGAGTTGGTGGGGTTTCTTTAGTGGGAAGCCACACAGGCAGCCTTGGCTTGAGTATACCTGTTTCTTGGAATGAATATTATCTACCTGCTATATTGTACTTTGGCACTTCAAAGCACTATGCAAACATTAAGTAATGCCTGGATGATTAATTATTATTAATTAGGAGGCAGCTATTCTCCTGGGATGTCAGTCCAGTACTTTTCATACACACTAACTGCATCAAAAATGAGAAATAAGGAATGGGGATGGCATTCTCCCCAAGCCATGTCCTGCCCCAGATAGCCCTGTCATCTGCTCCCTCCCATGAGTCAGTAGCCTGGGGCTTTCTGATCCTCAGGCTGCAAGGCAGAAATCACATGGAGCTCCTGACAGAAGCTTTTCACGATTTAAAGCCTCAGTGAAACTGCTGGAATCTGTGCAGGAGTTCAGCTGTCACTTTGGGCTGTGGATGACGTCTCTTTCATTGCCTGACCTTCTGGCTGTTCAGCTTCTGGGGCTGTCAGCTGGCTGCCAGTGCCAACAGGACATGTGCAGGGCATGACAGCAGACAATGGGGCGTACACATGGTGCCCAAGAAAAATAATCCAAATGGGCACTTGGGAGATGCGTTTATTTTACACAACACTTCTCTCCTCTGTTGATATTGGAAGTAGCTGCTCTTACCAGCAGTTATTGGACCACAGTGAAATCGTTATCCCATGACACCAGCAATTCATGCAGATGTATTTGGGGAGAGCCCTAGGCAAGCTCAAACCAGGGGCAGAGAAGAGAAATGTTGTCTCTGTTTTCAAGACAGAGTTTTGGGACACTGAGTTATCAAGATCAGTAATTTCAGAAAAGCTCTGTACTCACAGCAGGAGCAGATTTTTTTAAAATATTTTGATTATTTTTTTTTCAAAATAATTTGAAACCTATCAGTCTGAAAAGTAGGTAATGGGGAATAATTTTGCCATATTACCTCTGGTTAAAATCCAGCCTCTGTCAGTCTGATGGAAGCTCTTAATTTGAAAAGAAATTCCTGGCCAGCTTGATGTCTCTCCCTCTCTTCCTTGGTCTTCAATTTTGGCTACCTGCTGTCTCCTACCAGCAAGCAGGAACAGGAGGTGCAGGTGGCTTTTTCAGCAGGACTGTTGCTGTGGCATGTTTTCAAGCTAATCTGCACACAATTCCATATTCCTACAGTTTTCCTGCTTGGATGGATGAAACATTTCAACCTTCTCTCTGGAAAGGGACAGTAGCATCAGTAGAAGCTGTTAAAATGCATGGAAATAAGCTCTAGTAGCATAAGCACCTTTTCCTTAGAAATAGCTGCCTATCAACTGGAGAATTAAAACTATTTCACTAGGCTGGTCCAGAAAGCAGCATTAAGATACCCACATAAAATATGAGGGTAGCTGATCTCTTGAATGCGTACTGCAGTATTCAGAAGGAATGCTGTCCCTCTTTTCATGCTGAAGGTTGTGCCAAAGTTGTCTCAGTGCAGAGACTTCTGTGAGTCCCTGAGGCGTCACCAGGTGCCTTTATGGAAATCATGGTCTCCCTGGCATGCAGTGGTATGATGGATAAAAAGAAGGAAGACAACTGGTTTTTAGCCCATGACCTGCTATGTCTGGTCTCTGCCTGATGCCAGCCTATTGTAAATGCAGCTGAACCCAGTGGGAAGATGATGATATCTGACTCCAGTTCAGAAGGCTGAATGATTTCTTTATTATAACTATACTATAATACATTATTATACTATTTAAAGGAGATACTAAAACTACAAACCTACTTTTTCTAACTACCATATCTAACTCACTCACAACTGGTGGCCCTCTCTGGAGTGTCCAGCCCCAGGTGGGTTGGAGTGGCCATCAGGCTCAAACAATCCTCACCAGACTCCAATCAAGCAATCACCCCAGGTAAACAATTCTCCAAACACATTCCACATGGGAAAAACAAGGAGCAGAAATAGAAATTGTTTTCTCTTTCTTTCCTCTGTGCACCTCTATGAAAAATCCTGAGAGAAGAATGTGCCTGCCACACCAACCCCTTCTGGCAATCCCCAAAACCCGAGCAGTTTCTCATGCAATCCCTCTGATCCAACAAAATCAGAGACATCTGAACAGGCCGTGCCCTGGAAATGAGTCATGGAGAATGTTAGGGACACTGGTAAGGCAGAAATGCTGCTGATTTTAGTGCTACCAGCAGCTGTGCCTTCTCCACCTCTCAGGACACCTCTCTGGAGGCTGTTATCAGTGGGTACACACTTGGCTGGCCTAAGGGTTGAGACACTACTCCAATGTCAGTGTCCCCATGACATGTTAGTGTGGCAAAACCAGTGTCTCTTGCACTCTTCATCTCCCCATCTGCTTGCCTGCCACTCATTGCATTCTGCTTACACTCTGAGCCTTGGGGGATACCTCTAAGCACCCAGGCTGCTTTTTGTGGTGTTTCTGGGGCACACACAAGCTGTTCCATGAGCCAGACAAAAGTGAGTGGTTACGTTATTTTGCACTGGCTCTGGTCTTACGAACTTTGCCTTTGTCTTGGTTTGGCATCAGTACTGGGGCCACATGGTTCCCTTTTCAGAGCTAATTATCCTCCAGCCAGCTCAGTGAACAGGAGAGAGAGCAACATCTGCCTGCAGAACTCCAGCTAGATGTTTCCATGCATACACAGTAACTGGGGACAAGAGGGACAAATAAGTCTATTTTGACCTCAAAAGTATGCTAAAAATAGTAATTGAGGCATCTTTCATAGCATTCTGCTCACCCTGGCTACACCTTAGCCATTTCCTTTCCTTCCATGGTGTTTGTGCTGTCTGCATAGGCTGTAAGATCTTCAGCACAGGGACCATGCTTCCCCCTTGTGTGTGCAGGCATTGTCTATTGCCTTGGTAAGAGTCCTTGTCTGGGGAAAAACTGAAGGCAATTTTGTAGAGTAAATATTTCTTTGTAGTCTCTGCTGAATGCCTGAGTTTTTACACTGCACCATTTACCAGGGAAGAAGCTCTGAGGGAGTGAGCCCTGCCTTCCTCAGCCCATACAGGCAGTACTTCACCCAGCACAGACCCTGTGGGTGGGTTCCTGTGCCCCAGCCCTGCCCTCACCAGCCCTTTCAGGAAATTTTCTCAGTGGGACCCCAATAAAAAATTGTGAGCAATGAGTTGCCCCATTTAGGGTGTGGTGAGGCATCTGTCCCAGGATATCCTCAGCCCCAGAGCCTGTTCCAGACTGGAGCTCCAGCCCAGCACCCCGTTCCTGCCTGTGTGTAGCAGAAATCTTCTTGCCTAAGGTTATCCGTCACTGTCGCCTCTACAGCTCCACTGATTGCCGTGGTTGTCGCTCTTGAAGTGAAAAGAGCCCTTGACACTAACTCAGAAGAGACTTGCATATAGCTGGATTTTTTAGATTGGCACCCAGCGCCTTTGCCATGTTGCCTTTGCTTGCAAATTATTTGATATAATTTTAATTCTGAGCCGAATTAGAGCAGTGCACAGGTTGCCATAGCAACCATTACCTTGTGCCTTTTGGTCTGACTCATTGCAGACAATTACTCTTGCGCTCCAGGATTCACAGATGTGATAGGAGAAGAATCATGTGCTGGGCTTTCAACTTTTTTTTGCTTTTCATTTCCTTCCCAGCCTCTCTTCCATTAACTCCTGCTTACCCAGCATCAGCAGGCCCTGTCTCCCTGCCCAGGGGTGCTCGTGGGAGTGCGTTGGATGTGTAGATAAACGACATGTGAGGTGATTTGTGCATGCATGTGTGCATCTGCATACATAAAGAGCTGATCTGCAGTGTGTTGTGAGATCTCTGGGCTCCCTGTGTGCACATCTCGCTGGGGACGTGCACAGACACTCATAACTACAGAGTAATTTGCACTTTCTCCTGTCTGTGGTGTTTTCCAGGTAGGTACAGGATTGATTCCATGGAGTTTTACCCAGTGTACAGGGGCTGCCAATAAGCACGGGGTATTTAGGGGGGACTGACAAAGTGCAAGGGTTATGAATGGTGCAGGACCTTCATTTGAAGCTACATGAAGATCCACAGGCTGCCAAGTAAGTGGCACTGGCACCCCTGACACCACCTAAATCTCCGTGTGAATGCAAGGCGAGTTTATTACCCCATTCACATATGTCCCCCCAGTGCCCCATGTCTTTTATGCAAAGTGTATGGGGTAAAATGCTGTTGTCTGTAGCCTTAGCACAGGTATAGCTGATGTTATAAACCTAGAGTTTAGCAGAGGAGCAAAGCCACCTGAGAAGATGCTGAAAAGGATCACATGAGCAGTCTGTAGATATGAGGATGATGGTGGTAAATGTCACAGCAGAGGAGGTTATAGGAAATGTCTCGTGTGATGGTTTAGCTTCAATTCGGCCAAGGCAGACAAGTTTTGCAGGGTGAGAACCACAGAAACTTAGCAGATGTGAGTGCAGCTCCAGCCTCCTCCTAAGAGACATTCTTTTAGCCACCAAACTCATCCTGAATTCTTTTTGTCCTGCCCTACCTATCACCTAAGGCACAAATCTCCCTATCATCAGGCTTTGTAATGGGACTCTGACTGCCATCCCTTTCCCTTCAAAAGACCTTTTTCTTTTCTTCCTTTCTCTCACGGGAACACAGAAACCCCACTCACAGGATCACAGATAATTCTGGTTGGATGGCACCAGAATTACACTCTGCTGCCCAATGTGTGGAGGGTGTTCTGCTGTTGACTCATGGCACTGCATTCAGAGGCAGCAGTGCAAAGTCTGGAGTGTGGGGAGAGAGCAGTTGAGCTTTTGGGGACAGCGTGAAGCCCCCATTTCTGTGAGGATCCTGATTCTTTTGCCCTCCATCTGTCTGTGACAACAAGCAGCTGCTTAAGTTGGATCTGCAGAGAGACTGTGGAATGGAAAAAAGGCATACAGCAAACAAGGCTGTCTTGCCTAGCCCTGCCCTCCCTTAGAGGTCAGAATTGTAGGGATAAAGTGAGGATTGCTTACATATCAAGCTGAGCTAGACCTTGCAAAGGAGGTTAAAACAAACAACATAATGTTCTTCAGCTATTTGGGGAATAAAAAAAAAAAAAAAAAAAGAAGGAAGTAGAGCTGCTTCTGGTCAATAAGAGTGAAGTTGGGGTCAAGGAGTCTATAGTCTGAGCGAAAACCAAAGAAGACTCAGTGCCCAAGTTATTGATAAGGACAGAAATATCACCCTTGGGAAAAGAAACAAGCTGAGTGCTGTGAATAAGCAGCTCAAGCTGATTAGTGCACTCACAGTGCCTGGCTGCTTTTTGGCCCTGGGAGAGCTGGCATGTGGAAATGCACACTTACAGCAAAGGGCTTTTTTCAATTCTGTACACAGTGGTGACTCCATGCAGTCTGCAGAAGTGAAAAGTCAGCAATTAGGATTAAAGAAGGACAAGAAATAAGTTTGTCGGTCTCCAAATTTTAAGCATGACCTCTGCAATGTGTGTAGCACTTTAGAGGAGAATCTTCAAGGAAAGTATAATTATTACCAATCAGTTAGGGTTGTAAAATGGAGTCATGCAATATGAGTTTATCAGTGCTGGATAACACCAGGCTGAACCAACATCCTTCTTTCAGATGGTTGTTTTACTGGAAGGCAAAATAAATTTCAAATGTCTCATCTCTGTATTTCAGTAAAGCATTGCTATATGGCACATAAGAAACAACTAGACTGGAGAAGATCAAGTGAAGCAAAAGAGTTGTAAGTGGCAGGGAGGGAGAAGTCAATCTGAGAAGACAGCAGCAACAAGATCACCTATCAAATTCTAGCAAAATGTACTTGTTACACTCCCCATGGTCACCCATGGGATTGGCCTTTGCTAATATTAACCTGAGACCCTGATTCAGATAGCTGTGGGGAGGGAAGGAGTATCCTGGTGATTCAACACTAGAAGGCAATGCTAGTACATGGAAGGACCAGGATATTGTAGAGGAAGCCTTATTTGACCTTGGCAGGAGTACCAGAAACAGAATGAATTTCAGTAGTACGACAGACAAGGTCATATGCTTGACAGCTAATAATAGAAATCTTCTGTAAGCTGGGAACTCTGAGAGATCTGGCAGAGAGCACAGCAAGCAGGACAGGAGGCAGTCCTTGTCTTCTGGGAGCCATTGAGCCAGTCTTGACAAATCTCAGTAAGGATCCTCAGTATAGCTCATCAATAAAATCTGTACTGCTCCCTGATGCCCACAGTAAATTCAGGGAACCATTGTCATCTGCCAAGACCTGTCCTGAGAACCTTGCTGAAAGGCAGCTGGATAGACCTAGTGGTAAACATATCCTGAGAAGGCTCAGGAAAAAAGTGCTGAGATCTTCTGTATTAGGTGGTGGTGGCATGGTGGTGAATCACAGTGCAATGCAGCTGAGGACAAAGCAAATGCTATTCTAGTGCTTAGGGAGGTGTTCCCAGTGGGGAAATACAAAGCCCTGTGAGAACTCTCCTCTAGTCTGTGTTACAGTTTTGGTCAAAGGAATACAGGCTGAGACAGGAGCAGACAGGATGGGCAGATGATGAGAGGAAAGGGGAGTCTGACCTGTGAGAGGAACCTGGAGCACCCAGCTTGTTTAACAATGTGCAACCAAGGACAAAGCAGATAGGATTGCTGTCATGAATGCACCTTGGAGGACACATTTAAACTAAAGTTGTATGGAGATAGGCTTTAGCCAGAATCTGAGGTATAAAGACAATGGATTTAAGCTGGAGCTTGAAAAGTATATAAGAAAGTGGTGGTGCCTTGAATACAAAGAGTTGAGACTCTGTTAGCCTGTAGTTCCTTGAGCAGGGAACAGCTGAAGTCCCTGATCTCACCCTGTCACCGAACAAAAACCAGCAACAAGCAAGGTAAACAAACAGGGAACTTCCCGTTCACTGCAGCATTCTCCTTGGGCACCAGGCAGGGCATTCTTACCCTATAGTTCCCACACTCCATGATTTTAGTCATGACTAAATAAAAATAAGCTTGTTAATGCAGCTGAAAGCCCCAGCACAGCACCTGGCCAGAAGCTAGGGCTGACCTAAACCCCTCTCTCAGCCTTTGACATTGTGGTGGTTTCTCTTCGTTGCTTTGGGTTTTGCAAAGTAAAGAACAGTGAGTAGAAAAACCCCTGCTTACAATAACAAACCCTTAAAAAGCAGATGGGGATGTGGGGGCTGGTGTGTTTTTTGACATTTGAGTACCAGAGCAGGGAGAATCTGAGAAGCAGCTGGTCAAAGGCACTCATTGAAAAGGGGATGATCAGTCACAAGAAGACAGAAATAAGGAGGAGAGAGAAAGAATAACTGGGGAATTCAAGACATTTATGTCCAGTGAGAGATACGTGAAAAACAACCATATGAGGCTGTGAGTGGATGGAAGTGGAAAATGCTGGAAGGGGATAATCCTTTTAAATAAAGGACTAGATTTTCTCTTGCCAAGAATTTTATAAATCTGGAGGCTCATGTTTAAAATGCAATGAATTTATACCAATGTAAAGGTAGGATCAGAGCCACTTACCCATAATCTGCCTCCCTCAAAATTACTTGTTAGGGTTTTGTCCTAGCATTTACATTTACCTCCATCTTTAAAGCAGGAACAATGTTCACAGCCTAGTGAGTAGACTGTAAGACATTCTTTGGTAGGAAGGAGTAGAGAAAAGTGGCAAAAGTCATGTAGTATCTACGATATAGAGCACAGATACCAGTGGATGAGGAGAATACTTCTAAAAGGGGGAGAAAAAGCTGGAAGCAGTGTGACAATAGGCTCTAGTATTATCCCAGAGGTGAGAAAATGCTTTCAGTTGAAAGTCTTAATGAACTCAATCTGCCTATTGTACCTAGAAGAAGACTAAGAGATTATTTGATTTAGAGTATAAAGTGCCTCCACAGAGAGAGCTGCTGGTTACTGAAGGTTTATTTTTTTTAATCTAGGGGAGAGAATAACAAAAAACTGTGACAGAAAAACCAAAACAGATTAAAATTAGTTAATAAGCATGAATGCTAACAATGAGCACTAATAGGTATTGTCAGAAGATACCAAGGGAAACAATATTTTCCCCTTTTTTCAGTGCATTTCAAATCAAAGGTAGATGACTTTCTGGAGGATTCAACTTAGCTGCATGTAAACACTCACTGTTGGTCTTTCTACAGGATAGTTTCTCTAATTTCTGTTTCATAAGCTAAACAGATTGAGCTCTTTCAGCCTTTTACAGAAAGGCATTTTCTGCCACCCCCAAATAATGCTTGTGGTTCTTTTCCACACAATTTCCAAGTAGCGTGCGATACACAGAAGGTCAGACTGGATGATCTAAAGTCCCTTCTGGCCTTTATGTTCTCTGAATCTCTGCCTCTGTGAATTCATTAATGTTTGCAAGCTCCCAGAGAGCTGCCAAAGGCAAGCACTATAGAAATGCAAAGCATTGTTGTTACTCTGCATATTTCCCTTGAGCTTTATGTGGAGCTGGTTGAATATCGCAGGGTATCGTCTGTGTGTATTCCCTCAAGTGAAATACCTGCATTTCTCACTCCTGCAGTGCCCTTTCCGAGTTGATTTTCTGCAGCTGTGCTAACAAACAAGTTTATTCCCAAGTTAGGACTCAGAAAAAGCAAATGTGAAGGGGCAAATCTCTGCTTGGAGCCCAAAGCAAAGAGCAGCACATTGCTGTGGCCCAGAAGCTCCGTGTGAGGAAGTTATTATTAGCATCATGCTTTGCTTTCTCTTTGTCTCCAGGTGCCCTGCACATGGCCTCTGCCTGGCTGCAGCAGAGCAGAACTGTGGGAAAGACAGATCTGGCCCCTGTTGGCTGCTTTTCCCCCATTCTCTAAAGGGAGAAGAGCTGTGAGGATGCTGCCTTGTCCCCAGGTTTCCAGGGCTGCGACAGATGTAGAGGGCACCCCAGAATGATGCAGGAAATGTTTATTTACTCACATTTCATTCTGTAACCGTATTCATTTTTGAATGCTTGTTGTATTGCCAATTATTCTAGGAGAGAAGTCTTTTTGGCCCTCAGAAATCCTGTGCTAGGACTTGCATTTATCTGGTTGGAGGATAGAAGCTGACCCTCTGACCCATGTTTCCAATCAGTGCTAGCTCTTCAAGCTAGCACAGTGGGCTGCTTATGGACGAGATACTGAGGAGGAATCCTGTTTTATATATTTTACCTGTTACATGTACAGAATTACATGGTTATTATATAGGGTGTTATATATGTCCATAAGTAGGTGTGTAAGCAGGACAAATACATTGGTCAACATCAAATACTAATCAAATTGTAATAAATAATTGCAGAAAATCACAGCCTGCTCCCAGACAGTTCATGAACTGAAAAAGTCTAGAGTCATCAGATGAGTGTGTTGGATTTGCTTTTTTTCTGCTCTGTGTTTCTGGTATCATATGAACTGCTGAGTAGTATCTGTGTGCACTGCTCTACCTACCTGGCAAAATGAGATTAAACTATGTGTCATAGACACCATGCTATTAAACAATAGTGGTGATTCTCCTGCAGCAAATACCTTTTTAGCAGAACAGATGCCTCAGCTGTGAGCAGATTAAGAGTAGCTGGGTTCTGCTCCCAGTTTATCTCTGAAGATCAGACTGAGCCCAGCAGGGTGACTGAGGATAGCAGTGTGAGTAGTGGCACAAGGGTTTGCTTGTGCTGGGGTTTAACATCCTGCACGGTTCCACATGCGTCAGGATGAGTTTATTCTTACAGCAAAGGAATGTGATGAATTTTGTATGCTTAGCACTGAAAAGTGGCCAAGTGGGGAATTTAAACTTCTTAGCTGTGTGTGATAGACCTAGCCAGGGAACAGCTGGTAGAGAGACTCTTTTAGCTCTAGGGGTAGCAGCTTGTGTACTTGGGGGTGCAATAGGATTAGATAGCAATTTCCATCTATTTTGAAATAACCTTGCTCAAGAGGGTCAGGAATCTGGAGATGTAGGAACCCATAGCTCCCTATTTGTTACATTATGTTCTAATTAAAAAAAAAAAGAAAAAAGAAAAAAAAAGAAAGAAAAAAGCTTTTGGAATCAAATTTGACCTGAATATAACTCCATTGGCTCCTGCATTCTTACACTAGGGATTAATTTGGCCCTTTCTACTTTTATGTAATGAGCTGACTGCCACAGTATCTTATCCTTGTTATACAATCACCCTTGTCTGTCTGTGTCCCTGGAGCATTCTGTGTGTGTGTTTCTAGATCTAGGGTCTCACCTTCACTTACTGTGTGTTTAGTCCTGACTTACACTGATACAGTGTGTGTCTGTGCACACTCACTCCAACTTGTGTACAGACAAGAATATATCTGTGGGAATTGAGGGACTTTCTCCTTTGGCTGACTGTGTCCCTGGGGTGTTTGCTTCTGCAGGGGATAGGGAAAGAGTGAATGGTATTATCAGAGATCTCATTTAAACAAGAAGGCGCATAGGAAAATACATTCTTTATTATTATTCTGTAACAACAAGCCAGAAATATAATATACCTTTAAAAATTTCTGTCTCATGCCAAAGAAACCTCCATTCAATCATTTTAGAAAATCTTGTTGCTCTCCCTCAAACAGTAACAAAAAAGAAAAAGGAATTACAAGTGCCATCTGTTCCCTGCAAGGGATGTGCCTACCTGTCCCTACAGGTGTGGGGAAGGGGAGCAGGGGGAACAGGAGGACTGTTTCTGGTGGCCCTGCCAGCCCTACATCGCCCTGGCATGTGTTGGACCTGCTGGCCCCAGAAGACCCTTTCCTGAGGGCAGGCACCTGCATGTGTCATTGGAGCAGCTGCCTGCAGCAGAGGGTGCATCCAGGGAGATTCCCCCATGCCCAGCCAAGCCTGTAGGGACAACAGGAGCCACTGTCCCCACACAGCAGAAGAACCCTGGGTTGGCTGGGCACACAAGGAGCACTGGGTGTCATTCAGTATCCAGCATCCTGCAGAGCTTTGTTTCTGCCCACTCAGGATGCTGTGTTCCCCACAGTGCCTGTGGGCAGTGCAGCAGCTCAGACATAGCAGAGCAGCCTGATTTCCAGGTGTGCTGGGGAATGGAGACAGAGCCTGTTTGCAAAGAGTGCCATGAAGAGGGCACTTCCCAGTGAGCCCAGTTACTCTGCTCTGCATGCAAAAGGACAGGTCCTCATCCTGCCAAACAGAGTATTTGCTTTCCAGAGGGACTCCTCATAGCCAGCATTTGTGTTTCCCAGAAACATTCAGTTCTCCCCTTTCCTGTCTTCTCCTTTCCTGGGTGGGTTTCTAAACATAGCAGTCCCTTGTCTAGGGTTGAGATAAATCCAGACTTTCCGCTGTATAAATTAAAACAAAAAAAGGAAAGGATGGGCAAGGTCATCACCAGCCCTGCAACACAGGATATAGAAAATATTATTAGCAACAAAGAAAAATTGGTCAGGGCAGGAGGAGGTCACAGGGAAGGTGCAGGGAAAGGAGGATTTCACATCCTCAACCCTTGCATTGTCCCCTACCTTCTTCCCATTCATTTCACCTCTAGTCTATTCCCTTAGAAACAGTCTCTCTCTTCTCTCACACACGCACACACACACACACACACACACACACATATATATAGATCCCATTTGTTTTGTGCAATATGTCACCATTATTTGATGCAAGTAAAATATAGATTTATAAATATACCGCTCTGACTCAAGTCCCGTTTCAAGTATGATTGCGGAGTCCAGTATGGTAAAGGGAGACGTTCCCCTGAGAGGGAGGTTGGGGAGAGGTTTGGATCCAGCAGGCAGAGTCTGGCTTGCTGGGAGTGTGGAACAGCAATAACACACATACGGAGTCTGCAGTGCACCAGTTCTGCCCTTCAGAGCGGGCTACGCTTGGAGCAGATGGGATGGTTGGGGTGGCTGTACAGTGCATGGGGGAAGAGTCCTTCCTCCTCACATTTCACAGCCCCCCTCCTTTGCTTCCTCTTTCCCACAGTGTGATGGAAGCAGGGGGAAAGCGTGTGTGCACACTGGTGGGCGGGCTGACTGCTTCTCCCAGTTCTTCCTGGCAGCCTGGTCTTCTGCTTCCCTGAAGAACATCCTCCTCTGCCCCATGCATCCCCGTGATGAAGGGAAGTCATGATAGAACAGTCCAGAGCACCCTTTTTCCTTGGCTCTGGTGACCCTGGGTAGACCAGGAGGGATCCAAGCCACTCTAGGCTTTGATCAGTGATGGTGTGTGCCCCCGGATCAGTACAGCCACCTCTGTGGGACCAGAAGGAGTGAGGAGCCAGTGTGCATTGCTTCCACAGGGATCCAGTCACAGCAAGCAGGAGGACTGTGAGATGTCCGACGGCAGTGGGATTCAGATGGAGCAGGTGGAAGAGGTAATGTGACCTGGTAGGATCCACCTGCAGAGCATGCAGGGCTCTGAACACAGGTTGCTAGTGAAACTCCCTGCAAAGCTGGGCTGGCTGCCAGCTTGTTTCCTGATGGCAGGGATCACACCATCCACAGGCACTGTGGATGCACGACCTCCGGTGTCATCTTCCTCGCCCAGGAATACCCACTGTGACGGGTTATAGCAGGTTACCATGGCAATGTGCGCTCTCCCCTGGAGACAGCATTTTATCCCACTTCCAGTGATACAAAATGAGTCCTTATGTTGAGTTCCTTTCTTTTTTTTTTTCCCTCTCACTTTTTTTTTTTTTCCCTGTCAGGTCAGAATGAGCTAAGACTAATAGGAGGCACTGCAATCTGAGGGTTTTAAAATCTGGTTGGGGGAAGTCACCGTACGTGACAGTGGCAGTGTGCACAGCTGTTTGTGTGGGCACACTCAGGTGCAGCTGTGGGTGTCATTGGACACCCCAGTGATGGTGAAGGGAGTGCATGTGGGCTCTGCTGCCTTCCGTGCCAGACCCTTCCTGAGCTCTCCCTCGTGTGCCACACTGTGCTCCAGGTTCCAGCCTTCACCTCAAGACCCTCCATAACTCTGCACACTCTTTTTGGTCACCCTGGCTGCACCACCCTGTTCCACACACCATGCTGGCCCCTGTGCCAGCCATGGCAGCTCCTGGGTTGTGTGACTTCTTCCCCTGACACCTTCCCCTAGGCTCACACTACTCAGCACGGCTTACGCTCCTGCTAAGCCACCTCCTCCTCTAGTCTTTCCTGATGACCCACTTCTGATCTGCCAATCAAACATTTCTAAATGGAGGCTTCATATCCTTACCCCCTCCATTTATTAGAGAAGACATAAAATAGATAAGAACACACCTTTTTTTTTTTTTTTTTCATGCCGTGTACTTATTTCCACAGACTGGTGCTATAATCTCAATAACTTTGCCTCTCTCCATCCTCCTCTTCTGCCAGTTCCCACTGGCTCAGCACTATGGCTGAGATGTTTTTGTTACTCCTCAGTGGCGTGTGCATGTTTTTTGTCTGAAGCAGAAAGTGATACGCACTACTATGATCAGGGTAAGGTAAAGTGGCTGGATGTATTCATGGCTGCATGCAGTGGGCAGGTCAGCATGGGCATGAGTGATAGCTCTGCATGTGCAGGTGGGGTGCCTGGATGCCTGGAACTGGGACTGGCTCTGTGTGTGCGTGTTGGGATCAGAATGAGTCAGTGTGTGTGTGTACAGGAGGATGACTGTGCCTGTGCACCTGCAGCAGATGATGTGTGTGTCAGCTCAAAGGTTTGGACTTGGCCAGGAGCAAAAAGAGGGACACTGTGCTCCCTGGCAGTGTGTTAGGGTGATACAGATATCTTTCCACTTCTAAAAGTGAGAAGGGAAATCTACCACTGACTGTTGCCCTACCACAGGGACCTTGCCTCCCTTCTGATGTAATCTTGGTAGCACTGATTTATAGGGTAGGCAGCAACTTTGTGATGCCACAAAACAGCAGTGACCTAACAGTGAGGCATGGACACTTCTGGTGTCCTGCTCCCCACATAAGGATTCACACAGCTGCTCTCTGTTTGCAGAGAACTCTTGACAGGACACAGGATGACTTGGGACCGAAGCTGAGAGGATGACACAGGGTCCCAGAAGGTGCCAGCTGCCTTTGCAGCAGGCATGTGAGGGAAGCTCTGTGCAAGGGCATGAGGCACAGCAAGCACTCGAGGTCTGACTCTACTTTATTTTTCTGGGAGGGCCCAAGGATGAAAGGGCACAAAATGGGCCTGGGGCAAAGGAAAAGAAATTGAGCCAGGTGCCCTGACCCCCCAGAAGCATGTTGCACTACTTGGGTGAGTGGAGCAATAGCACAGTCTGTCTGGGAAGATGTATTTTGGGAGGACCCCATGCTTGACTGCTCTCAGGTACCTTTTTTCATCGCTGTCCCTTCCTTCCTAGAACAGTTTCACGCCACAGAAGAGATTTGTTTTTGTTCTTCATGTTCGCCTTCTGTGTCACCCATGAGTGGCTGCCTCTTCTTCAGCTCCCGGTGGTACTTGGCCATGAGGGAGGCATAGATGCAACCATAGGCAGCTGCCACCACCATCATGATGCAAACAATGCCACAAACCACCCCTGCAATGATCACAGTGCCAATAGCCCGGCGCACGCTCACAGGCCTGTACCGCTGTTTCTGAGGGCATCCCACACTGGGCTCCACTTCTGTTTCTGGGCCTGATTTAGATTTGGAAGGAGCAGGGCTTCCTTTAGTGCAAGGTGGGCCAGTATTGTCCAGCACTGTAGAACTGTTCTCATCATCCAGCTGGGAGCAGTAGTTGAACATCTCCATGGGCACCATCCGCATGTCCTTTCCTTTCAGCTCCTTGGGCAAGGTGCAGGCCAGCTGGTCGATTTTCCCACCTGTTCCAACACAGATAACAGCAGTCAATCACAGCTCCACACCCACACAGAAACAGCAGGGTTAGATCCTCAGCTGGGTTGAGTTTGTGGGCCTCCACTCACATCTGCTAAAGTATTTTCCCTGCAGGAACTTCAGCCATGTCAGCTGACCAATATGCCTTTGCCTAGGTTGGGTTTGACACTAGAGCTCCTGGTGCATATCTGAGTAGGCCAAGACATAAAAGCCCTCTGAAACCATTTAAGTGAGTCTCATACTGTTTAGTGAGTTATGTAAGTCTCAGAAGAGCCACTTAGGAAAAGATAAATTAAAGCAAAAATATAGGACCAGGCTGTACCTTTAAAAAAAAACAACAGATACACATCCTATCTTCTGACAACTAATCCATCTCTGTGAAAATAATGACAGATGTTGAAACAAATGCTTGAGTGAATTTGAGCAATTTCCTTGGAAGTGAAGGAAAAAAAGCAAAGTTATGTCTCTGTGCTTTCCGTTGACTTTGTGATAGGGTAGTCAAGAAAAAAGAACAAATCGGAAAAATAGTGCAAAGTGGCACTCGTATGCTTGTTTGATTCTGCTCACACAAATGCATATTTCAGACTGCAGTGTAGCCATAGGCAGAGATAATCTCCTTGCAGCATGGCTGTGATCAGCAGGTATGTGACAGCTGACTGTTGCTATCCGCATGATTTGAGACCCTTTCCTACTCATTGGTTCCAGAAACAGAAGGTCAGGCCTTCAATCCTCACTCCTGTAAAATGTGCCAACTTTCTTGGAGTTGCAGCTCCTTAAAGCATGTCATCCCATCAGCATTCCTGATAAGTGACATGTACCATTCTAGTCTTCTGTGTTTCAAGGAAAATCTGGAAATGCAAACTTGTCAAAAACTGCTCAGTTTGAAATGATGATTTCATAGCCAGCCCTGACTTGGGGCCTGGCTTGTTAATTTGAGCTGTAGGTTGTGCTCTCCAATATGGGTTGCAGTGTTTTTCCTAAGTGTCACTGTTTCCTAAGGTTCTTTTTTTTTTGGGGCAGCAAACCTGATGCTTTACAGCCAAATCTGACTTCTAATTCTCTCAGCTTAAGAAAGATAATGGGATGGTCAAGTGTGAAAAGCATTTCTTCTCTTTAGGCAGAAAGAGTAGGGTGAATTCATAATCCTAAAATTTTAATTTTACTTGAGGAAAGTTCTTTCTTCTCTCAAGATTGAAAAAAAAAAACAGATAATAGTTCAGATTAGAAAAAAACACAAGGATATAGGAGATCTAGGGCTGCTGGGGACTTCACAGACTGGCAGTGTTGCTACATGAAGGCGCAGTGGCACTAAATTGTAGCAGGGTCCTCATGCTCTTTGGCTGAGACCTGTCCATCAGGTCAGCCTCACCTGCCAGTTGTATCTGCTCCTGTTTCTTCCCTGCCTGCCTTTTGCTTGCTTTTCCTGGAAGACCAGCACTCCTCCACCTGCCTCCCGCACGCCAGCACCTACCTCGGTAGGAGAACCATTCCATCCAGTGCTTGAAGTCTCGGAGGTTGCAGTCGCATTCCCAGGGGTTATCCCCAACCTGGAGCTGCTGCAGGCTGGTTAGAGGCTCAAAGGTCACCCTGTCCAGGCTCTGCAGGCGGTTGGACCTGAGGGAGAGGGAGCGGAGAGCAGGCAGGTCGTCAAAGATGCCTGAAGGAATCTGGGCCAAGCCATTGATGGAGAGATCCAGCTGGCGCAGCAGGGCCGTGTGTTGTAGCAGGTCCTTGTCCAAGGCCCGGATGCTGTTGTTCCTCAGCTGGAGCTCTGTGAGGTTCCCCAGCTCACTGAAGATGTTCTGCGGGAGCTGGTCCAAGAAGTTGTTGGATAGATCCAACCTCTGTAGTGCAGAGAGGTTGGAAAACACTGCTCCTGGCAGGATGCTGAGTTTGTTGTTGAGAAAGAGGAAGGTCCTGGTGTTTGTGGGGATGTCTGAGGGAATGGAAGAGAGGCCCAAGCCACTACAGTCCACTTCCAGGTTGCCACTGTTACACTTGCAGGAGGAAGGACAAGCAAAGAAGGACTCAGCAGCACATAATGAGAGCCAGCAGCCAAGCACTGGAAGGTGGAAAGCAGGGAAGGAAGAGGGCACAGATTAGATCAGTGCTTTCCCATCCTCACCTGCCACCAGCTACACCACAACCCTCACAGCAGGGCTCTTCGCTGCAGTGCCCTGCAGTGTAATGAGTTTCCTCACAGATACATTCCTTTACTGCTGGCCTGCATCCTGACAGCATGACTTCCCTCTTAGCCTGTTTTTTTAGGAACAAGCAAGTAAATATCCTTCCAGTTTCACAAAAAAGTTTGGGACTTTGTTTGGGATGCACTGTTTGCAAACAGTGCATCCCAGCAGACTCTGCCAAGGGATACTGGAGGACTGGTACCTGGCAGAGGAGAATGGACCAGAGAATAGTGGGAGGTGTCACCTCTGGCAAAGGACAGCCCTTTCTAAATAGTCAGGGTAGAGACAGGAGGGACCAAGTATATTTAAAATGTTCCAATTTTTCAGAAACAGATATATTATTAAAAAGCTTTTAAGAAAAATGAAAATAAAACAATCTACATTTCAGGTGTGCTCCTGCAGTTTGAATCCTAATATTTGTGACTGATAAGACTGAGATCTAAGACTCTAAATCAGGGCATCATTTACTTATCACATTCACAGTGTGTCATATGAGCCTTGTGTCCACTTTTTAATTAATTACATTGCATTACAAAGGGATGACCAAGACAATGGCTAGAAAGTAACAAGAAGTCCTTAAATCACTGGACACCTGGTACTTGCCATTGCTCTCAAAACAGTTTCCGAATCCCAGAGCAACAGCCCCAAACGTATGTCTGAGTGGCCAGTGACCACCCCCATCTAGAGGTACAGAACCAGCAATTGTTCTTACTAAGAACTTTGGACACCTTCTGGACTATAGCCCTGTGCAAATCCTGGGGTGACCCCTGGATCATGGTTACCAGCTGGGCAGACAACAGACATGCAAAGAACAGTTGAAACCACATCTGATCAAAATGGCCCACAAGGGAACGAGCCAAAGAGGTGTACGCTGGTAACTGACAAAAGCAGTGTCAGGAAAAGGGTTAACACACACACACCCACACACACCCACACACACACACACACACACACACACCCTTTCTCCTACACTATCTCAAGGTTGGACAAATCACAAATCGTTACCAACCTTCCCTGAGAGCCAATGGCTTTTCAAACTCTATTTTTGTGAAAAAGAAGCATTATCAGCAAGAAAGCAAGCTTTGTGCCTCTTGTCATTAGAGGAGTGGGAGTTATGTTTAAGTAGACTATGTAAAACATTTCCATCCCTCATCTTAGTTCCTTTTGTGGAATTGAGATCACACAATGAATTCCACTATTCTTCAATGTGGGAAGCAAATTCAGCTCCCTCACAGTTTTTAAGGTGACAAGTTTGAGCATTTGACTAAAACTGAAGCAGGTTTGTCTGTACATCATGCCTGTCCTCTCCCTTTCTCACTTTTCTTCAGAGAAGGCAATCACTTGGGCTAGTAGAGTCTTTTTAGGGGTGAATGGTACCTAAAGGGGATGCGTTGATTGTCTCGCCTTCCTGAACTGGCAGTCAGGTTCTTTCGTCCTGCTTTTCTTCAAAGAACCAACAAGCAGGTGTTTTACTTCTTAATCCTAAAGGAATTGTAAAAAGAGAGGGAACCAGAGGAAACCCATGCTGTGGAGAAGCTCTGTCTGGAGCAGCTTTGCAGTCAGCCGTGCTCTTTCTCTCTTCCTTTGTGCCACTCTCTAGAGTTTAATCTGACCCACAGCCCATTTCTTTATAGCAACTTTGCTTCTGTCAGCATTATGCCATCATACTCCAACCCTGTCATCCTGCACAGGGCAAGTTTTGTGTTCCCAGTGATCCTTGTGAAAACTGGCAGATTTGTGGACTGGTAGTCTAAAGAGGACTATCCCATTTGAATCCTAAGCTGTATGACTTTATTAAGGACAAAGGGATAAATGTTCAGAGATAATATATCAATTCTCTCTTATTTCGTCTGCCTTTCGGAATTCTTCAATAATTTTTTTACTATTCTGCAGTTGAGATCTCAGGTGTACATCAGCCCAGGCCATGCCAATAAATGTGCTCTTTTAAGGAGAATTATGGATCCTTATGGAGAAATGTAAGACAGATCTTTACCCAGACCACCTCTGTGCTTTCTTGTCATGCAGAGGCTGAAGCCCACAACAGAAATTGCCATGAAAATAGATCATAGCCTATGGACTACAGCAGTACAGGTACTGACTGGCTGGCTGATATTTAATTCTGTTCAGAATATGTCACACTTTTGTTGTAGGGAGAGAATTGAAAGAATAGGAGCTAGAGTGGGGAAGGGAAAGAGCAATGAGTCATTCAAGTGACCCCATATTTTCCTGGATGCTTAACAAAAGCCCAGTATTAATAATAGATTGGCAGCTGTGATGATGAGATAACAGCTGCTTTGTACACCAAGAAAGGCAAGAGCAGCTCATGTGTAATGCTATCCAGGTGGCATTCTGCTCAGTGCTTATCTCTCAGAATGCCTGGCCGCCTGCGGCGCCGACTGGGTGCCTGTGGGGTTCCACCAGTGTGTATGCTGGCAGTGGCTGGCAGGAACAGCCTCAGGCAGCTGGCTGTGGTTATGTTCAGGAAGTGGATTTATGCCAAGCTTCTGCAGCCATGTAGGATATGCCAAAAATGTCTTGTTGTTATCCATATATTGCTGTATGCTTTTGGAAATATTTTACTGAAAGCATACAGGAAAGAGATCTCGTTTTCATTTCCCTGAAAAAAGTGCATCCATGAGGATGTGAGCTGAGGCCAGGGAATTCATTGTGTTGGTTTAAGATGCAGCTCTGCAGGAAAGAGAGGCAGGGAAGCAATAGACAGAACTTAAAGCTGTCTTCCAGCCCTACAGAAGGATGGATAGTAAGTGGTTTTGTGTTTAGAGAAGATCAAGTTACTTTGTGGGGTATTTGGTGACTCTAGTAGGTAGCAGAAAGATGATCCAGGTATATCACATTAAGTCAAGACTCAGTAGCATTCATTATAAATAATTTACACAGTCTAGTCTGTGAGGATGGATTACAAAGATGTTTGTTTTCTCGAGCAGGAAGTATTTCCCCCAGCTTCTTACAGCTGTAGCTTCAAATGTGACCACTAGGACTGGAACAAGGGAAACCACAGATCTACTTGGTGCCTGGGCATGCAGTAGTGAGGGATGCTCTCTAAGCGTCCCCTTTATTCTGCTGTGGTCTCCAGATACTTCTCTGAGATGCAGATAAATTCCCAAAGCCCCACATCACCCTAGCAGTGCCTGCTCTGCACTCAGGGTTCCCATAGCAGCTGCCCCAGCCCACTGGGAATATGCACAGGCTGAACGTTTACAATTTAATTTGAAAGAGAGCTTCTTTATTTACTCCTTGATTTTCACTACATGTGGCAGTGCCCAGTAGGAGAATTCTGCCTTCACGTCCTGCATTTCCTCCTAAAATCTGTTATGACTTTTGCCATGAAGAGGTTTGCTCAGTAGCCTGTGTAAAACCCCAAGCACAGAGAGGAGCCTGCAGCTCACAGGATAGTGATTTGAGAAATGTTCAGGGTGGATCTTTGTGCGATGGTGTCTGTCATGCTGTTTCTCACCTGCCAGGCCCACTGGAATTCAGAAGCAATCATCACTCGCTGTCCCACTTTAAGCCCATCTTCAGCTTTAGAATATCACTCTCCCTCCCAGCTAGCCTGGCCTCTAAAGGAATCAGGAATTAGTTCAAACATCTCCATTCTTAGCTGTCCCTCTCCCCTGTTCTTAACCCTGATGTGACCCATTTTCTTCCCATTCCCTTGACGAACAGGAATATTGTAGTTGGTACCTGAGCAGGCATTACTTACGACAAGCCTCCTGCCACCTCATGAGGAACCTGCTCCTCCACGGGTGGCCAGCACTTGTAGGCAGCATCGTGGTTTTCTCCAGCGTGTCTTCACATCCAACAGCCAGCCTGGCAAAGGGCCCCAGAGGGAGAAGGAATGACCTTGTAGCCTGCCTGCCAGGTCCTGTAGAGGGAAAGCAGAGCCGAGCAGATGAGATTCACTTCCCTAGATGCAGCACACAGGGTTGAGCTGAGTGCTGTCTCTTCCCCTCCCCAATTAGTGTTTTGCCTTTGAGGCATCAGTTCTGTTTTGGAGGAGAAATGGAGGGTGTTTCAGGAGGCGTAGTGTGTTGAAGGTGCAACATTAATTCATTTGGAACCTCACGGTGCAGAAATAAAACCTGATTCACCTAAGAGCCGGAGAGAAGTTTGTGCTTGAATAGCCTGCTATGGTAGCTACATTAGCTTCATGCTCAAGGTTAATATGATGAATTGCTAAGGTGACCCTGCCAGGGCAGCAGACTCCGGCTCATTCCTGTCGCCTGTACGCAGGCTGGTGCCACCTGTGCATCCTCTGCCTGACGCACGGCTCAGGCTGGCTGAGATCTGGGCACCAGCGGCTGCCAAGCTGCTTCTCTCCTCGCTCCTCCTCCCCCCACTCCACACCCGTGCCCCCACTCCCCGTGCCGTATTCCCTACCAGCACTTCCTGTCTGTTTTAAGGTAAAATGGATGTAGTGGCTAGAGCAGCACAGCTTCAGCTTGGGGATTTCCCACTGCAGCAACTGCAGGAGCTGAAGAGTGAGCGAGCCTCGGAGGAGAAGGAGAAGGAAGGACCTGAGGCGGGGGAGACTGAGTGGGAGTGTTGAAAAGAGAGGAATTGCATCTTAATTAGTTGAAGGAAAAATCCTCAGTCTAATTAGAAACCCAAAGACCATAAAACTCTCCCCTGACAGTAAGTGACTGACAACAGGTTTCAACTTCCCTCCCGCTTCCCTTTTGGATACAAGGAGGCAGGAAAAATGAAAACACCACAAACCCTTCTGTCCCCCTGCGTACTCTCTGATGTGCCACCCACAGTCACAACAGCAGTTAGATGGTCACATTTCAACTAGAGTACAGAAATAAGCCATCCTCCATCCCCTCTGAGGGGCTCTGACAACATCCACAGCAGCTATTTTAGCTGGGTGCTGCACTGCCACCAGGACACTCTCCCCACACACGTGCCAGGTGCCTACCCTCCCCCAGGCTCCCAGACTGATTTATTTTATATGGGAATATAAACCACCAGGAAATATTAAAATTAGCATCTTGATGAAAATGACGAGCAGGTTCAGTACCTAGGCTAGCACATTTGCAAGGCTATTTAGATCGTTTACCTAAATGCCAGTGCACCAAATACCTCTCATAGTACAGAAACCAATTCAACCTTCATCTGCTGCAGCCCCCCACTCCCCAGTCTGAGCTGGAGCCCTTTCTCTGCAGTTCCCACTGAAGGAGAAGCTGCAACAAATAGCTGTCCCCATTTGGTGCTTGCGCTCGACCTGACCGAGGAGACTTTCAACCTCCCCCATAGAAACGTCTCCCACCCCTGAAGTCTCCTGTCCCTGCCTGTCCATATGGAAAAGGGGGATGAAAAGCTGCAGGCACTTACCTGGAGGGGTTCTGCCTGCAGCCACTTCCACCCGACTGCCCGGACACTGCCCAATTACAGCCTCTTCCTTCCCTCTCCCTCCTTGACTTTCACTCCCCAGCAGCAGGCTTTCTGTGTGCTCTATTTAACTCCCTCCAGCACTGGAATAAACGGCAGAGTTAAGCTGACAGCCACAGAGCCTTATCTGCCTGCTGGATAGCGCCAGTCGATCAGCTCCAAATCCTGTTGCCAAATGATCACGTCCTTGCTCTCAGCATCAGGGGCAGCCGCCTGCCATGCTCTGCCTTTCCCTCTTCCCCACCTTCACTCCATCTAACTTTGTCAGGGTTATAGATAGCTCTGTTCCTTGTGCTCTTGCCTTTTGGCTCTGTTTTGTAACACCCCATCTGTATCAGCTGGCTTTGTTCCAATTAGGGGGGCTAAGCAATTAAAAAAAAAAAAAACCAGCTTCCTTGGGTGGTTTATGACACGTTTCCCTCTGCTGTGTCCCCTCAGCCCAGGCCCCCACTCAGGCCATGCACTGGTGCCTCTCCCACCATGCTCTGTGAAATTCATCCAAACTGTCCCCAAGAAACAATGGGGACCGAGGGCAGGGCAGGCACACCCGGGCATGAGGATGGGGACAGGGTCAGGGTTTCCACCCTGCTCCTTCTGCTCCAGCAGGGCAAGTCCAGCTCTAGCACTCATTTCTGGTACCTCACGGGCGCCTCTTTCCCTCAGGCAGCACCAAGGCTCAAGCAGAGAGTGCAGGGTGGGAGGAGCAGCCATGTATAAATAAGCCTTTTCCCTATGTTTAGAATTTATTACAGTGCATAGTGATTAACACCTGTTCAGGCTTTAATGTCAGTCTCCTGCACTGCAACATGCACTGAGATGGAGGGGCCTTGATAAACCCAAGATTATTTTAAAGCATGTCACATATATGCCACACTCCCCACTCCATAGATAGCAGCCACCCTGTGTGCACTCATACACGTGTTTCCAAGACTTAAAAGCAGCTACCTTCATGTATAAATGCACAGTCACCAACCTAGCTTACATTTACAAATGTGAGCATGGAGCTGGGCTTGCACATGTTCCAGGGACTCTTCTGTAACCCTTATTTATTAACCTCCATATCTTCCACAAAGCTGCCTGCTTCTCCAAGCATACCATATGCCCAGGTGGCAGAGAAGTAGATTTGGAATACATAGACATTCTTGGCTGCTGAAAAGTGAGGGCCAATGAGCTTCTGCATTTGTACCTTGTAGAAGTATGTTCATGGAGAAATTTTAATTCCAAAGATCCAGGAAAAAGAAAAAACAGTTTCTCCTACGCATCTACTGCCCATAAGAACATTATACCCTTAGTGATTAATATTCCACAGTCAGGAGAGAGCAAGGAGGCAGAGAGGATTTTTAAGATTTTTTTTTTAAAGGTTTCCTTTGACTTGTCTTGAATTCTGACTTAATTAGCAGTTTTCTTGTGGCCCAAGAGATGCCTTCTGCTCTGCAGAGCACCAGGCCAACTGCACGCACTGCCAGTGCAGCACTGGGAGCATGTAATCTTGGGGCAAATAGCACCTGCCCACACCTCCAGCCTCTCCAAAGCAGCACCAGATGTGTCTGGCTGCTTTCAGCCTGACAGACAGGGATTTTTCCAGCAGTGAGCACTGTGTCAGACCTAGGAGTGCTCCCTGTATGTCCCCATCTCAACAAGAGAGGCACCGTGCCATCTGTTCTGAGCTTGCCTGGCATTGCTTGGGTTTGGGGGCTCAAGGCTGGTCAGCATTGCTGGAGCTCTGAATGCTCTGAAGCCACCCAAGGGCTCCACAAACCAGGCATTTGTCTTTCTCATGGGCTTTCTAGATGGTTCCTTCTCTCTAGAGCAACATGTCAGCTGAATGCCCTGTTATCCGTGGGGCACAGTGGCCAGAGCTTTCTTCTATGTGCTTGGAGTTGAATGTCTTTCCACATTCTTGAGAAAGCAGGGTTGCCTGTGGGGCTGGTAATGGCCTTTTCCTATTACTGTTTCAAATAGGACAGCAAAAGACAACTTTTTTAGTATCAGCTCAAAGCAACAAAATGAAATCATCCGTTTCTGGCCCATGGGCTCCAGTGGCCAAAAATACACCAAGCTGAAGTGCCACTTGGACATTTGGCCTGCTGTCAGACTCTAGAGGACTCTCTAATGAGGATTCCCCTAATTAGATTGAACAGCAAACCTTACTGGGGGGTGCAGAGGGGATTATAATGACTCCACAGCACTTGCCAGGGCCTAAAAGCTACAGAGGGCACTATTCCTGCCTTGTGCCTGCTCCCCTGTGCCCAGACACCAGTAATGTTTGCAGCATCACTCCAAAGCCATAGCTGCTGTGGGGAGGGTCCCAAGGAGCATGCTGGAAGAGCAGGGAGGGTTTCAGTTTACTGTATGCACAAACTGGCTTAGTAACTCTTCCCAATTCTGTGTCACCTTCTATCCAAAGCGTGCCATGTGCTCTATGAATGGCTCTTACCTTAACTGCCAGGTGGTGTTATTTTGTGTTTAATGACCCACAGAAGTAAGGCTGAGGTAAGAGCCAGAAGTGCTTCTGCTCTGAGAAGGTAGATAAATCTATCCCATTCTCCAAACAACAGCACTGGGGCTAGAGACAACAGGGGACTGTCACTAGGATGAGACACTGTCAGAAACAGAGCCTAGCAACCTCTGTCTCTGATTATCTCTCCAAGTCCCTTGCACTACCCTTGGATCATGGCTGAGGGATCAGACTCCATCAACAGCTTGGCTTATGAGCACTGGCAGGGCATGTGGGTGACCTATATTACAGAAGGGTAGGTAGCAGAGACTGCAACAGATGCCAGCAATAAATTATCAGAAAGTATGCACAGACTTTCATCCCTCCCCCACACACTCCTTCATGGCAAAGTCCCTTTCCCCTTTCCACTGCTGAATTGCTTTAGCCTTTATCAGAAAAGCAGCAGCATGAGGGAGGGCATGGAGATCTCTTTAAGGAGATTATCTTCTTTCTTTCCCCTTTCCTTGTTGTTTTTAGGATTCATGTTTTATTGCTATCACCCCATAATGGAGGGGGACAGTGGTAGCCCAGCATTTAGTGACTAACGCATGTTGTTCTGTTCATATACCTTCACCTGCCCTTGGCAGGGCAAATGGCAGCAATGACACATAATCTGTGTGGCCTGACTAGCACACCACAAGTGGCTTTAGATGGCATGGAGACCTCACCCCTTCAGGTCCCCCAACAGACCTGTTAGTTGTGCAAATTTTCAATCCCAAGAGGTCACATTGTCCCAATGGGAGCCTTTCTTTGTCATCTCTTTGGAATGCAAAAACACTCAGAGGTGGCAGAGAAGCTCAGCAATGCTGTAGAAACATCCAGTGTGTGTCACTGCTCCAGTGAGCTTCCAAGCTGAAGAGCTGGGGGTTTCATTTGCAGCACTTGCTGATTTATTAACTCATGTGTTCAAGATCCAGTAGTGTTGTGCTGTCACAATCAATGGAAAGCACATTTTAAATTCATATGAGAAACCCAGCTGCAGAAGAAATAGTGCCCTCTGACTTGTAGTGATCAATCACAGCTAAGCGAAACACCTCATACAGAAAGCTGTAAAGCAAGTAGAAAAAGTGTAAAACCCACTTGGTCTTGTAAGGGACTCTGCCACACTGTTGGCCTGATGTGAATAAAAACCTCACCCTTTTCTCTGTGATGTGAAAAGGTAAAAAGCTTCTGATTTTTGGCTTGGCACTGTAGGCACCTCTGAAATGCAAATGTGTCAATGGTAAAAAATGTTTCCTCCCCAGGACCCCAAGAAAGATAACTTTATCCCTATTTTATGGAAGAGTAAACTATGATGCAGGTAAAACTGGCTGCTGATTTTGGCTGGCTGAAATTTCAGCTGCCTTGCTTTTGATACTTCATCATTAGTCCACATCAGTTCCCCACTCACTCAGGATTTTCAAAGCTGACCTGTCAAGTGCAGCGTTTGCACTTGGGGTTGTAAATGCTGTCCTGTCCTGCGAAGAGTATTTGTAGACCTTACCAAAGTTACACAGAATAAAAGACTTTTGGCCAGGTTTTCCTGAAGTTTCCTGTCAGGCCTGTGGCAAAAACAGGAAAGTAGCCAGTTTTCTTGATTCCTCATTCCATACCTTAAGCAGAAAACATTCTTTACATCCCAAGCCTCCCTGACCAATGCACAATAACGAGACTGGAGGAACTGGAATTACCAAGGGCATAAAGCCTCAGCAAATCCTCTGAGAAAAACAGAGCATAGGAAGGGGAGACAGGGAGGGTAGCACTGCTGGAAAAGACCCAGATTGCTGTGGAGATGTGGAATTCCTCGGGAAGCTGTGGAAGCAGGTGGAGAGAGCGAGCTATCCAGCCAGGAGTGACAGGAAAGTCCCAGCACAGTGAAAGTGTGGCATATGGAGGAGGCCCAGAGCAGCAGCAGGAGGAGAGCTGAGGGGGCAGTTGACAGGAAGAAATCCAGCCATGTGTGTGCCAGCATCTTCTCCAAGTATTACGGAACGCGACAGACCACGTGAATGTTTCCTCCCTGCAGAGCGGAGGCAGCTGAGAAGGGAAGCGGGTGAGGGAGTGGGAGAGGGGCTCAGAGGAGGGACACGTGAGCTGACTACCCAGTTTCCTCCTCTTTTTCTTGCCACAGGGTGATGGTTTTGTTCTTCTCACACTGTTGGCAAAAATTGGTAACCAAGCGAGATGTTGAGGGGGGTTCTACATGAAGGTCGAGATAACATTTTCTGATCCAGCCGGGAACAGTTGGCTGTGGGTGGTGGCTTGTCACCAGCCCTGCCAGTTCTAATCCAGATCCCAGTTTTTCTCATTCTCTCGGCTGTGGAGTGAAGAGCCTTCCCTACAACGTTAATTTCCTGCAGGGGTTAATCCCATGGTAAGTGGTAGCTCAGGCCCTTAATCCTTTCGCTCAGTCCCTTGACAGAAGGACTGCAGCCACTCCTGCACCTTTCTGCTCCCAGTTCCTCCTCTACACCCCAGGAGCATCCTCCAGCTCACTGGCATTTAAAATGCTGCTCCCTGCTTCCTGGCAAGCCTACCCTGGGGGTGTGGGTGGGTGGTACAACCAGGAAAAGGTTGCAGGCAGAGAAGACAGCTTGATGGGAGACTCCTGGTTCTCTGGTCCTCATTCCCATCACTACTGTGCTCACAGGTATTTTCTGCACTTCTTGGCTGGATGGTGCCCTGAATCCCGAAGTATTCTCTTTCTTGTTTTTATTCAGGTGGTGTTCAAGAAGGAAGGTGTGTATGGGCCCACATTTGTGAAGGATTCTCTGAGGAGTCAAAAATTTTAACATGGCCCAGTACCTTCCCTGGCTCTCTTAGAGTCAAAGGATGCAGCAGATCTTTAAGAAAGAAGGTGCCAGCCTGTCTGAGATAAGAGATACATTTACATGAACAGAGTAGTAGATGGAGGTGCATCAATTTAGCAGCAAGATAGGAAAAATGTAAGTTTTTTATCAATATAAGCTCTGTCCCTGGCATGCTAGGCTAGATTTCTGTTTAACAACATGACCAGACTGCCAAATCAAGGGGCTTCCAGATCAATATCAACAGACCCCAGTCTTATGGGGGGGGTCAAGGCACTTCAGCCATGAGCCTTTTCTCCTTGTGGTTTCTCATTCCAAAAATGAGGCAAGTTTTTGCAAGCCTGAGTGATCTCTTGCACACAAAATGCCCCACACTTGCTTGTTTCCTATCATTCATTTCTGCATTAGCCCAAAAACTGGTTTTGCTTTTTTCACTGCCTGCCTTTAGAAATATTCTGGGCCTTTGAGCTCACTGGCCTTCCTTATGCTTGACTCTTGCTACTCTTTCTTCTGGTGAAGAAGCCAGCATGGTGAAGAACTGCAGCCACCAAGGCTGCTCTCCCTTTTCCTCACTCCCTCATTGGCTGTGCTTCCCTGGGTGCTAGGCTCCCAAAATGAGCTGCAAGGGTAGTGGCTTGTCACTTTGGGAGCTGGAGCAGGAGGAGAGAGACGATGTAGAAAACACTGGAAAAATGGAAGAACTTAACTAAGGTGTCACAAGACTGTGCCCTGGGCATGTCCAGAGGGGCAGGGACCATCCAGGCCTGCACAGTGGTGGGGCACAGCACAAGATGCTGGCAGTAAAAATCCACTCAGCTCTTATCATAAGGGGATCAGCAACCCAGCATGCACATAGCTCCTGGCAAACCTCCTGAGGAAAGGCTGAATCTCATCATTCCCACACAATGCATTTGTACTGGACTCCGAAGGAGACCTTTTTCTGCCTTGGTGAGTTGCAGAGATCTGTCTCACTTGGTTGCCACTGTGGCACAAGGTTGTTGGTGCTGCCTGTAAGAGCCTGGAGCTGTTCTGCTGCCCCTTGCCCTCCATCACTTCCCAGAGCATCTGAGAGGGGCAACCGTGCAAAGTCCACACAAACTGCATGGGATCTGAGCTGCTGCCTTCAGCTCCAGGGATGCCTGCGGATCCCTGGGACACATTTATGCTTTTTTACAAGCTGGGAACATTGTGCATAGCTCAACAAGATGTGGTGACAGCTCTTGCAACCCAGAGCTCCAGCCAGGATCTTTGGATGCATCTGGGTTAGCACACAGATCACAGCCTCATGCTGCAGAGCTTTCTGAGGCTGAGGAAGGTCTAGTTTTCTACAGGATTTGCAGCCACAGAAGAGATACCTTTATGGCAAAGTCACTTCCCATCGAAATCACTAGAAATGTCTTCCAAGAAAAACTTCCAAGTTTATCTTGCAGTCACTCGAGAAGTTCTGACTTGTGTGGCTTTCTGTAAATTTAAGTCTCAGTCATTCCTGCGATGGTGTGGGGCATTGCAGGGTATATCTCTTGTTTTCCCATTCATAAAAATATAACGAAGAAACTGTTGTTTTCATTAAAAGAAAGAAAAAATTGCCATGTGATAAAATAGACTTGCAAAGCCAAGGAGTTAAATGTGAGCTTACACTTGCCCAGCCTTCATTCAGCCACTTGCATGGATGCAGCACAGCACTGCCTTTGATCTCCCAACCAAGTTCTGTTTCTTTTTTTCACAGGACCCTGTCCCATACTCAGTGCAAAGGACACATGATACTCAAGCTAACAGTGAGGATGTTGTAATAAATCAGGTTGTTTTTATATGGTCAGAATTAAATATTAAACCACAGTTTTGGCAGGACGCCACAGTCTGTACATTCCTAATTTTGCGGGTGCCCAACACGAGACCCTAGGGGCCATTTTGCAGAACTGCTGAACACTCACAGCTGTTTTCCAAAATGCTGCAGCTTAGACAGCAAACTGGTACAATCTTGAGGGCTCAATAGCACTGAGAACCAAGAAGTCCCAGGCCCTTGTCCTGCACCTGCTGCTCCTTCCCTGTGTGGCTAAAAGGGGAAGTCTCTTTTCCCTTCAAAAGCCAGGAAAACGACCATTCTCTCTTGCCTCATCAGGAGCATAAATTCTCTATCATCAGCTACAAGGCAACTGTAGCTGCTAACATCTTCAGAACACCACAAGACAATGAATAGTGATGTATTGCCTGCAGGGCTTGCTTGGCAGGCAGTAAACAAATAAAAGAGACACATATTTTGCAGTACTCAAGAAAAAAAAAAAGGGCCCCCTGCTTCACTCCTTGAGCACCATGTAGCCAAGTACCCTGAATGAAGCAGCTCATGAAAATACAGTGTGTGATCCTACAAGTCAGGACTGCAACCCAGTGCAAGTGGCACGCTGCCTCCAGTACCCGTATTTCCTAACTTTCAACTGCTTGTTTTTGCAGTATGAATAATATATTTCACATAATCCAACCCCTCACAGATGAAGCAACTTTTCATTCCACCTCTTGAGTCTGGAATTGAACTAGTTTAAAAATGCACATCTTCTTGCTGTTATCTTCCCCTCAGTTGCAGAAAGCTTTTTTTGTGAGCCAGCATTTTGGTAAAGCCACAGCAGGAATAGGGTATGTGTGACAAGGTATTTCCCTGCAGCAGGAGGAACATCCCAGAACTCCCACTCCTGCTTCTTTCCAGGGAGAACTGAGCGTGTGCCATGGTGTAGCATGCTGAGGCATTACCCAGCTGGCCAGAGCATCCCAGTATGGTCATCCTAGTTATGGTTTGAGCCACCCAGGACTGGGACAGTTGTCAAGCAGTGTAAGCAGCCGCTTGTAACCAAACATGGCAAGTGAAGGAAACTGCCTGCTCTGTCTTTTGACTCAGCAACAGGCAAGAGTCACTGAAGAACTACCCAGAAATGCCCTCCCACGGTTTGAGCCTCTCCTCATCCTGTTCCAGCTTCTGTTGCTCCCTGAATGCTTCTGTCCAGCTATCCTTGTGGCCCTGTGCTGGCTCTCACAGCCCTACTGAAACACAGCTCTGCCTTTATCAGGCTTCTCTGGTGCAGAAGAGCCTAGAAAATCCTTTCTGCATCAAGCTTAAAAAAAAAAAAGTCAGAGGAAGGGCAGGAAGCTGGAGTGACTCTTAAAGATGTCTGAGCTGAGAGTTGCACCTTGCTAGCATTTGACATTCACTTTGCTGGAGGAAAGGGTAAAGGTATGATCTGGTATAAAAATTACATAAGAAAGCTTCCTCCCTTTCTCTTTGCAAACAGCCCCTTTGCTCAGGATTTACCATAATTCCTCCAAGTGGACAGGATGCACTAATAGAGGCAGCACTGATGTCTGACAGGGAGACAACTCCCGCAAGCCTTTCGCTCATGTGGAATAATTCCCTTGCAAATGTTGTTTGCCCACAGCAGTTAGAGGAAGATCTACCCCTGCTCCCCAACAGATCTGAGCCAAAAAGCTCAGAAGAAAAATGGTCTGCAGTTCTGGAAAGGCTCCCCTTCTCCTCACTGCTAGGAAGGTACCCTTTGGGACAAGCCACTGTGTTTAAAGGGTTCCCCTGTCTTTTAAGGGTTTCCTTCTCCTGCAATAGCAGCAGCTCCGGTCCTTCCCCAGATGAGATCTTAATTTCTCTCTCCACACTTGAGTAGCAGGTCAGACTCCCACAGCAGAGCCGATTCTGCCCGCTGCCATTCCCATCAGGGCTGTGCTGGATGTGGCATATTCACATTACCTGACAGTCCACATGGTGGGCCTGGGGCCCAGCTTGGTCATGACCTGGTTGGAACAACAGCTTCAAACATCCTCTCTCCCCAAATCAGGAGAACTCCAGTTTAACATGTCGCTCTTAATTAGCAGGATATGCAGGGACAGTAACAAACTGGTCAGACAGAGGGGAGGAGGACAGGGCAGAATGCCCTGTGTGGGATGTGTGTGTGTGTGCACGTGTCTGTGCATGCGTATGTATGCACACACACACACACACAGACACAGACAGGCTAACGCTTACATATATACGCTCCTGTCCACAGTGTGCTTCACCTCGGTTCATTTGGGACCTCATTCTCACCCTTTCCTCCCAGTCAGGGCTGGAAAAGCCTATGAAACTTCTCTGTGCTGTGTTTCCCCTACCCCCCCCCCCCCAGCCCCCCCACCCCTCAGTGCTGTGCCTTC